GATGATATATATATTTTAGAAGAAATGTTTTAGATAACAAATACGAGTATATTATGTTCACATTTTTCATACTTTATATCAACAGGTGTATGAAGTTGTGCCGTTCTCTTTGTCAGTAATTATACTTTTCGGGTCCATTGGGGCACAATACGTGCTGAAGATTGAATATCGCTAAGGGGAAGACTTAACAGTATTCAGTCATGCCATTATTTTACGAAATATGACGTGTTTTGCTGTTGTCTTGAAATAACAGGACGGTTTGTGTTGTATAAGCTTTTCTTTTTAGTCATTTATTTTTCTCTTAAATCATATTACATATTAAGCTTACAGATAAGATAGAATGATAATTTACTCCAAGCCCATGTTCAATTTTAGTTTAACGCATAAAAAACCTTAACAATCAATTATACAAAGACGAAGACATGGAACACAAAATAAAACATATTTTCAGCATGTCATCTTTCAAAGTTAACATAACCCTAGGTTATCAAGAGCACCAAATGCGGTGGTAATACTCATTTAAACCCCGTCACGACAAAACCTATCGCTATCAGTTTCTTTACATGTTATAGGGTCTGTAAGCGAACAGCATGGATCCTGATCAGACTGCGCGAATGCTGGTCGCAAACCCACTATGTTGGTTTTGTCGTGACACGGCTAATTTTTAAGGACAGTGACTATCAATAACCTATCTTTATAACTATTTTAAATTAAAAGTGACTTTATTTCTAGGAACAATTATTAAGAATGAACAATTGACAAAAACAAGTATGTTCACTGGTACAAATAACATATTTGTTACAGCATTGCTACAAAAGTAACACAACATTTTACTCAAAATTGATTATCATAGTTATTCAAACGTTATCATGTACTACTTGTTTTGATTATCAACGGTTACTTTTATCGTGCAGGAAATATAGCTTCAGCATTAATATGCATTTACTTTTCAACAGTGAGAATAAATCCAAGTATAGTGTAAATGACTATGTCATCTATTATTACTGGTGATACCAGGAGAAAGAATGTAGTTTCCACATATTATATTATGTTATGTCATGTTATATTATATTGATTTGTCATATTTATCTATAAATATTGTTTAGATATTAGAAAAAAATATTGTTACAATCAAGTTTGCATTTAACAAATACATTGTATACGTTCTTCTTAACCGGATATGTGTGATCTATCGCAAAACTTTAATGCTTTCAATGAAATCTAATTGAAAGCATAACATCACTTAGCCGAAATGGATAATTCATTTCCAATAAACCGGAAGAAATGAAACTGAAAACAACAACTAACAAAACACAATAAATATTAGTTTTAATGTTAAATGTTGTTTAACATTTGAAAACAATACAAGATGATTATACATTTGTTTAGAGCAGAGTGACATGAAGAGTTTCGAAACCGGTATTGTTGCACGTGTGCTTATTTGTTAAACATCTGTTCCATTTTTTAATAATGTTATTTTATAAGAATATTTACATTTGTTTGAAAAGTATTCAAAAAAGCAAAGGAAGTTTAACAATATGAAAAGCTTGCTGACCCTATAAAATATTAAAGATGTGTACAGTAAAGATGTGGTTTACATGTACGTACCTTTGTCATGATCTTAAGAAGATAAAAAAATGCACTTTCTTTGTGCCCATTTAGCATGTATTCTCGTTTGTACTGTTTGTGCAACACATAAGCGAAAATTGGTTTGTAAATTTTGAATATTGCTTAAGCCGGTGCCTGGGGGCGTGGACAGTAGCTTCCAATTACCACTACCGTCAATAAGACCGAGTCCGCAACCGTTTCAATTTTGCAGTGTTGGTTTTTCCTAAGTGATTCTTTCTTTCTCTATTTTGTAGATATACAGTCATGTATAATCTTACAAATATAAATTTTGTCAGCATGAACACTCAATATACGTGAACATTGTAAACGCAGTTGCCATTATAAACAATAACAGATAAAGGAATCTTTAACACATTCAATAAAACCCTTTGTAGCAGGGTGTCCTAGATGCGTCAATCTTGCAACAAGTACATGTACTTAAGAAATGTTCCTGCCAATGGTTTAATAGTTACTGCAGTCGTTATAAGAAGTATTGTTTGGCAAAGACAGTATATGTGCAAACGATTTATTGTTATATCATTGTCAATGGAGAAGTAGGAAAAGATGGTGCATTTAAAAGTCTTTGTAAAACAAAGCATAAAAAAATAATACGTCGTGCTTAATCATGTAGTTTAGTCGATTTATGTAACGATGATAGTAAAATTATTGGCAGTATGAGTGGTAGTAATGGTAACATCGTTGATAATGTAGCAGTGGTAGTGATAATAGTAGTAGTGCGAGTGATGGTTGTGGTAACAGTGTCGATAATGTGTCAATGGTAGTTATGGTAGTTGTAGTGCGAGTTGTGCCGATTTTTCTGTGTATAATTTCCCGCTCATGACTTTTCTATCTTTCTTAATATATGAGAGGAAGGATATTGATGTTGCCTTACAAGTGCTTAATATTGCCGCTACTTACACAAGCTGTATTTATTCGGAACGCAATCTTCACATTAGTTTAAATGCGCAGAATCAACTCTAAAACTGTTAGCCCCAATGGCACCGCAAGAATTGTACATGACAACAAGAGCTGTCGGTAGGACAGCAACGCTCGACTATTCTTAGTGCTTGATAGTAAAAAAAGCCTTGATAATGTAAAATTTTCTATGTTAACAAAAGCGCAAAATTTTTCTTTAAATTTATGATACAGTTATAGGCCATGAAGAGAGTCCTATTATGCTCTCAAAGAAGAGTATAAAATTTCAACTTGTTTCAAAGCCAGATGTCAATAGAATATGAAAATATCCGAGGTGGTATGCAAACTTAAATGTAAATTCTAAGTTGAAAACGGGGCATTATTCTGGCAAATGCTTGACACAGTTACCTCCTCCTGTCTACAGGTTGGGGTCATAATGGAAAACTTAAAAGCCATATGTCAATGGACTATGAAAATATTTGAGGTATTACAAAAACTTTTAACATAAATTATAAATCGAAAAAGGGGCATAATTGTGTCAAAATGCTTGATACAGTTACCTCCTCCTGTCTACAGGTTGGGGTCATGATGGTGAACAAGTGTGCAAAGTTTAAAAGCCATATGTCAATGGACTTGAAAATATTTGAGGTTTTACAAAAACTTTAACTTAAATTCTAAGTCGAAAAAGGGGCTTAATTGTGTCAAAATGCTTGATACAGTTACTTCCTCCAGTCTACAGGTTGGGTCATGATGGTGAACAAGTTAGCAAAGTTTCAAAGTCATATGTCAATGGACTTTGAAAATATTTGAAGTATTACAAAAACTTTAACATAAGTGGTTACGCCAACGATCGGGTGACTACAATAGAATACAAGAACTGTTAGAGGACAGTATTGGCTCGACTTTTTAAAAAGTTGTCACAAGGGTGTTTTATTGAGTATAATAATGCTAGTTACCTATGAATACATAAAATTGACCGAAAAGGTACAAAGGCTTGTTATTAAGATGTTTTATCAAGTAAATCACTGCTTTATTATTATGAATGCATAAAAATGTCCCAAAAAAGGCACAAACTCTTCAGTAGTAATGGAGATAACAGCTTACAAGCAAAACTTTACCATGAATTTCTAAGCTGAAAAGTGGAGAAAAATCAGCCTAAATGCAAGATAGAATTATGGATCTTGGTCAGTGACCTACAATTATGATTCTAAATGCATATGTGAAGTTTTAAATAAATATCTTTAATAGTTATTGAGATATGTTGAACTTGCATGTAAACATTAACCAAGAGACAAAGTAGAAAAGGGGAGATGAATCAGCCTAAATGCGAGTAGAGTTATGGAACTTGGTTAGTGACATACAATTATGACTCTCCAATTATGACCCTAAGTACATGTGTAAAGTTTCAAGTAAATATCTTTGAAGACCTTTAACCTTTAACCAAAATTTCTAAGTTTCAAAGGGGCAAATATTACAGGCAGAGTTATGCATTTTTGCAAACTGATGTACATTGTTACTATAAAAAAATATTGTAAATTTCAATTGAATATCTCAAGCAATAATTGATATATTTGACTTTACAAAAAAAACTTTAACCAAAATTTCTAAGTTATAAAGGGGCATAATTCTGTAAATATTACAGGCAGAGCTATTCAACTTGTCAATCTGATGTACATTGTTACTATAAATAAGTATTGTAAGTTTCAATTGAATATCTCAAGCAATAATTGAGATATTTGAATTTACAAAAAACTTTAACCAACGCAGACGCCAACGCCGGGGCGACTACAATAGCTCTCATATTCTTTGAATAGACGAGCTAATAAGAGTTGTCCCTTGTTTGACTATCGGGATATAAACAAATATTAAAATAATAACATTCAATCAAAGCTTTATGGAGTTTAAACGTATTTCTATTTAGAGTGGAAAAAAAGTTAAAGAACCACATAAGGATCATTATACTGGAGTTGCACCAAGAGCTGTCCATTGCTTGAGTATGTGGGACATGCAATATAAAATTGTTTTTCTATTCTTAGCAATTGTTGTATTATTAGTCATTTATGTAAAGGACAATTCTATAATAATTACTTCATTATTTCAACACATTTGGCTTAGTACTAAGGATGCACAACAGACAAATTCAGGTTATAAGGCCTCACTAGAGTACAATATCACGGGGGTGGAACCCCATATGTATCTCAAAAATGAGCATCGGTAAAACTTATATGTGAATTTCCGCTGCACCAAACTTACCCTGCGATTGACCTATTTTTACAGTCACATCTGGTGTTATGCTTCACATCTGGTGCAGCGGAAATTCACATATAAATTTTACAGATGCTCATTTTTGAGATACATACGGGGTTCCACCCCCGTGAATATGTACAGGTGATAAATACATGTAGTATGCATACTCCATAGGCAGGTATATTCTGTATTTCTATATATTCCTGCTCAGATTAATTCAAAATTAACTCTTTCATATTCATAATTTTTATTTTTTTACCCATTTTACAAATTTAATTATTTATCAACTATTCATACACAAAAATTATGTATACTCTGTGGGCTTTTCTATTTAAATATATTCTTACATATTTGCAAAAACAACAACAAAAAAAAAAAACAAATTTCAATTCATCCAAATCTACTTGTTTAAAGCAGCACGCCTCCAGATTCATCCTAATTTTCATGAAAATTTTGAAAATGTATTTAAAGGTAAAATATTGTGAAATGAACAAAGACAGTACTTGACACATTACAATCGGCACTTAAAATCTACGTAAATTACCAAAAAGAGGTCAAAATATGCATAAATAGCCCCTACTGCGTTAGTAGTAGAAACGCAGTAGAAATATGGGGATAAATACTACAAAATACAGTCATTAATTGCAAATAAGATATAAATAATCACTTGAATCTTTAATTTGATCACTTTTCTCAAAGTTTTAGTATGTTTTTTCCAAGTTTAAATTTCTTGAAATATTTTGGGTCACCTGGAGGCATGCAGCTTTAAGTTGGAAGATATTAGTGGTAAAAAGTTAATAAAACAAAATGGTACATTGAAAATCTGTTTTCTTTTCTGATCTTTGCAAAAAAAAAAGACTAAATTAAATGTTACTTTAACTGGACAGTGTTGGAAATTTTATGAAAAGAAAAGTAATGCTCTCCGGTGTGGAGGAAATAAATGTATCTATCTGAATATAATAGCATAATTCTTAGCCATTAGGACACAACTTCTTTACGATATTCATTATCAACAGAATGGTCTAAGCTTAATATGGTACACTAAAGGGTAGATCTATTAATAATATTTTTAAATGATTTTTCTATTACTATATTTCGTAATAATAAACAAACGATTGTAAAAGTTCTTAAAATGAGGTATTTACAATAGTATTCAAAATGATTAATTTTTCTTACTAAAAATCACCATATCAGCGAAACTAATGAATAATACATTCACTAACAAGCCAATGCAATGCATATACTTCCTAACAACAGTAGCATATAGTCTTATAAAATAAATCTATCACAGTTTAAACCAAGACAACCCTGGCAGATCTAAACACAATGAAGATCTAAACACAATGAAGCTGTCCATCACTCCTGTTCTTTATGATACAAGCTGAACAAATCTGTATTCAGATAACAGCATATTCATGATATTATGTCATGTAATAACTCCATGTTTAACCTTGTGTCACTTCCTTCCACCTTTAACAACCAGAGGTTCTGTTATATGATTAGGTGGTCCTGAAGCTGAAAAAAAAAGACAAAATACTTCAAGAAATACTACATGATATGGAAATCAAATCCTTATATCTACATTTAAAGTTATGTCAGTTACAGTCATTTGTAACAAGGAATTTGTGTCCTTAGGAAATGATGCACTTCCCAACTGCCAAAGTCGAGTTAATTTTGTTAACTGTATTCCAGTATGAAATGTCAAAAAAAAAAACAAGTATGAAGTTCTAAGTAAAGGAAATATGATTACTATTAAATTTAGTTAAACCCTCAATAGATACATCATTATATTAACAAATCAACGAGACTAAATAAAATATTAAAGTGTACAAAGCTATTTATTTCATGCTTTCCAGTGTAACTGTAATATATCAGATGATTATATTTTGATAAACCACTAGTGAAATTTATAAAATATAATTTTCACTGTAGCCGAACTATATCTGAATGCGGATGAAAAGAATATTATAACTAAATGGAATAACAGGCAGAAATAAATGCCTTCATAATGAAGTTCATATGTAAATTTTGCTTCTTCAGGAAAAGAAAGTCAATGTCATCATACATCATGTTAAAAATGTAACAAAATTAGAGAAATTTAACAGAACTATATTTCAAAATTGATGATGTGACGTCATGATGTGATGACGTCACAAAGGAGAATGTGTGACATTACGCGGCAAAATCAGTAAAAATACTTTAAATCACTTAAAAAGCATGAAATAAAAAGAAATTTATTTGTTTTGCATGTAAAATTGAAATATATTTCATTTGTGAACACCAGCTATTCTATTCACTTGTGGCTACGCCACTTATGAAAATATTACATCTGGTGTTCACTCAGTGAAATATATTTCAATCTAATTTTCAAAACAAACAAATATCCTCTATCTCTCTACAACCTGCAGTTTTCAAAAATATTGTTTTAGTTTTGAAAAAGAACAAGTCAAAAATGCATGAAAGAAATTTGTTTACATTGCTAAACGGTTAAAACCCTACATTAAAGTGAAACTGCAGAACAATATTTTGTTCCATAACATTTTATTCTGCTCACTTACATTATTCACGTGTGTTAGATAACGGATACATCCTTAACTACAACTCTTTTGAGAATCAACACCAACATAATTTTACAGTTTTTGAATTTTATAAAAACTATATTATTAGATATCACTTTAAACCCTTTTGGACAAAAATGAGCCGTGCCATGACAAATCCAGCATCCATGCAGACTAATCAGGATCCATGCTGTTCGCTATCAGTTTCTCTACATGTAATATGGTTTGTTAGTGAACAGCATGGATCCTTATCAGTGCAGATGCACAGGCTGGTTTGGATACATGCTGGTCCCAAACGCACAATGTTGGCTTGTTATTGCCCGGCTCAAATGCCAACAAAACAAACTACATTCTTGATCAGATATGATATTCATAAATAAACTACAAAAGTCGAATTACCCATCTCGTTTTCTAATTCCTCTAAGAATCTTGAACTTTGACCTCTGTTCTGCATTGCTGATCTCGTGCTTTTCCCTCTATTTTTATTCATATATTGTCCAACAAGACTGTATAAAAGGGGTCTGAAAGTAAAAACCAAAAACTTCTTAAAATAAAATGAACCATTTCTATTCCTTACAATTTATATTACTGGTATTTTATCTCTGATTTGTTAGTAGCAAAACAAGGGCTACATGTACCCCTCCATATTTCAATGCGTTAAAAAGTTTTATTGCCCAAACTGCCCAAAAAATGCTTTGTTAAATAATTTTAATTGAAAACCTTCTACTGATTTTAACATGAGAATTGATCTCCTCAAATTTTTATACCATTTGGAGGCATGCTGCTTTATAGGATAATGTTTATGTAACTGGTCTTATCTTATAATATATACAATAAAATTTAAAACAAGAACCGGTTGAACCGGGTGATGCTCCCCGAGAAGGTTCTGGACACAGGAAAGTATAAAAAAAATGAACAAAGGGCAAAAACTCCAAAATTAGGCAAAGCGGAGTTATGTTTTTTTGCACTGCACTTCTATTCAATGAGGTCTATCTATCTATAAAGTTTCCTGATGATATCAGAGTTATGTCCTGGGTAAAAGTCAAAGTGTAAAAATTAACAAAGGGCAATAACTCCAAAATTAGACCAAGCTTCGTTTAGGTTCTTTAAGCATTGCAGTTCTATCCAATTATATCTAGCTACCTACAAAGTTTCATGTTGATATCTCTAATAGTTTTAAAGTAATGTCCAGGACAAAAGTCAAAAAGTAAAAATAAACAAAGGGCAATTTCTTCAAAATAAGGCAAGGCAGAGTAATGATTCTTAAGCACTGCACTTCCACCCAATGAGACCTATCTATCTACAAAGTTTCATGTTGATATCTCTTATAATTTTAGAGTAATGTCCCAGACAAAGTTCAAAGTGTCAAAATAAACAAAGGGCAATAACTCCAAAAGTAGGCAAGACAGTGTAACAGTTCTTGTGCACTGCAAACTTACTCAATGAGATCTATCTTCCTACAAAGTTTCATGTTGATACCTCTTATACATTAAGAGTTATGTCCCGGACATAGTTCCAAGTGTAAAAATAAACAAAGGGGGATAATTCACAAATTAGGCAAGGCAGAGTTAAGGTTCTTGTTCACTGCACACCTACTCAATGAGATCTATCTACCTACAAAGTTTCATGTTGATACCTCTTATACTTTTAGAGTTATGTCCCGGACAAAGTTCAAAGTGTAAATAAACAAAGGGGGATAATTCAAAAATTAGACAAGGCAGAGTTACGGTTCTTGGGCACTGCACACCTTCTCAATGAGATCTATCTACCTACAAAGTTTCATGTTGATACCTCTTATACTTTAGAGTTATGTCCCGGACAAAGTTCAAAGTGTAAAATAAACAAAGGGGAATAATTCAAAAATTAGGCAAGGCAGAGTTACGGTTCTTGTGCACTGCACACCTACTCAATGAGATATATCTACCTACAAAGTTTCTTGTTTATACCTCTTATACTTTTAGAGTTATGTCCAGGACAAATTTCAAAGTGTAAAATAAACAAAGGGGGATAATTAAAAAATTAGGCAAGGCAGAGTTATGGTTCTTGTGAACTGCACACCCACTCAATGAGATCTATCTACCTACAAAGTTTCATGTTGATACCTCTTATACTTTTAGAGTTATGTCCCGGACAAAGTTCAAAGTGTAAAATAAACAAAGGGGAATAATTAAAAAATTAGGCAAGGCAGAGTTATGGTTATTGTGCACTGCCTACCTACTCAATGAGATCTATCTAACTACAAAGTTTCATGTTGATACCTCTTATACTTTTAGAGTTATGTCCCGGACAAAGTTCAAAGTGTAAAATAAACAAAGGGGGATAATTCACAAATTAGGCAAGGCGGAGTTACGGTTCTTGTGCACTGCACACATATTTAATGAGATCTATCTACCTACAAAGTTTCATGTTGATACCTCTTATACTTTTAGAGTTATGTCCCGGACAAATTTAAAAGTGTAAAATAAACAAAGGGGGGTAATTGAAAAATTAGGCAAGGCAGAGTTACGGTTCTTGTGCACTGCACACCTACTCAATGAGATATATCTACCTACAAAGTTTCATGTTGATACCTCTTATACTTTTAGAGTTATGTCCCGGACAAAGTTCAAAGTGTAAAATAAACAAAGGGGGATAATTCAAAAATTAGGCAAGGCAGAGTTACGGTTCTTGGGCACTGCACACCTACTCAATGAGATCTATCTACCTACAAAGTTTCATGTTGATACCTCTTGTTGTTTCAAAGTTATGTCCCGGACAAGAAAAGGGGACGGACGGACGGACGGACGGACGGACAAGGCGGCGACTATATGCTCCCCCGAAATTTTTTCGGGGAGCATAATAACCTTTGTTCTTATACTTGTTATATAGTTCTTTTTTCGTCTGTATAAAATGGTTGAGTTCAAGCAAGTAGTAATACAAACACAAGGGAATCAGCTCAAGTAGTATATTACAGACTTACACAACATGCTATAAAGGACTTTTTTCATAAAGAAAGTATTGCTCATAAAATATTTTTGATATACATTTGTATTACAACTTGACCATTTAATGACAAAATAGATTTTTATCTTTCTTGTTAGGGATTTTCAGCCACATCAACAATGTTACATTGAAGAGGTGGCTAGCATTAAAGTTCTTAAGGTACTCTGTCATGGAGAAAGAAGACCCATGACAGAGAAAACCCATGATAGAGAAAAGAAGACATAGAAAAGTCTGGTAAAAGCTAATTTAATCTACCAGTATACCACTGACAATAAGATTCAAGTATAACTTACACCTGACTACAATTTTTATCCTCTTCCACATTTAATTCTTCTGCTAAAAACCCTCTGTCTAGTGGTTGTTTAGGTTGCCCAGTTTCTGCAATAAAGTTTATTCTGCATAGATCTTTAAAAAACATAAATTCAGCATTACAATAGCATATCAGTTTCACAATATCTAAAAAGATTTAGAAAAGTGTACAATAACACATGCAAAATTATCTAGTTCTTTTGTTTATACCAGTCTCGTAGTATTTTTAAGAGAAATACATGTACGACAGTAGATCCATTATTTACAATAGGCAGTCTGCAAATTTAACACTAGCCCACTAGCCCATAGTTAGTAAAATTGAGGTCAGGCCCGTATAATTTTCCAAGTATTAAAGTATTAAACTAGCCTGACTGGTCTGTGAAAAATTAGCAGTCAAAAAGAAGTCAGTCACCATTTACTAGCAAGATGACTGTATTTCAAATAGAACAACTACTTTATCCTCGATTCAAGGGAATAGAATTACAGAAATTACTTTCCACTTTGGAAGCATAACATTTCCTGTTAAAGCCTATTTGGGTGTAGGGCCTTTTAACCTTCTATAACAGGGCCGGTATATGGCTGCTTCCCCAAAGAAAATTTCTTTAAAATCATGCAGTTTTCCTATTACATCAAGTTTTTTCTTCCCCTTTTGCAAATATACTGTGTAATTTTTACCCAAAATAAAGGACTGGGCTGCTTCCCCAACCTGTGAAAAAAAGCCCTGGGGCTAGTTGACATTGCCAACCAATAGGATGAATGGCTTATGGTTTTCTGGTAATAAATTCTTTGACTAAAGTTATCTATGTCAGAAAAAAAGAAATAATACTTACATATAATTATAAATATAATAAGTTTTAATTGATATCATAAACACATGTTTATTAATAATAAATATAATAGAATCTTACTTACCAGCAACCATCACAGAGGCTGTATACTTATATTTATTGAACTCCAGATATTCTCTGATCAGTTCATTTATTATCATATTTTCATTACTAAGCGGAGGTTTAGAATCATTCTGATCATCCAATGATTTGAAAACCTCTGCTCTTATTCTTGCTTTAATCTGGCCTAAAACCCCTCGGTTCTCTAATGTGTCTTTAATAACTGAAACAAACCAGGAATCACACTTTAAGTTCTATAATTACAACTATAACATTGCAAATTATACAATGCACAATAGATTGGTAAATAATAAGAGCTTTCATGAGGCTGGCAAAATATTCCTGATCTGACAATTGCAACTTTAAAAGAAGGTATCACAGACAAAAATATGCCTTCAAAATAGATAGCAAATTACTGTTGCTGAATCACAAAAATAATCCTATTTCAATTATTTTGAAGGCAGTGGCTAGCCCTAATGGCCCATATTGCGAGCCAAAAGTTCTAGCCGTACATAAGTCAGGTACAACTAGCCTATACACACTGTTGAGCCTGGCCATACAGTGTTGTTAAAATAAATAACCTAAAACAATAATGAATATGCAAACTTGTATTTCTAAATGAAGATTTTATTGAACATCATGAAAACTTTATCTATTACATTAGTTCTGGCTTCCAAAACTTTATAAGCCGCTTTTTAACATTTTTGTTTTTCATCTGATGCGGCATTAAAGTTTTGGATTAGACCCGTTACAAAAAACCTAACCAGAATAACATAAGTTGATTTATTCTTGTTTTTCACTTGCAAATACACTTGACCCAATCAATTCTTGTGCATTTTACGATAAAACAATCATTTTAATATCATTCTATACCAATTAAAGTATCAAAATATTAATACCGTCATTAAAATTGCCTATTTAACTGTAAAATATCAATTTACGCCGACTACAGTTGGCCATGACATTCAGGTGCCACGCGAGATCTCGTATGACGTCATTCGCGGGAACAGATTTGAATAGAGTCGTGTACTTTATTTAGAACATTTTGTTGACATGATTTCGATACTTTTATTCAAGATAATGTTTTTATTTATTTTCATTAATTTTTTAGTACTTAAATACGATTGTATTGAATATAAAAGTCAGTAAATCACCTTTTTCAATATCTTTAAAAAAAGGAATTTATAAAAATATTGGAGGCACATGGGTTCGTAAAGGTCAATCTCATAATCACGTGATCAAACATTTTGGCAATATGGCGGCCAAGTGCCGAAAATTTTACCTGCCGGAAACTATTAGGTAGTTTATGTTCGTAATAAGATTTTTATTTGTCCATCCTTGGCTTATCAACAGATTATATATAGTTTTATCAAGGTATGCTTCACTTTACTTCATGGCATGTTCGATGAATAAATACGAGCGTGTCAGATTCCTGGCACGATTATTGGTGGACTTTCCCTATGGGGTTATCTTCAGCGTTCACGCCATGTCATAGTATATAAACGGGTATGCTGAAGACCTTAAGCTACTATTACAGTAGATATATTAATTTTTGGCATTTGATGCAGGAGGTTTTTTTTGCTTATATTATAGCCGTAAATGGGTCATATTCCCAATCAATTGAAAATAGGCTAGACATAAGTGACTCACATATGGCTAGAACTTTTGGCTAGTAGTAAGGCTAGCCACTTATGCCACTTCCTGTTTTGAAATAGATCTAATCAAGATGTTTCAATATTTTTTTATTATTTTGATTATATGAAACAAAAACGGATGGAAACTGATCTTTTTAAAACATGATAGTAACGCTTAAACTATCCCAACGTCGGGTATTTTCGTGGGAGGGGTATTTTCGTGGTTTCACCGTTTTCCGGTATATATAAGTTTTGAGCACGCACATGGTTCCGGTCGCGTAATTTTTTAGAAGTTTGCATGTAATGTAAACACTGCCAAAGTTTTTTTTCCAAAATGGAAGTTAGAAAGGTAAGTAAAAATAACATTAATGTAGATACAAAGATTTTTACCTGTTTTCCTAAATCCATAAAGTTGGCAATTTTCTAATCTGTCTTTAAAAAACACCAGAGTCCTAAAAATATTTGACAGTTTGGCTGCAATTTGACTATCCTCCCAACCACAGGTCACGTGACTTTCATTGATGAAAAGTGGTCTCACATAGTAATTTTTTTTGCCGAATGACTGATGGTACCTTATGCCAAAAAACCCGGAAGTGGTAAGTAAATTAATTTATATAACTATTCTGTTTGGTCACCTCTTCTACCTACAAGACAGGAACAAGTGCCCATACCTCACTAACAGGAAGTGTGGGAGATGCGATTAATGTCATAGATGGGTCCACTTGACATTTGCTCAGAAGTTAGAGTTTTGAGACTTGCGGACACTTTCCTATGCCACAATTGTAAAAAATAACTTATGTGAGACCTCCAAATGTAAATTGTGACCTGTTCCTTTTCCCGCCATTTTTGTTATTAAGGTTTTCTGACATTTTAATCATGTTGAAAACAATGATAATTGCTTGAAAAAGGATTTAATGCCTAAAAATATGGATTTTTTTCTTAAAAACTGTTTTTATCAGTAATCACATGTGACCCACGAAAATACCCCTCGGAGAAAAATGCTAGCTCTGCATTGGTACCGGAAGGTATGTACATTGTATTTTTATGTTAAAAGTAGGTCATCTGTTAAAAGTTATTCTTTTGTGTACGTAAATGATTGGTTTATTTAAAATTTATTGCTTTTAATAAATTTTCTGAAAAAATATCCGTTACGTCAACGACATGGTCCTTATACCCACGAAAATACCCTACGCGGGGATATCTAATTATATTTTAATACAATACATATGATATTCAGTCGACATAATTTTATTTATTTTTATCGAAGTGGTATGAAAAAATTAAGGGCGATTTTCATACTTTGCTAGTTCCAACATGTTCGCTCATACTTCTTGAATATTAATACATTTTCAAATTTTAACAATGCTTATTTTAGCTAAATATCTAATCATTGCGCGTCAGTTATGACTCATATCGACAATTTCGTAGTCATAGGGTTAAATAACTGTAATTTACCATCTTTCAATTCGTGAGTAGACGACATTTTTGACTGCCGCTTGCGTAAAACGTCATCAATTTTGGGGATGTACTATTCTCCGGTCCGGTCGCTTCCGGTCTCCGGTCTCTCCCGGTCTATTTTGACCGGAATTTACGAGAGACCGGCGAATAGCATCATATTTACTAGCCCGGTCAGTGCCGGTCTTCTAAACATTATTAGATCTTTGTAGATGTGATGATATAAGATTTTTTTTCGTATATAATGTATTTCGTTTCACATAAATCGTTTTTATTTTGTGTTTTTTTTTTTTGTTTTTAATTATAGATAAAAATGTAAAAGCGTAAAACGGGAAAAGATATATTAATTCATGTGAGCATAAAATGTTTTAAATGAAAAAGCATATTAATTACGGGGGAGTCTGTTAATTGTTTAATTTTAAAGCAGTTTGTATTTTTTTCATGATTTGATATAAAAAGTGCAGCATTAATATTATAACGACTAATATAGATCAAAGAAAAAATAATCCGACCTGTTAAATAGAAAATATACAGCAAATGATGGCAATATCTAAAAAGATAAAAAAAAAAAAAATCAAATAAAAGTATTAAACAATTAAATGGTAAATAAATAGTATTTTTGATTTATTATCTTCATTGAGATCAAACAATGAAAGAAAATTTAATAGATGTAACCGCATATTAGTTGTATTGAACAGGCATCCCTCAAATATTTAAAATTAAAACTTTCTGTTCATGTGAATTGCCCGAGTTTGTAGACAATCTAATTAATTGTGGTAACAGAACATGTAGAAAATGGTATCATCATAGATGTGTTGGAAACAAAAAGAATATAAGAAAATCGCTTGATAACTTGTCTTGGGAATGCACTAAATGTAAAGAAAATAACATTAAAGTGAATAAAAAGAAGAATAAATCAATACCTAAATGAGGGCAAAAATAAGTATAAGATGAAAAAGTTTGAAATAACAAAATAAGTATAGCTAACTAAATAGATAAATATATATAAAATAATTTCAAAGATATTAATTAATTGACTTTTATGCTCTTGCTTTTTGTTGTTGTTGTATTGCATTGTATTGTTTTTTAATTAAATATTTCGTTATATGAATAAAACATTATCATTATCAGGTTACATTGCGCTTTTTTACATTTTGTAAATGATAAAATACATTTATAATGTTATATTATATGTATATAATATATGTATGTCATTATTTATAATTGCTTTTTGTGCATAATGTTGATGTATATATGTTCTGTGTTGTTGTTAAAATTATAAATGATTGACGATATTATGCAACAGTCTTCTCTTTTAAATTATAAAATTTTAATTTATACTTAAATTGTTAGTTTTTTATGTTCATCAATGTAATTTCGTGATTATCAATGGCAACGGACATATATGTATATAATCATTTATAAACTATTTGTGTAACGCATGATCAACACCACACTTGTTTATTGTCCCTTATTATGTAATCTCTATTAGCGAAGTCTCCATCATTAAATATCTTAAGATATCTGTTCACACTTAGTAAAAATATGACACTGATTAAATTACCATGTTAATCATGTTGAGCAAAATTGTTCAGTAATTGTAACATATGTTTTAATTAATATGTCTTTTTCTTTATCTTTTATGAAAAATGTTTTCCTTTTGTTTGTGTTTTATGTGCTATTTTAATACTGACTTAGTACGTTTATTACTATTTTTATATATAATTTTAAAAATTCAATTGTCATGTTGACCAACGATTATGAAAAATTATCTAAAATTAACAGGAAAAAGTCAGTAAATTATGATTAATATTTCAAAATAAAATATTCATTAACCTTAAACCATTTATTTATTATTATTATTTTAAAAAAATATATCAATCAATATAATATTCATAAAATCTACTTTTTAACTTAGAATCTCTTTACTAAACGCGAATAGCAAATCAGAGACATAGATTAACAGAGATAAGCAGCTCCTAATATCTGTTATCTATGTCTCTGAGCAAATTAAATAAATGATTTATCAATACCATAAAAAATGTACCCTTTATTCAATGATTGTATATATTATTGTTTTTATCATACATAAAAAAATGAAAATGTTATTATTATTTTTAGAATTGAAAGTTTATGTATAGTTTTATAATAGATCTAATAATAGATCTAATTAATAAATAAATTTGTGAAATGATCTGTGTTAATTAATTATTGTAACCAAACTTAATTAGTGACAAACATTCATTTTGGAGAAAAAAACTTATTTATTTGTCACGATATCAAATAAAATATCTACTCCTAAACCGGGAGAGACCGGAAAATAAAACGTGTGATCTATTCGCCGGTCTCTTGTAAAATCCGGTCAAAATAGACCGGGAGAGACCGGGATTTACCGATAGGAGACCGGAAGAATAGTACATCCTCAATTTTGTGGTCTGCGTTTGATTTTACTGTACTTTATTTGTGATAAATTATCAATTATATTAATCAAATAAAACAAGCGTTAATGAGCCAGTATTTAAATATGTTAGAGAGTTTAATTGATTTGTAACTTAAAAAATTTTGCAGCCCTAAGAGACAAAGAAAAGAAGATCCCAAATAACCTGACATTTTTGGTCCTGGGAAAGAAAAGTCTTATCAGATTAATTCTAAAAAAAACATCCTATTCAAGTAGACCATAACAAAATGGCAGCGCACATGAAAGCATTGCGTTTGTACAATATTGAATGAATTGACTTTCTTCGTGTTAGCAGAAGGGTATACTGAAGATACTGTGATAATATCTTCGAAGAGGAAGTTGTTTGATGTTTATAAGGTAACTGAAGCGATTGATGAAGAATAAGGAAACAGCTTGTAACAAGAAAGCAATGTGTTTTCGCGATTTCAATAAAATACAAACCGATTGACATAGTTCTGGCTTCCATAACTTTATATGCCTGTCGATAATCAGAATTGATTGTTAAGCAGTATGATGTAGGTGTAGATTGTTATTTTGACGTTGTGCGACAGTAAAGTTATGGGTCAACCCTGTTTGCAAAGCTACCAGAATTTTGGCAGTTAGTGTGCCGTACATAAAACCTAATATGAAATTAGGCAAAGCCTATGAATGGGGAAGTCAGTTATTTTTTTCTTTTTAAAGGTGTCATTCGGTATTATATGCACCGCTTCCGTTTTCACTCAGAATATTCTACGATTATTATTTATCCAAAACATTGCGATTGTCCGTTATCGGAATCTCCCGCCTAATATGAAATTAGGTGCTACCTATGGCGCGGAAAGTTCTTATGAACTATGATTTGAGCATAACATGTTTAGTGTACATGTAAACCAGATCTTTCTTGCAGGTATTTTGTACTAAACAAAACAAATAAATTGGTGGTGTTAAACCTATCGTCGGAGCACTAGGAATATTCCGAAAATCTCCATACGTAAAGGCGACCACTGCGCATGCGTCGGGGTTTGGAAAATTCCGTCCGCCATTTTTTGTTAATCTCTAATCATAGTTGTTGTTTTTACGTTATTTTTAATGTGCTAATTTATCAAAAAGGATATGGTAAAGTAACTTTTTATATTTATAATCGTTACTATAGTTCTTATCAATGAAATGCATGTTTACTTTCTGATTTTGCACATCATTCTCTCACCGGAAGTGTTATTTAGCGTCGCTAGCAATAGTCTAAATTATGTAGACGCTCATTAAAAGCGCTCTGATATCTATATTTAGCTCAAAAGGATTTCAAAATGGTGGCGCCCAGTTAACTAAGGATTTTTTCACAGCTCATTTGAGTCATTAGGTATAGGATATATATTTTTTGAAATTTTCATTGACTTTTGATTTGATTTCATTTGAATTGATACGCGTCATACAATCATGTTATCTAAGAGCGCTACAGCCACTTTCCGCGTATTATCATTGAATTACATTGAAAATGGCGCCGCCCGACTAGAACTGACACTGAAAATTTCATTGATAGGTATAGAATTCTATGTATTCTTTAATTGTTTTTTATTTGATTTTCTTTTAAATGTACACGTGTAGTCTATAGCCGGGCAATCCAAAGCCCGGGCCTGCATTGCGGACCCAGCCTTTGACTTCCCCATATAAAAATCACCCTTATTAATCAAATTTGGGTCAAATAAGAATACCATTTGATAAACAAATCAATTTTGAATCAATTCATTTTTTGTTTTTAAATGAAACTTCAATGACATTGTGTACCCAACTATTTGCTAGGGAAATATGTAGAGAATGTTTACCAATAATATGGAGTCTGCTTTCAAATGAAATCTCGTGGGACTTCAAGTTTTTGGAAATCTAGCATCTATTTTTAATAACGGACCATACACTATTTTTAATGAGCGTATGATTTTAAATAAAAATGAACAAATAATTCATGAATCATCACTCAAAACAATATAAATCCAACATGTTTTTGGTACAATGTCTGTTATTGAATAAATACACCGTTAAAAACTTATTCATAATTGCAAAATTGCATGTTTTCAATTAAAAAAAGCATTTGGGTCAGGGGTCACCAAATGTCATGCAAAGGTATCCAAACCTAAATTCTCGCTAATCACGTGATAATTGGGGCAGCAATGGCGGCAAATTTTATGAAATGTGAACTGATAAACTTTGAGGCATTATTTCATCAATCTAATGTTCTGTGTTCAAAAATAAAGACTGAGGTGTCCCAAATATATCTAACTACCTGTATTAAAATAGCTTTTGTCCAGATCTTGCAAATTTATTGAATTACAGCATGACATAAATATGTCAGGGTTCTGGTTGACTTTCGATACGGGATTGGCTTCAGCAAACAGGTCTAGCAGTACTACCTGTTCGCTGAGTCTCTTTAGTAACGATTGACAGTTTCCGAACTAGCAGACGACAGGCTATTCTTATCGCTAGATTTGCGAGAAAAGATAAACTGTTACATACCTCACTGTATAAAATGTGTTTAAAATGGTCTGACTTGTGGTCGGTTTAACCCTAAATTTAAATAACTTCTAAATAGTGTTCAACAATGTGTTGAAATATATACTGAGACCGAGCTAAGATCACAAGTTTTTCATTGGTGTAATAAATTTTAAAATCGGACATTAAATCACCCCAAACTAGTGGTTTGAAAATGGTTAAATCTGCATTGTTTTAGTATTTAAAAAATTAGAGATATCGATTTAACTCTAAAGATAAGGGAACAACTCTTGTTTTTTCACTCAATATACCTCGGTTATTTACATAGTACATAGAGCTCCAGATAGCATGCCTGTCAGATTGAAATACACATAGAAAATTAAAATATGCATCACTTTCAGAATTCATGCGTCTAAGTTACACACAACAAATAAACATTTGATATGTTTTTCATTGATGAAAAGTGGTCTCACATAGTAATTTTTTTTGCCGAATGACTGATGGTACCTTATGCCAAAAAACCGGAAGTGGTAAGTAAATTAATTTATATAACTATTCTGTTTGGTCACCTCTTCTACCTACAAGACAGGAACAAGTGCCCATACCTCACTAACAGGAAGTGTGGGAGATGCGATTAATGTCATAGATGGGTCCACTTGACATTGCTCAGAAGTTAGAGTTTGAGACTTGCGGACACTTTCCTATGCCACAATTGTAAAAAATAACTTATGTGAGACCTCCAAATGTAAATTGTGACCTGTTCCTTTTCCCGCCATTTTTGTTATTAAGGTTTTCTGACATTTTAATCATGTTGAAAACAATGATAATTGCTTGAAAAAGGATTTAATGCCTAAAATATGGATTTTTTTTCTTAAAAACTGTTTTTATCAGTAATCACATGTGACCCACGAAAATACCCCTCGGAGAAAAATGCTAGCTCTGCATTGGTACCGGAAGGTATGTACATTGTATTTTTATGTTAAAAGTAGGTCATCTGTTAAAAGTTATTCTTTTGTGTACGTAAATGATTGGTTTATTTAAAATTTATTGCTTTTAATAAATTTTCTGAAAAATATCCGTTACGTCAACGACATGGTCCTTATACCCACGAAAATACCCTACGCGGGGATATCTAATTATATTTTAATACAATACATATTCAGTCGACATAATTTTATTTATTTTTATCGAAGTGGTATGAAAATATTAAGGGCGATTTTCATACTTTGCTAGTTCCAACATGTTCGCTCATGTACTTCTTGATTATTAATACATTTTCAAATTTTAACAATGCTTATTTTAGCTAAATATCTAATCATTGAGCTTCAGTTATGACTCAAATCGACAATTTCATAGTCATAGGGTTAAATAACTGTAATTTACCATCTTTCAATTCGTGAGTAGACGACATTTTTGACTGCCGCTTGCGTAAAACGTCATCAATTTTGGGGATGTACTATTCTCCGGTCCGGTCGCTTCCGGTCTCCGGTCTCTCCCGGTCTATTTTGACCGGAATTTACGAGAGACCGGCGAATAGCATCATATTTACTAGCCCGGTCAGTGCCGGTCTTCTAAACATTATTAGATCTTTGTAGATGTGATGATATAAGATATTTTTTTCGTATATAATGTATTTCGTTTCACATAAATCGTTTTTATTTTGTGTTTTTTTTTGTTGTTTTTAATTATAGATAAAAATGTAAAAGCGTAAAACGGGAAAAGATATATTAATTCATGTGAGCATAAAATGTTTTAAATGAAAAAGCATATTAATTACGGGGGAGTCTGTTAATTGTTTAATTTTAAAGCAGTTTGTATTTTTTTCATGATTTGATATAAAAAGTGCAGCATTAATATTATAACGACTAATATAGATCAAAGAAAAAAATAATCCGACCTGTTAAATAGAAAATATACAGCAAATGATGGCAATATCTAAAAAGATAAAAAAAAAAAATTCAAATAAAAGTATTAAACAATTAAATGGTAAATAAATAGTATTTTTGATTTATTATCTTCATTGAGATCAAACAATGAAAGAAATTTAATAGATGTAACCGCATATTAGTTGTATTGAACAGGCATCCCTCAAATATTTAAAATTAAAACTTTCTGTTCATGTGAATTGCCCGAGTTTGTAGACAATCTAATTAATTGTGGTAACAGAACATGTAGAAAATGGTATCATCATAGATGTGTTGGAAACAAAAAGAATATAAGAAAATCGCTTGATAACTTGTCTTGGGAATGCACTAAATGTAAAGAAAATAACATTAAAGTGAATAAAAAGAAGAATAAATCAATACCTAAATGAGGGCAAAAATAAGTATAAGATGAAAAAGTTTGAAATAACAAAATAAGTATAGCTAACTAAATAGATAAATATATATAAAATAATTTCAAAGATATTAATTAATTGACTTTTATGCTCTTGCTTTTTGTTGTTGTTGTATTGCATTGTATTGTTTTTTAATTAAATATTTCGTTATATGAATAAAACATTATCATTATCAGGTTACATTGCGCTTTTTTACATTTTGTAAATGATAAAATACATTTATAATGTTATATTTATATGTATATAATATATGTATGTCATTATTTATAATTGCTTTTTGTGCATAATGTTGATGTATATATGTTCTGTGTTGTTGTTAAAATTATAAATGATTGACGATATTATGCAACAGTCTTCTCTTTTAAATTATAAAATTTTAATTTATACTTAAATTGTTAGTTTTTTATGTTCATCAATGTAATTTCGTGATTATCAATGGCAACGGACATATATGTATATAATCATTTATAAACTATTTGTGTAACGCATGATCAACACCACACTTGTTTATTGTCCCTTATTATGTAATCTCTATTAGCGAAGTCTCCATCATTAAATATCTTAAGATATCTGTTCACACTTAGTAAAAATATGACACTGATTAAATTACCATGTTGATCATGTTGAGCATAATTGTTATAATATACAGTAATTGTCATATCTGTTTTAATATGTCCTTTTCTTCATCTTTTATGAAAAATGTTTTCCTTTTGTTTGTGTTTTATGTGCTATTTTAATACTGACTTAGTACGTTTATTACTATTTTTTATATAAATTTTAAAAATTCAATTGTCATGTTGACCAACGATTATGAAAATTATCTAAAATTAACAGGAAAAAGTCAGTAAATTATGATTAATATTTCAAAATAAAATATTCATTAACCTTAAACCATTTATTTATTATTATTATTTTAAAAAAAATATATCAATCAATATAATAATTCATAAAATCTACTTTTTAACTTAGAATCTCTTTACTAAACGCGAATAGCAAATCAGAGACATAGATAACAGAGATAAGCAGCTCCTATATCTGTTATCTATGTCTCTGAGCAAATTAAATAAAATGATTTATCAATACCATAAAAAATGTACCCTTTTATTCAATGATTGTATATATTTATTGTTTTTATCATACATAAAAAAAATGAAAATGTTATTATTATTTTTAGAATTGAAAGTTTATGTATAGTTATAATAGATCTAATAATAGATCTAATTAATAAATAAATTTGTGAAATGATCTGTGTTAATTAATTATTGTAACCAAACTTAATTAGTGACAAACATTCAATTTTGGAGAAAAAAACTTATTTATTTGTCACGATATCAAATAAAATATCTACTCCTAAACCGGGAGAGACCGGAAAATAAACGTGTGATACTATTCGCCGGTCTCTTGTAAAATCCGGTCAAAATAGACCGGGAGAGACCGGGATTTACCGATAGGAGACCGGAGAATAGTACATCCCTCAATTTTGTGGTCTGCGTTTGATTTTACTGTACTTTATTTGTGATAAATTATCAATTATATTAATCAAATAAACAAGCGTAATGAGCCAGTATTTAAATATGTTAGAGAGTTTAATTGATTTGTAACTTAAAATTTTGCAGCCTAAGAGACAAAGAAATCCCAAATAACTGACTTTTTGGTCCTGGGATCTTATCAGATTAATTCTAAAAAAAAATCCTATTCAAGTAGACCATAACAAAATGGCAGCGCACATGGAAAGCATTGCGTTTTGTACAATATTGAATGAAATTGACTTTCTTCGTGTTACAGAAGGGTATACTGAAGATACTGTGATAATATCTTCGAAGAGGAAGTTGTTTGATGTTTATAAGGTAACTGAAGCGATTGATGAAGAATAAGGAAACAGCTTGTAACAAGAAAGCAATGTGTTTTCGCGATTTCAATAAAATACACCGATTGACATAGTTCTGGCTTCCATAACTTTATATGCCTGTCATAATCAGAATTGATTGTTAAGCAGTATGATGTAGGTGTAGATGTTATTTTGACGTTGTGCGACAGTAAAGTTATGGGTCAACCCTGTTTGCAAAGGCTACCAGAATTTTGGCAGTTAGTGTGCCGTACATAAAACCTAATATGAAATTAGGCAAAGCCTATGAATGGGGAAGTCAGTTATTTTTTTCTTTTTAAAGGTGTCATTCGGTATTATATGCACCGCTTCCGTTTTCACTCAGAATATTCTACGATTATTATTTATCCAAAACATTGCGATTGTCCGTTATCGGAATCTCCCGCCTAATATGAAATTAGGTGCTACCTATGGCGCGGAAAGTTCTTATGAACTATGATTTGAGCATAACATGTTTAGTGTACATGTAAACCAGATCTTTCTTGCAGGTATTTTGTACTAAACAAAACAAATAAATTGGTGGTGTTAAACCTATCGTCGAGAGCACTAGAATATTCCGAAAATCTCCATACGTAAAGGCGACCACTGCGCATGCGTCGGGGTTTTGGAAAAATTCCGTCCGCCATTTTTTGTTAATCTCTAATCATAGTTGTTGTTTTTACGTTATTTTTAATGTGCTAATTTATCAAAAAGGATATGGTAAAGTAACTTTTTATATTTATAATCGTTACTATAGTTCTTATCAATGAAATGCATGTTTACTTTCTGATTTTGCACATCATTCTCTCACCGGAAGTGTTATTTAGCGTCGCTAGCAATAGTCTAAATTATGTAGACGCTCATTAAAAGCGCTCTGATATCTATATTTAGCTCAAAAGGATTTCAAAATGGTGGCGCCCAGTTAACTAAGGATTTTTTCACAGCTCATTTGAGTCATTAGGTATAGGATATATATTTTTTGAAATTTTCATTGACTTTTGATTTGATTTCATTTGAATTGATACGCGTCATACAATCATGTTATCTAAGAGCGCTACAGCCACTTTCCGCGTATTATCATTGAATTACATTGAAAATGGCGCCGCCCGACTAGAACTGACACTGAAAATTTCATTGATAGGTATAGAATTCTATGTATTCTTTAATTGTTTTTTATTTGATTTTCTTTTAAATGTACACATGTAGTCTATAGCCGGGCAAGCCAAAGCCCAGGCCCGCATTGCAGACCCAGCCTTTGACTTCCCCGTATTAAAATCACCCTTATTAATCAAATTTGGGTCAAATAAGAATACCATTTGATAAACAAATCAATTTTGAATCAATTCATGTTTTGTTTTTAAATGAAACTTCAATGAAATTTTGTACCCAACTATTTGCTAGGGAAATAATTATGTAGAGAATGTTTACCAATAATATGGAGTCTGCTTTCAAATGAAATCTCGTGGGACTTCAAGTTTTTGGAAATCTAGCATCTATTTTTGATAACGGACCATACACTATTTTTAATGAGCGTACGATTTTAAATAAAAATGAACAAATAATTCATGAATCATCACTCAAAACAATATAAATCCAACATGTTTTTGGTACAATGTCTGTTATTGAATAAATACACCGTTTTTCATAATTGCAAAACCATGCAAAACCAAAAAAGCATTTGGGTCACGGGTCACCAAATGTCATGCAAAGGTATCGGAACCTAAATTCTGGCTAATCACGTGATAATTGGGGCAGCAATGGCGGCAAATTTTATGAAATGTGAACCCACTGATAAACTTTGAGGCATTATTTCATCAATCTAATGTTCTGTGTTAAAAAATAAAGTCTGAGGTGTCCCAAATATATCTAACTACCTGTATTAAAATAGCTTTTGTCCAGATCTTGCAAATTTATTGAATTACAGCATGACATAAATATGTCAGGGTTCTGGTTGACTTTCGATACGGGATTGGCTTCAGCAAACAGGTCTAACAGTACTATAATACCTGTTCGCTGAGTCTCTTTAGTTACGATTGACAGTTTCCGAACTAGCAGACGACAGGCTATTCTTATCACTAGATTTGCGAGAAAAGATAAACTGTTACATACCTCACTGTATAAAATGTGTGTAAAATTGTCTGACTTGTGGTCGGTTTAACCCTAAATTTAAGTAACTTCTAAATTAAAATAGTGTTCAACAATGTGTTGAAATATATACTGAGACAAAGCTAAGATCACAAGTTTTTCATTGGTGTAATAAATTTTAAAATCGGACATTAAATCGCCCCAAACTAGTGGTTTGAAAATGGTTAAATCTGCATTGTTTTAGCATTAAAAAAATTAGAGATATCGATTTAACTCTAAAGATAAGGGAACAACTCTTGTTTTTTCACTCAATATACCTCGGTTATTTACATAGTACACAGAGCTCCAGATAGCATGCATGTCAAATTGAAATACACATAGAAAATCAAAATATGCATCACTTTCAGAATTCATGCGTCTAAGTTACACACAACAAATAAACATTTGATATTTATAAAAGGGATGTTTTGAGCATAAAAATGCAATATATTTCTATTTTATTGCATTAAAAACATAAAATTCTGTTGTCAACAACACATGTAAAAAACGAAAGTAGCAGGAAGTACAGAAGGGATGTAACTCCTGTACCTGTAATTATTGATAAAATTAATGTGCCAGATAATCATCATAGGAGTTGTATAAAGTTTATTAAGACATCCATAGTCAATGTAATACCTAAAAATAAACAAAAATATATTTCAATTTCTTTCACTTTAGTTGTTGGAACAAAAAAAATATGTTTTTCACCTGCAGCTTTGAACTCGATATTTTCGTACCCAGTCAACAGTTACAGACATTTTTCTCTTGAGTACCAGTATACTCTAGCCTAGGGAAGTCTGCCTTTACAGAGCATGATTTGTATTGTTTCACATTGAATCAATATTGTATGTGTATAAAATTTTCTATAAAAAAAGAAAGAAGAAAAAAACAAGAAAAACTCAGTTGAATTTGATTATTAAAGAAATGCAAAATGCTTTTTTTTTTTACAGATTTTACCACTTACAATTTACAGAATTTACATTTTACCCCTAACCCTTAATTTTGTGGAGTGAAAACCACTTGGCCAAAAAATTGATTTGGAGCTCCGAGTTCATATAGAGACTTCAATGGGTGTATTTGTTCACTTGACAATGACTTCAGTATGCCTGCTCATTTTTCGACTTTTAGGGTACATGTACCCACTGTCATTGAAAATACTGTGGAAGGGGGGCGGGTGAAGGTTGGGTGTATAGAAGATGGTGATTTATCACTAGAACACCATTGAGTTTAACGAACTGATCCATTTTCAGTCTCACACCTTTATTATTATTCCTTCCATTTGTTATCAGAAAACCTTGCTCATTACCACTGGGTAAGTTACATTAAAAATGGTGGCGCATAAACACAAATGACACTGAAAATAAATTTTACTTATAGATAACAGACTTTTTGTTAAAATCAAGTATTAGTAAAGAAATACTTAAAGGTCAAATGTCAGACAATTTTGTATTCTATAAGGACCTCCTTCAAACTTTATTCAAATGTTAGCCACAAAAATAATAAAAAAATGGACCAACATCATATCCTGTGACGAAGAGATGGAGGGGGTGTTGGTTTATTCTTTGATAGCTCTAATGTGGACTGAATTCTGGCCTCTTTCTATTACTAAATATTTGAAATGTTGCATGTTTTTCAGATATCTGACCAGAAGTCTTTGAAAAGCTGGTCAATTAGACATGGCATATCTTTGACTAGCCCGGTGTTCTGGAATTCACAGCTAGAGAAGTTTGTAACAGTTGTAAATAATCAGGTATTAAATTTTCTTTTATTTTTTACCGAAAAATAAGGTTTTACATACTGAGGTGATTTTCTCAACTGTTACTATTTTTATTCCGGATCAATGGTCTTCTGCATTAGATGACTTATCTATTTTAATTTGAATCACTATACATGTATTCAAATTTGATACCGGTAAGATATGGTCAAGAATGTGAGTTTATGATAAGAAATTCTTTTGAACTGTCTCTTAAAATTTGTCGGATCAGAAGTTTTCTTCAATACTTGGTTGTAACCTGCTAACTTGTTTGTATATTTTCAATTATTAAACAGTCAATTCAAAGTTAAAGGGTGCTCAATGTCAAAATTGAAAAAATAAGCTAAAAACATCAAAACAATAGAGCCTGGTACTGGAAACAAAGACTCATCACTTTTGGCTCCAGCAGAATTGAGAGCCTCACTGTGGTTAAAAAATCATAAAATTTGTTATTGTAACTGGGGCACATACAACAAAAACATTTATGAAAATGATAATAAAGAAATATATTCAGAATTAAATTGAAAATCAGTACTGGTATTTAGTGCTATTCTGAGACTTATTCAAGTTAAAACCATTTAAACACCTCATTATCAAGTTGTTTGGCACAACAGAACATTTTCTTGAAAAATGAGCATATCTGAAATTTTTGCACACAAATTATATGTAATTGTATGGACTAACTTTAAATGGTATGAAAAATCTTGAAAAAATTATTTTCCAGTCTCCTTGTATTAAGAATAAAGCATGTGAGTTGGTCATTCACATAAATGCCAGCAGTATAGAGCCAGGCCAGTTTGCATTAATTTTCAGTATGATCAGATGCTAAACTGTTGGTTACTCACTTATAGTAAATTGATATTTTATTACTTTAAGAGACAAATATGATAATTCCAAAATATCTGCAGGACAAATTGTTTATTCAAATTTTGCAGGTCAATTGCCCAAAGTTTAAGGTGTAATTTTAGAAGAGCCATTGAGTTATTATACCTCAAGTTCTTGTCAATTTATAAAGTAAATACCTGGCACATCTATTAAATGGTTTATTATTCCACCTATCTTTAGCAGACGTTTGTTTTCTGGTCATATATTTGTCAAAATAATTCAATTTGGCTTATCACAACAGCCTCTGATGCTGAAAAGAAGAAACAAATGTGAATGAAATAAAAATATTCTTTTTATGAAACTATAGAAGAATGTTTGTATACAATGTTCAATATTTCATGATATTTAAAGTTATATAAATTATATTATATTTAAGGAAGTAAGATTGTTAGACAAGGATAATGCAGATTTTGAAAAGGCAAAGAAAAAACAGGTAGGCTATATTTTTTATTGTTACCCTGTTTAATGTCTTTAAAGGACTTATCAGTCTTTCAGTCTGGATAAAACCATACCTCATTTTTAGTGAGAAATTTTAAAAAAGTAAGAGAATAGCAAACAGTGCAGACCATGATAATGATGAGACAGCACGGATGTGTTGGATGATCTTGGTCTGGACTGGTCTCATGGGCACTGTAAATTAAATTTGAGCCGCGTCATGAAAAAACCAACATAGTGCGTATGCGACCAACATGGATCCAGACAAGCTTGCGTATCCTTGCAGTCTGATCAGGATCCATGCTGTTCGCTTACCAACCCTTTTACAAGTAGAGAAAATAATAGCGAACAGCATGGATCCTGATCTGACTGCGTAGATGCGCAGGCTGGTCTGGATCCATGCTGGTTGCAAACCCTTTATGTTGGTTTTGTCATGACATTGCTCATTTATTGAACGAGTTGGATAATACTGTTTTATTCAACGAGTTCAATAAATTTAGTATTGAATGTATACAAAATATATATTCTGCATATAAAATAAGAATACAAGTATATTTTACTCGTTTATAATTATGTAATTTCACGTATCTTCAGTCACGTACAAAGATCTACGATGTCATCTCCTGTGAGAATTATGAACCAATTTTATTGTATATCAATGGGAGAGTTAGTTTTCTGAGCTCAATAAAAGATGTTCAGAGTGATGGCCCTTTAACAAATAAACAAAAAATATCTTGGTGTAAGGCTTTTGTTATACAGTCAACATTAACAGTACTCTATACAGTTATCTCAAAGGTTAGTCATCATTTTCCTTATCATACATTGTAGCCTCTTGATCAAATTTCTTAATTCTCTAAAAAAACAAATTTTAATATGTTACTGGTAAATATGCCAACATTTTAAATAAGTGTTATTTTTACCAATTTGTTTTAAAAAATGTAATGAAAAGAGAAAACTTGCGTTTCTGACTGGTCTTTTATTGTTGATGTTAATCTTTTTAGCTGCTGACCAAAAGTTGGAAACTTAAATGTCATTGCTATCAGATTAAGATATGTTTAATTCAGTGTATTAAGTTTCTGCCTGGTCTGTTTAAAGTTTAAATGCAGAAATATTTTCTACCTCTATTAAGTCGCTGTTTAATTTGATTGTAATACACATTTGTGCAGTTTATTACTCAGGCCTTAGAAATATATTGTAAGATTAAATAGTTTCTAATTATAAAATACATAGTTCTTAATTTTTGATGCAAGTCAGGGGTGTAAATGGCCATGTGGTTAAGGACTAAGGTTGTTGACATTCTAAACCACTAGCCTCGAATTGATGTGGGTTTGAATCCTGCCAGGGACTTTGGATTCTTTCATGTGAGGAAGTTATCCAGCTTGCTAACCAACTGTTGGTTATTTTTCTTAGGTGCCTATTTGTGCCTGAAAAAAATGCACAGAGTGGCACATGAGGTCTTCCTTCACCAGTAAAGCTGAAAAGTCACCATAGACCTTTACAGTAACGTAAACTCTCCCGCCAAAAATAATGAAATAAATAAACATAATTCAGAGGAATATAATTCACAATGTTGAGAAATGTTTGAATATGTTACAGGGAGGGGTTCATTTACATACAAACAAATACAACTCTGATACAAGCAGCTGGCAGCATACAGTGATAAAAGTACCACAACCAAACAGCACAGCATCTTGCTGTTCATGTGATGCTATAGCTCAAACAGATAATATAAATGCTTTCTTCCTCTGTAAGTACATACATTTATATCTCTTACTTGATACATAATTTTCCTTTTATCACATGACAGCTCTTATTTACAAGTATAAATCTCCTTATAAATTTCGATTGCATGCCAACAAAAGTTTAGTTGAAAGCTGCAAGTCTTATCAGGGCTAGCACTGGCAATTTTTTACTTTGAGCCAATTTTTCGTGGCGAAAATTGCCTGCCTGTATTTTATTTCAAATCAGGCAATGGTACGGCATGGGATATTTAGAAAAGCATTAACTATATCCAACTTAATTTTGGTAGCTACATTTTTATTACATTAACAAAATCTTACATATACGAGTATAATTTACAGTCAGTAATCATTATTTTAAGCTTAGAGGTCAGTAACTATAACATTTGCCAAAAGTTACATGTAGGCAACAAGGTTCCCTTAAAATCTAAGTCTGTGGCATGCATGGTAGTGACATAAGGTCAATCTTTTTTTTCAGGAATAATCTGTATGTCAAATAAATTCCTTCTCAATTTTATATTTTTGGAGCCATAATTAGGTCAGATCCCCTTTTTTCCCCAAGAAAAAGGCCGAAACCTCTTCCTCAAAAATGGTGTTTTGGCCGCAATAACACCCCCTCCCACCACCACAAAAAATCAACAACAATAACTCTATCATCAACAACAATAAAATTTACTGCTCAAGTCGCCAACTGCAGAATATAATTTGTCACTATTTCATACCCAAAATGCTGATTTGATTAGCGATAATCTTGAGAAGCTGCTATATTGTTTCATATTGAATATTAAGACCAATTATCCAGTGCATATTCAACAATCTGCCACAGGTATTTTTCACACCAATTAGTGTCGTATTTATCAGCTGATAAACATGTAAACATACCCTGAGGTCAGTGTATTAGACCGTGTTTCTGTTCATATCAATATTTGGTTCGGATAGGAAGTTACAAATATAAACCAGTCAATGACCCACAAAAAGTAGACTGTGTCGCTGTGTTTTGAGATAAGAAGTGATAAAACGGAAGTTGTAGATGGAAAACCAGATGTGTACTTTTCCATTCTTAAAATAGAAAAAGCTAAATTTAGACTGGAGATTCCAAAAGTCATACTTTTCGTAAGTTTGAGCCAATCGTGATTTTCTTGAGCCAATTTAATTATTTTGGAGCCAATTTGCTCATTGGCTCCTGCCAGCGCGAGCCCTGCTTATGTTATCTGTCATATAGGGGGATGAGTGCAGCATCAGTGTTTTTTTGGGCCAGACTTGGCTCCCATATTGCTCTTTAAAAAGTATGTTTTCTTGTCTAACTTTTGTTAAAATTTTCTCTTAAGAAATATATTCAAATTTGAACTGTTAGGATGTATTACTCAGTAAAACAATATTTGTGATACAAACCTTGGTAGGTATATGTTGGGTATCATTAGTCCTAAGGTATCATTAAGCCTATCTTAATACGTTTCTAATTATTCTTGATTCAAAAGGATTCGAGATTCAAGTAATAACTTACATGTTATGTGTGATTAATGACTGATTTTGCTGTATATATCAACTTATTTTTGCTTCGTTACCAAAGCAGTAAGGGCTATTTTTGCATATTTTGACCCTTTTTTTTTTTGGTTATTCTTACATTGATTTTAAGTGACATTTGCAATGTGTAAAATACATTCTTTGTTCCCTTCACAATATTTTACTTTTAAATACATTTCAAAGTTCTTTCATGAAAATTAGCATGAATCTGGAGGCATGCTGCTTTAATTATCTAACACTTTACATGAATTATGTTGAACAATAACATATACCGGTACAATGTATATAGAAGCCTCATGGCAGAATGTTTTAAACTATATTTTTTTCTCTTAATGTATTGCTCACAGTACATGTTTATAAACAAGTTTCAGCACAGCTTTATGAAACCATACAGAATTTTTATTCAGCATTAATACTTTGATTTTTATATTTCAGGGAGTGATGGAAGTTTAAATTCACTAAGACTAGATGAAGGCAGTTGTTTTCCAGGGCCTTGTCATACCATGTCAGGTATTAGCAACAAAAGCTGTTTGCTTGTGATAGATAGTAATCACATAGCAGTTGCTGGAATTACTGATAACAATACTGGTAAGTTTTACCCTTATCTTATCGTAAGTGAAAAACCTAGACTTGTCCTTCTTTGAAAAGTTTAGGATAGGTAATGACAGAATAGCGAACGATTCAGACTGTGATCAGATACTGGTTGATCAGTGCTGGTTGATTAGATACTGGTTGATCAGTGCTGGTTGATCAGATACTGGTTGATCTGTGCTGGTTGATCAGATACTGGTTGATCAGTGCTGGTTGATCAGATACTGGTTGATCAGTGCTGGTTGATCAGATACTGGTTGATCAGTGCTGGTTGATCAGATACTGGTTGATCAGTGCTGGTTGATCAGATACTGGTTGATCAGTGCTGGTTGATCAGATACTGGTTGATCAGTGCTGGTTGATCAGATACTGGTTGACATGCTGGTTCAGATCAATGTGCTGGTTGAATCAGTTGTTGACAGCAGGTATAGAGTTTATATGTGACTGAACTTTACAATACTCATTTGACATCTGTTTTACATAAAGTGTATATGATGAGGGTGTTTCCCACAGATTTGTACAATTAGTTATAACATATTCAAAGACCCATTAAGCCTAAAAATTTTAATATTTTCATATACAAAAGCCTTTCATTTTTGATGTCCTGTAACTGTTGCATTTTCCACAATGTTACGTTTTGGCCATAATTATAGCTGAGGCATCTTTTGCTTCCGTTGCATTTTAGCAAGGCCATCCTTAAAAAAATGATCGTTTGCAGTAACGCGACCGACTCACAAAATTTGCCCCTACTCAAAATTTTTTTTCATGGTCTGGATAAAAAAATTTTTTTTTGGAATCAGAAAATTATGCCTTGTGGTTGTTTTCGTTCTTTTAAAGGTTAATGGAAGAAATAAAATGTAGGTCTTATTAAATTATAATTCAGTTATCAATTTATTAATTGTTACCAGATTATCAAAGCATATATTGTCCAGCATTTTGAAATTCCATGTTTATTTGGGAGTACAGTTCAATAAAAAAAAAAAAAAATCGACCTACCTACCCACCTTGAAAATTCTGGGTCGGGTTACTGCAAACAAACATTTTTTTAAGGATGGCCCAATTAGTACAGTTATTATGAGTATTTAACATGGAAGTCAAAATACCATTTTGTTAACACTTTGCTATGTTTTGTAGAAATTTCAGATGAAAAGCAGTGTAAATGTTCCTTAAATATAAAAATTAAAATGAATACAAAATGAAAATTCTTGTACATATTGTCAAAAAAGAATTAAGAATTAATGTTATATACATGTATTAGCCATCAACTGTTTAAGCTTAATATAATGTGTGAAATACAAGAAATAAAAAATAAAAAAGATGAGTATATTCTTATATCTTATGTTGTGTTTTTGTGCATTTAAATCACTCTGTATTACTATTGTTATTTAATATTCTTGAAATACATTTTGAAATAGAACGTGCATTAATCCAACAATGTAGAAACTAAGTTTATTTATTTCATATATTGTAGATGGTCTTGGTATATTTGACACAAAATTTGGTCTCTTGAAGTCTTGGCAACCATACCCAGATAAATGTCTTAGTAAACCAAAGGTAAGATTATGTAACAAAATGCTGTTTCTGAAATTTTGATTAAATGCTTTGCAGCTCACTTTAATTAAGTGAATGCCTTTTCTCCTTTATGTGATCATTTGCATAATTGAGCCGTGTCACGACAAAACCAACATAGTGCGTTTATGATCAGCATGGATCCAGACCAGCCTGCACATCCGGGCAGTCTGATCAGGATCCATGCTGTTCGCTTACCAAGCCTATTACAAGTAGAGAAACTGATAGTGAACAGCATGGATCCTGATTAGACTGCGCAGATGCGCAGGCTGGTCTGTATCCATGCTGGTCGCAAACCCACTATGTTGGTTTTGTCGTGACGCGGCTCATATGTTAAGTGGTTAAGGGGGAGCATTGGATTAGTAAATCCACTGGTTGCTGCTTCGATCCTTGGGTAAGGGGTAATTTCTCTGTGACCACTGATGTTTGACATTGAGTCTAATGGTCATTTGTCACTCACTGCTTATTTAGAAATAATATTGGTAGTCAGTAACTTACATAGAAGTTGGTTATTACTGATACTGTTGGTTAAAATTCTTCGTTTTTTTTTAGCTCACCTGTCACAAAGTGACAGGGTGAGCTTTTGTGATCGCTTTTCGTCCGGCGTCCGTCCGTCCGTAAACTTTTACTTTAAATGACATCTCCTCATAAACCACTAAGCCAATTTCATCCAAACTTCACAGGAATGTTCCTTTGGTGGTCACCTTTCAAAATTGTTCAAAGAATTTAATTCCATGCAGAACTCTGGTTGCCATGGCAACCGAAAGAAAAAACTTTAAATATCTTCTTTTAAAAAATCCTAAGAGCTAGAGCTTAGATATTTGGCATGAAACATCTTCTAGTGAGTGTCTACCAAGATTGTTCAAATAAAAGCCCTGGGGTCAAAATTGGTCCCGCCCCAGGGGGTCATTGATTTTCCCTATATGCATATAGTAAAAACTTAAAAAATCTTCTTGTAAAGAACTCGAAGAGCCAGATCTAAGATATTTAGCATGAAACATGTTATAATAGGTGTCTACCAAGTTTGTTAAAAAAAAAGCCCTAGGGTCAAAATTGGCCTCGCCCCGGGGGGTCATTGATTTTCCTTATATGCATATAGTAAAAACTTAAAAAATCTTCTTTTAAAGAACTCAAAGAGCCAGAGCTAAGATATTTAGCATGAAACATGTTCTAATGGGTGTCTACCAAGTTTGTTCAAATTAAAGCCCTGGGGTCAAAATTAGCCCCGCCCGGGGGGTCATTGATTTTCCTTATATGTGTATAGCAAAACTTAAAAAAGCTTCTTTGAAAAAACCCAAATAGCTAGAGTTTAGATATGAGGCATGAAACATCTTCTAGTGAGTGTCTACATAGTTTGTTCAAATAAAAGCCCTGGGGTCAAATTGGCCCCGCCCTGGGGGGGTCATTGATTTTCCCTATTTGCATATAGTAAAAATTTAAAAAATCTTCTTTGAAAAAACCCAAATAGTTAAGAGTTTAGATATTAAGCATGAAACATCTTCTAGTAAGTGTCTACAAAGTTTGTTCGAATAAAAGCCCTGGGGTCAAAACTGGCCCCGCCCCAGGGGTGTCATTGTTTTTAACTATATGTGTATAGTAAAAACTTAAAAATCTTCTTTTAAAAAACCCAACAAGCTAGAGCTTAGATGATTAGCATGAAATATTCTCTTATTGATGTCTACCAAGATTGTTCAAATAAAAGCCCTTGGGTGAAAATTGGCCCCGCCCTGGGGGGTCATTGATTTTACCTATATGCATATAGTAAAAACTTAAAAAATCTTCTTTTAAAGAACCCAAAGAGCTAGAGCTAAGATATTTAGCATGAAACATGTTCTAATGAGTGTCTACCAAGTTTGTTCAAATAAAAGCCCTGGGGTCAAAATTGGCACCGCCCCCAGGGGGTCATTGATTTTCCCTATATGCATATAGTAAAAACTTAAAAAATCTTCTTTTAAAGAACTCAAAGAGCCAGAGCTAAGATATTTAGCATGAAACATGTTCTAATGGGTGTCTACCAAGTTTGTTCAAATAAAAGCCCTGGGGTCAAAATTGGCCCCGCCCCAGGGGGTCATTGATTTTCCCTATATGCATTTAGTAAAAACTTAAAAAATCTTCTTGTAAAGAACTCGAAGAGCCAGATCTAAGATATTTAGCATGAAACATGTTATAATAGGTGTCTACCAAGTTTGTTAAAAAGAAAGCCCTAGGGTCAAAATTGGCCTCGCCCCGGGGGGGTCATTGATTTTCCTTATATGCATATAGTAAAAACTTAAAAAATCTTCTTTTAAAGAACTCAAAGAGCCAGAGCTAAGATATTTAGCATGAAACATGTTCTAATGGGTGTCTACCAAGTTTGTTCAAATTAAAGCCCTGGGGTCAAAATTAGCCCAGCCCGTGGTGTCATTGATTTTCCTTATATGTGTATAGCAAAACTTAAAAAAGCTTCTTTGAAAAAACCCAAATAGCTAGAGTTTAGATATGAGGCATGAAACATGTTCTAATGGGTGTCTACATAGTTTGTTCAAATAAAAGCCCTAGGGTCAAAATTGGCCCCGCTTTGGGGGGTCATTGATTTTCCCTATTTGCATATAGTAAAAATTAAAAAAATCTTCTTTGAAAAAACCCAAATAGCTAGAGTTTAGATATTAAGCATGAAACATCTTCTAGTAAGTGTCTACAAAGTTTGTTCGAATAAAAGCCCTGGGGTCAAAACTGGCCCCGCCCCAGGGGTGTCATTGTTTTTAACTATATGTGTATAGTAAAAACTTAAAAATCTTCTTTTAAAAAACCCAACAAGCTAGAGCTTAGATGATTAGCATGAAATATCTTCTTATTGATGTCTACCAAGATTGTTCAAATAAAAGCCCTTGGGTGAAAATTGGCCCTGCTAGGGGAGGGGGAAGGAGAGATCATTGTTTTTCATTATATGTGTGTAGTAAAAACTTAACATTGTGAAATAAAAACTTAACATTGTGAAACATCTTCTAATGAGTGTCTTCCAAGTCTGTTCAAATAAAAGCCCTGGGGTTTAAACTGGCCCCGCTCCAGGGCCCTATATACAGGTGAGCGACCTCAGGGCCAGCATGGCCCTCTTGTTTGATTTTGTGAGTTTTATTTTAACATTGATATTTTGTGTTGAATGTTGTATGAATCATGGACTGTTCTATTTTAAGATGTGTAAAGTTCGGGACAATTTATTTCTGCCTTGCGGCACCACACTGTACAGATACAAGTGTAAATGTGAACCATCAACAATAGTGAGCCTGTTAGGTCAGGCCAGTATAACAGACAACAAAAACACACAGTCTGTACCTGGCCACTACACCTGGAACCCACATAACATGGTACATATTGGTTTGTTTTTTCTGTGAATTCTTCATATGTTGTGAAACATTTGAGTAAATTTTAATCTGATTAAAACAATAACAAACAATACAGTATTTCCAAGCCATCATCATTAATTCTATCAGGAAGATTTATACTTAGGTAAGGTTTAAATGTTTGAATGTTATACATGTGGTTTTTAAAAACTGTTTGTATTTTTTAGTTATAAAGATTTAAAGTTGTTTTGCATATACATGTATATAATCAATGCCACTATAATACAGCAAACTTCTTTTATTAGAGAATAAAATGAAATTTCTTCATAAATTGAGAGCAGCAGCTGTGTATATAGTATGTATAAATGTCATGATTATCTAATGAAGAGTCGTAACAAACGTCTTGTATTATAACAAAAATATAAGAATTTACATGCATTTCATAATGAGGTAAATGTTTTTATTGTTTACTAGAGATGCAGTATGAGTGAACCATCAACACATGTATCTGAATTATTGACAACTTTGACAGAATCCAATCTGGTATGACAAAAAAAAATCTTATTTTTATTTTTGTAATGCAACATTATATGATTTTATTGTACCACTAGCCACTGTTTAATTTTTTGTTTATAGCCAATACAATAAGCTCCATTAATAAGTATATGTTATTTCATGAAACTTTGTTTGACAACACAGTATGTCTGAAGTTCTTCCTCCTCTTAAACTTTTTCAAATAGTTTATATGGAGATTTATCACATACCTGTGCTGCTTTTGCAACTCCTTAACAATGGTGTTGCATGGTCATGTATTATATTTTGACATGAAGTCTCTAGCATTATATAAACATAGCTTAAAGACACATTTAATCAAGTTAATGTAAGCCTTACACTATAGGTGTGTCAATTAAAAATGATTCCTTTTCACTTTAAACAGTCTTAAAGTTTATTCTGGGTATTTGATAAATAGAATATTTGAGTAGATTCATTACTGAATTTATTGAACTTTTTGAATAAAATGATATTATGCTTGCCAGAGGCTTGTATAATATAATTTTATTCAACTTGTGCAATAAATTCAGTATTGAACCTACATTCATTCAATATCCTCTATTAATGCAATTACAGAAAACGTGCTTGTCATTGTCTTATTTTTGATTGTATGGCAATATTTAAAACTTTAATTTTGAACAATTTAAAGAAGCCTTGGAATATTCATATAAATCATCGATAATTTGGTCTGAGTTTTATTGCAATTTGTAGACGCACGCAAAGTTCAAGTCAGTATTTAGTCAGCTCATTGGTGAATTGAAAAAGGCGGAGAATCATCATTGGTTATCAACATGTCAGATGACAACATTGTTACAAAAGATGATGGAAGAGAAAAAGTTTTGGGCCAAGGATGAGATGAGTCAATTGATTGCTCTAAAATGTATACCACCCAGGTAGGTGTCAAATTTTAATGCTACCCCCCAAAAATAATTTTCAGCATGGTAAGTAGGTTTCTGATGGTTAAGTTTAAATGATTTAGTGATGTATGTGTCTTTTAAGCTCACCTGTCACAAAGTGACAGGGTGAGCTTTTGTGATCGCTTTTCGTCCGGCCGTCGTAAACTTTTACTTTAAACGACATCTCCTCATACACCGCTGAGCCAATTTCATCCAAACTTTACAGGATTGTTCCTTTGGTAGTCAACTTAAAAAATTCCCCAAAGAATTTAATTCCAAGCAGAACTCTGGTTGCCATGGCAACTGAAAGAAAAAACTTAAAATATCTTCTTTTAGAAAACCGAAAGAGCTAGAGCTTAAATATTTGGCATGAAACATCATCTAGTCATTGTCTACCAAGGTTGTTCAAAATCTCAGGGGGCCATTGATTTTCCTTATTTGTATATAGTAAAAACTTAAAAAATCTTATTTTAGAAAACCCAAATAGCTAGAGCTTAGATATAAAGCATGAAACATCTTATAGTGGGTGTCTACTAAGTTTGTTCAAATAAAAGCCCTGGAGTAAAAATTGGCTCCTCCCAGGGGGGGTGTCATTGTTTTTCCCTATAATATATAGTAAAAACTTAAAAATCTTTTTATATAAACCCCAAAGAGCTAGAGCGAAGATATTTAGCAAGAAACATCTTCTAATGGATGTCTACCAAGTTTGTTCAAATAAGGGCCCTTGGGTTAAAATTGACTCCGCCCCAGGGATCATTGATTTTCCTTATATGTGTATAGTAAAAACTTAATAAATCTTCTTATAAAAAACCCAAAGGCTAGAGTTTAGATACTAAGCATGAAATATCTTCTAGTGAGTGTCTACCAAGTTTGTTCAAATAAAAGCCTTGAGGTCAAAATTGGCCCCTCTCAGGAGGGGTCATTGTTTTTACCTATATGTATACAGTAAAAAATTAAAAAATCTCCTTATAAAACCCCAAAGAGCTAGAGCTTAGATATTTATCATGATATATTTCTAATGGGTGTCCAAGTTTGTTCAAATAAAAGCCCCTGGTTTAAAATTGGCCTTGGCCCAGGGGCCTATATACAGGTGAGCGATTTCAGGGCCATCTTTAAGAAGATTTATGGTGTATATCTTTTAAGTAGGTTTGTGTTTTATATCTCTAAAGCATAATGATCATATTATATTTCTAAGGTAGATTTGTGGTGTAATCTTTGAATAGGATTTTGTGGAGTCTATCTGTAAGGTAGATTTGTGGTGCATATCTTTGAAGTGGATTTTGTGGAGTATATCTGTAATGTTGATTTGTGGTGTATATCTTTGAAGTGGATTTTGTGGAGTATATATGTAAGGTAGATTTGTGATGTATATTATTTTTGTAGATTTGAGGTATATTTCTCTTAGGTATTTTTGTAGTGTTGATTTGTGGTGCATATCTTTGAAGTGGATTTTGTGGAGTCTATCTGTAATGTTGATTTGTGGTGTATATCTTTGGAGTGGATTTTGTGGAGTCTATCTGTAAGGTAGATTTGTGATGTAATCTTTGATGTGGATTTTGTGGAGTTTATCTGTCAGGTAGATTTGTGGTGTATATCTTTGAATAAAATTTTGTGGAGTCTATCTGTAATGTTGATTTGTGGTGTAATCTTTGATGTGGATTTTGTGGAGTATATATGTAAGGTAGATTTGTGGCATTTATCTTTGAATAAGATTTTGTGGAGTATATCTGTAATGTTGATTTGTGGTGTAATCTTAAAATAGGATTTTGTGGAGTCTATCTGTAATGTTGATTTGTTGTGTATATCTTTGAAGAGGATTTTGTGGAGTCTATCTGTAAAGTAGATTTGTGATGTAATCTTTGATGTGGATTTTGTGGAGTATATCTGTAAGGTAGATTTGTGGCATATATCTTTGAATAAGATTTTGTGGAGTATATCTGTAATGTTGATTTGTGGTGTATATCTTTGAAGAGGATTTTGTGGAGTCTATCTGTAATGTTGATTTGTGGTGTAATCTTTGATGTGGATTTTGTGGAGTATATCTGTAAGGTAGATTTGTGGCATATATCTTTGAATAAGATTTTGTGGAGTATATCTGTAATGTTGATTTGTGGTGTAATCTTTAAATAGGATTTTGTGGAGTCTATCTGTAATGTTGATTTGTTGTGTATATCTTTGAATAGGATTTTGTGGAGTCTATCTGTAAGGTAGATTTGTGGTGTATATCTTTGGAGTGGATTTTGTGGAGAATATCTGTAAGGTAGATTTGTGGTGTATACCTTTGAAGTGGATTTTGTGGAGTATATCTGTAATGCTGATTTGTGGTGTATATCTTTGAAGTGGATTTTGTGGAGTATATCTGTAAGGTAGATTTGTTATGTATATTATTTTTGTAGATTTGAGGTATATTTCTCTAAGGTATTTTTGTAGTGTATGTCTTTAAAAAAAGCTGTTTAATTTATCTCTTAAGTAGGTTTGTTACATAAATCTCTATTGTAAATGTTAGTTTGTGTGTATATATAAATATATCTATAGAACTATAGTTCTCCTGTCCCCGTCAATATCGCAGTAATCTAAATACACCAGATTGGCATATGTAGTGCCAAGGTGAAATTTCTCCATGGTAACTGATCTGGGACAATAAGTCTAATTGTAACTTATCTCACACCACTGATTTGGAAATCACACAGGATTAGTTTGTCACCTGAAGAGAAATTGGTAATTACTGGTAAGTTATTTAGGAAAGCCAAATGCTGAATAATTGGTATTAAAACTAGACAAACAAATATTTTTTTCTTCTCATTCTTTTCAGTTTAATGGATGAATTGTTCACCTTCCTTGCACAGAAGTCAGAGATTTCAATGCTACACACCATGTTGAATACTGTACCTAATATACCAGAAAAATGTCTATGCAGTGCTTTGTCTTTCTTTCTCCAGTAAGTAACCCTTTTAATTAAATGTTATCTGTTCAGTAAACTTACCTTATAATCAAAATTTTATATATAATACTGTAGTAGTAGTAGTATTAGCTCATTATACTATCAGAAGAATGTAGTTGTTCAGTTGACTCACTAGGAATAAGAATGGCAGATGTAAAGTATCTGGTCTTGTCTGTCCGATAATCTACTTAGCTAAGTAGGTACAGCATTAATTAAAGATGTATTTTATCCCAGAATTTTTATAAGGTGTATTGGTATGCCATTAAATGGTTAACGATATACCATTACACTTTCCGAAATCCATGTTGAGAGTCATTGCTTAGATTGTATTAAAACTTTGCACGAATGTATACATTTTAATAAGGACATAATGTCCATCAAAACATATACAATGTATGTGCATTATTTTCAGTTCTGGGATAAAAACGGGTATTTTCAAAGGTAACTCAACCTTTCATGACAACCTCAAAATGAATGTGTAAATTGAACTTGAGTCATGTAAAATGAACTTTAACATTGTTAAATATGTTTTCTTTTTATATGCCAAAAAATATTTTGGTGCATACTGTTATTTGTTTTTGGTTATTTTGCAAGAAAAATTCTGTCCAGAGACATATGTCTTGAAACTGATCACCTGGGTAATTGTCAGTTTGCCTAGTATGAAATATATAATTGTAGGTGTGATGAGGAGAAATTACCAGCATTGAAAGGAACAAAAATCATATCCAAGAAAGAGGCAATAGAAGATCTCGATGAAATGGAGAACACAGATCAAAGTCAATGTCCCTTCACCTCACTTCGGTCTCTCATCATGTATCCTTTGAATCAAATTTACCTCATTTGTAATCAAAATAGCCATCATTTATAAGTCACAGGTCTCCAAATTGATCTTTAAAATGTCTTGTAACATGTTAACCCTGTCCTAACTGACCTTTACTCCTCAATGACCTTGACCATGTCTCCTGAATGACCTTAACCATGTTTCCTAACTCACCTGGACCAGGTTTCATAATGACCTTGACATTTGTCTTCCAACTGGGGTTAACTTTGTCTCCTATCTGACATTGACCATGTCTGCTAAATGACCTTGACCATGTCTGCTAAATGACCTTGACAATGTTTGCTAAATGACCTTGACATTGTCTTTTAACTGACATAAACCATGTTTTTCATCTTTTATTCAAAATATTTAGTTAATTTTTAAATATACATATTATATTTTTTTAATATTAAATGACACCACTATGATTATTGATAAATTTAACTGATGTTTTGTTTTGTATGATGAAATATTTCTTAACATCTATACAGAAATGAGATTTTAAGCTTACCATACAGTGACACATTTCTTCTGGAATGCTTGAGAAAAGTCTCATTTAAGGATGCCTTGGTAAGAAGATAATAATAATTGATAATTTTACTCTCATGTTTATGTGTATCACATAGGTCAGACTGTCAGATACTTCCCAGTTACCAAGTTTTGATATTTCTTTATCTTCTTCAATTTAAAAAAAAGAAGATTTATTATTAAAACCTGCATTAAGAAAAGGGCAACCTACTGTTTTTGATAATTTAAAATAGAATTCTTTTGATTTTATTTCGAATGTCCTTTTAATGACTTTTATTCATATTGGAATACCATAACCAAGATAACCGATGTGTATTAATGCATCATATTTAATATGGTTGGGAAAAATAAATATAAAAATATGAAGAAAAAAAAAATGCCTCTGAAGAAAATTTTAAATTGTATGCATTGAATACTGGTACTTGTGGTATAAACATACATAGAACATTGAGTAAATGTTATTTTAGATTATTCTCCCTTTCTTTTATACATTGTTAATATTTTACAAATGCTGATTTATTTCAGAAATTACTGGATTATCTCTGCTATTTGTTGGAAACAAAGCCAGGCTTTCTGAAAGGAGGAAATACAAATAAAGACCAAAGGTTGTCACAGATACAGGTATATTAAACCTTTCTGTCCCTTAATTGATGTCAATATATTAACCTAATTTGAATCTGGGACTGTTCATAAATAATATCAAGGATTTCCAGAAAAGTATGTGCAAAGGATTTCCAGAAAAGTATGTGCATAAATAAAGTTTCTTATTGTGTACAGAATGGTGATTCAATTGAGACAGATACACTGGCATGATCATACTAGTGGTGTAGGCAAAATCATAAAACCTGCTCAATATCAATAAGGAAGACTGAAAAAGAAAATAAATCCTTTTTATTATGCCCCCACTTAGCATATAGCGTTGCACTTGTCGGTTCGTCCGTACGTCCCGAAATCTTGTGAACGCAACTCCTCTTAAACCTGATGGCAGATTTTGCTTAAACTTTTAGGGATAAACAACCTTACTGTGTAGATGGTAGTAAAGGAAGGAATTATCGCTGCGACTAAATTTAACAGAATTATGGCCCTTTGTTGATTTTTGTGTCGCCTTGAAAAGGTGACATATAGGGGTTACTTTCGTCGGCGGTGTCGGCGGCGTCTGTGTCGGCGTCGTTGTCGGCGTCCCCTAAAGCTTGTCTGGAGCATAACTCAGTCACTATAAGTCTGATTGACTTCAAACTTGGTATGCATGCTTCTTTCAATAACCCGAAGTGCAGTGCACAAGGACCGGTACTCTGCAGTTCTTATTTTTTGAGTTATTGCCCTTTGTTAATTTTCATACATTAATTTTGTCCGGGCCATTTCTTTTCAACTAAAAAAGCTATGGACTTGAAACTTCATAGGATGATAGATCTCATTAAGAAGAAATGCAGTGCACAAGAACCAGTACTCTGCACTTCGTAATTTTTGAGTTATTGCCCTTTGTTAATTTTCATACTTAATTTTTGTCCAGGCCATTTCTCCGAAAGTATAAAAGTTATGGACTTGAAACTTCATAGGATGATAGATCTCATTAAAAAGAAGTGCAGTGCATAAGAACTGATACTCTGCATTTCTTATTTTTGAGTTATTGCCCTTTGTTGATTTTCTTACTTTATTTTTGTCCTGGTCATTTCTCCTCAAGTATGAAAGCTATGGACTTGAAACATCATAGAATGATAGATGTTATTGATAAGAAGTGCAGTGTACAGAAACTGCTGCTCTGCACTTATTATTTTTTTAGTTATTGCCCTTTGTTATTTTTTATATTTCATTTTTGTCCTGGCCATTTCCCCTAAACTACATTGTTCACAAGGCGACACATCCGACTCGCGGAGTTCTAGTTTCACTATATACCATATAGAAATTTTGTGAACGCAACTCCTCTTTAACCAGGTGGCAGATTTTACTTAAACATCCAGGGATGAACAACCTTAATGTGTAGATGGTAGTAAAGGAAGGAATTTTTGCTGCGACCAAATTTTACAGAATTATGGCCCTTTGTTGATTTTTTCACTGTATACCATATATATGTTGTCAGTGGGGGCATCCACAGTTCTAGTATACACAAAAGACTTGATGTGTAATATTTTGGCCCCAGACTGTCCACTTGTCTTACTGATAACAATTTTGTATCTACTGATGGAAGAAAATTGAACTTAAATGAGATAATGTGCTGAGTATAGTTTTGGGCATCCTTCGGTCAAGGCCAAGGTCACAGTTATTTTTATGAATTTCAAAAATATGTTTATTACTTCAAACTTGGTATATATGTTTTTTATTGTAATGTGAATAGCACACTCTGGTTTTCTCAGTGCTGGATAATTAAGTAAAAGCAACATAGAAAAAGACACTTGACTTTATTACAAAATTAATTTTAGGATAATCTCCCTTTAATTACAATAAACATATACCAAGTTTGGAGTAATTGACTAATAGTTTCTGAGAAAATGCACCTTAAAGTGACATTATATCCATCAAATGGTATATATTGAGTGCACATGCAAAAGCCAAAGTAACAGGGCTTCCATTAATGGAAGTTTGGGAGTCATTTACTCCTTGATATAGGCTTGTGACTTCCAAAATCTACTACTTTTCCTTCTTTACCTAATACAATGTGACTTCCAATATCAGAGATTTTGCTGTCTCTGACTTCCAAATTTTGAAACTTAATGGAAGCCCTGAGTAAGTTATATTTGCCATAAATACTTTCAATTTTACAATTTACTTTACATGGACGATAAATAACTCATGTGGCTCAAAGTAATTTCTGTAGATATCCACTTGGATTTGCCTGTAACATGCATTTTTTGTCAGAATTCATACATAGAATGATTTCAAAACTATTCACATGAAACTTGGAATACTTATCATGACAAAAATGGTGCAGTTGTAAGACAAGTTGCATAATCTTGAAAGAAATACCAAGGGAGTAATGCCTCTTTTCAACTTTGAATATTTGTAAAAATTTGATACTGATGGAGAAAATTTGAAAACTGTCAAAGCTATTGTACTCATTTTTGGATACTTGCACTGTTATGTCTTCTACTAATCAACTCTAATTCATGATTGTAAAGTTTATTCAACTGATCTCAATACATATAAGACAAAGATGACGTCGTCTCCAAGTGACGTCGTCGACGTCAAGTAAAGCTATTCTCTAACAAGTAAAGCTAGCATTAATTTGTCAATATCACATTTCTCCCATATTTTAAAAGAAATAAATTTTAAAAGTATACCATAGGAAAATAAGATTAAGCATTATAAAATAAAGTTTTGTATCTATATTCTAAACGTCTGGTACGTTTTGAAACTTCACGTTTTTGTGATTGATGTTGTTCAACCTCCCTTGGGTCACTACTGGATTGTTCAGCTTCATTTTCAATTCCATCAGTCCTTGGTTCTTGATCCCTCTCGTCCTGTATTGAATTATTTGGCTGCAAATGTCTACTTCTGTCTAGGGTACTCAATAATTGTTGTCTCCAAACGGTCATCATTTGGTTCATGTAGTAATTTAAATTTCGAAGCATCTCTGTAAATGATACGTCCATCTGATTTTCGTTGTGCCTTAATACTCGAACCTAAAACCTCTGTGACAATGTAATTTCTTTTCTCATATGGTGTAGACCATTTATTCATTTTCTCTATTCTTAAACAAAACTTTGTCATTAATTTTAAATTCATGCTGCATAGATTTTGGATGTCTATTTTGATTTTCCCACCTTTTCTTGTATGCTTTATCTCGGTCTGCAATCTCAGCTTCCATTTTCTGTATATCTGTAGGTCTGAATTGGTTAGTACAATCAAGCTTTGTCCTGACATTTCGTTTCCATTAAAGGCTTCATATGAGAAGATATCCTGTTGCTGGATGTGGCGTTGATCTATATCCCATCAACATGTATTGTATGGCTGTATTGCTTGGTTTTCCTTTCACTTCGTGCAATCTTCTCTGTCTTATTCAATACTTTCATAAAGCTTTCAGCTTCCCATTTGCTCGAGGATGATCAGGTGTTATTCTATGATGGATAAATCCCATTTCTTCTGCAAATTCTGTAAATTCACTGGAATTAAATGGAGGACCATTATCTGATTCCAACCTTTCTGGTATTCCATGTGTGGCAAATATTTTACGCAATCTGTCACAGGTAACTTTGCACGAAGTTGATGTTGTTTGCTCAACAACTGGAAATCTTGTTCGCTTATCAATAACTACTAAATTATAGTGACCAATCAGGATATGGACCACCAAAGTCTACAGAAATAGTATGCCATGCTGATTCTGGTATTTCAGATGGTTTAACAGGTTCCTGTTTATGCTCAAACAGTTGATAACTGACATTGGTAGCACCGTGATATCTCATCTTCAACCATGGTATTCAGCCTTGGAAACCAATATTTTGCTCTCAACATCTGTTTCGTTCTTGTCATACCAAAATGACCCATGCTGTGTGCGGCTTTTTATAACATTCTTCTGTAACCGTTCTGGAATTACTATCTGCTTGCATCTCAGAAGTAGTCCTTGGGACTGGTATAAGTCATGCTTAATGAGATAATATGGTTTCATCTCTGGTCTGTTCTTATGGATTTCCCAATCATTGCATTTCATTCTTCTCAGAACATCCTGTAGAACATTATCAGATGCAGTTCTTTCCTTTATGGTCTGTAAAACCACACCATGTTCATTATTGATAATCATCTTGATTGTTTTTTCTGTATCATCCATATCTGTTTCTGGAAGTGGATGACGCGATAAGTAATCCATCGGATCTGCTGCATCTTTACCTGGTTCATACACTAATTCATAATCACATCTTGCATTTCCATGATCCATTTCTCAATCCTTGGAGGTAACTTAGCACATGCTTTATTGAACATAGGAATAAGAGGCTTATGTGCTGTAACTATTTTAAATTTTGGTGCGCCTATAGTAAGTACATGGAAAATCGTGTCTTCGCCCATTTCACTGCTAATGCGTCTTTCTCTGTTTGACTGTATCTCTTTTCAGCACTTGACATTGATCTGCTGATGTAATGCACTGGTTGCAAACCTTTGCTTGTCCTTTGAAATAATCCCGCTGATAATCCTTCATGGAAACTTGCCTCAGTTCTTACAGTTATAGGTTTCCTTGGGTCGAAAAACACCATTGTATTCTCATTTGTAATGCTGTCTTTCAGCTTCTGGAAAGCCATATCTTCTTCATAACCCCATTGAAATGGTACATTTTGCCCAGTCAATCTTCTCAATGGTGCTGTCAAAACTGCATATCTTGGAATAAACTTTGACAGATATCCAATCATGCCTAGAAAACTTCTTACTGCCTCTCTAGATTCTGGAGCTTTACATTCTTTAACAGCTCTTACTTTTTCTGTAGTTGGCTTAAGTCCTTCGCTGGTAAATCGATATATCCAAAGAACTCCATGTCTTGTACACCACACTGGCATTTTTCTTTATTGAATGTGACAAATCTCTAGCTGGTTCAAGTACAGATTTTAGTGTTTTGTTGTGATCTTTCATAGTCACACCTCCAATGAATATGTCGGCCCTTTGGTTTAATCATTTCGGAAAGTCCCCAAAAATCTAAACATGGCCTCGTCAAAGAGATCTCGTGAAGATTTTGCTCCAAATTAGTCTTCTAGGTCGCATATTACCCCATAGTGTACTAAATGTAGCAATAGCTCTTGACTCTGGATGAAGTGTTAGTTGATGGTACCCTTGTTTTAAATCCATTTTTGAAAATATCTTGCAATCATGAAACTTACAAGTAAAATCTTCAATAACTGGTGCCTGTAAAATTCTGTTTCGCTCCATATACTTATTTGGTACTCTCAAATCTACACATGCCCTTATCATATGCGGTCCCAATGACTCTTTGCTCATATTGCAATATCTCGGCTTTGGTTGGACAACCAGAGGTGAACACCATGTTATAGGCTCTCCTGGATCTACCCACTCAAAGATTTCTTCCTTTATGCACTGATCTAACCATTTTCGTAAAGGTGCCTGAAGGTAATATGGCACTGGTCTAGGCTTTTGTGCAACAGGTGTAGTATTTTCCTTCATCGAAAATTTCACAAGAAATTCTGTATTGTTTTTCTTATCCTCAATTTGTCCTATGCCATGAAAAACTTCCTGATGACAGTTCAATATTTCATCCAATTCAGATCGCGCTTGTATATTCAGAATGGAATTGACTAAGTGATTATTTCCAATTCTCAATTCATTAGGTTCCTTCAATGACCCATCTGGTCGTATTTCTAACATGCCCAGATCAAAAAGTGTCTTTTTGCTCAACAATGGTGGAGAATTTATTTTCCCTTCAATAACAACAAATGTTGTTTCGGTTCCTCTTGTCTCATTCCTTACTGTAGCTCTGAAAACACCAGATACCTTCAGTCTGTTTTGGAGTGTATTTAATTTCAGTTTGGATTTTTCAAGAACTATATTTTCTGAAGAATCACGCAGTAATTTACGAAAATGATGTTCGTCCATAACATTAACATCTGCTCCACTGTCAGGTTCAATGTGAACAATGACATCATTAATTACAATTGGAACTGTTTTTATTAAATCACCTACTCTGTGAAGTTCTACTTTACCAATTCGAAGATGTTTTACCGAATCGTCAACAAAATCAAGATCTTGAATATCTGAATCATCTGTATCTGACTCACCAGTGGCACATCGAATATCTCTACTATATGTTCCTCTGGTCTGTCTGCCAAAAGATCTATGTTTCTGCTGTGCATTAGAGAAACAAACTGCCCCGAAATGGTTCCTTTTCCCGCATTTACTACATATTTTACCATAAGCAGGACACAATTCCTTTTGTCGTGGGTGTATCCTATTGCAGTATTTACAAAGTCTATTGTTATCTGTTGATCTTGAATCTGTATGCTTGCTCTCGTAAGTTTTCTTTCTGCTTATTTTAGCAACATCATGGGTATTTCTTTGACCCATTGCTCTGACTTGCATCGAAGTATCCTCTTTGACTTGCATCTCAGTCAAAGTTTCCTGAAGTGTCCACTTCTTGTGTAACACATTGCGTATAAGGTCTGCGTTATCTGTTGTTTGAATAATTTGTTCTAATATTCTTGCATCAATGTCATGAAAGTCGCAATTCACAGCTTTTTCTCGCAATCTCGCTGCATATGCAAGTGTACTTTCACCCTCCATGGGTCTCATTTTCAAAAACATATATATTGAATAGTGCACATTCTTCTTCGGTGCGAAATAATCTGATAATTTATCTCTTAGCTTTGTATAAACATCACCCTCACCTGGGTCTTGGAGGCTCTTACTCAATCGCCTTATCTCCTCACCACCAAATATCAGCATTGCATCCTTCTTGTCTTCAGGCTCCTTAATGCGGAAAAATCTCATTTCACGCTCAAGTTCATCTAACCAATCATCCCACCTATCACCCGTTGCTATGTGGTCTTCTGCCACAGTAAACGGAGAAATCCTCAAGCTTCTACCTCCTTCAGCCATGATGTTAAGTAAATCAACAAGTAAACAGCATCATAAAACCTACTGGAGTTGTTTATCCTCGTCGCCAATGTTATGTCTTCTACTAATCAACTCTAATTCATGATTGTAAAGTTTATTCAACTGATCTCAATACATATAAGACAAAGATGACGTCGTCTCCAAGTGACGTCGTCGACGTCAAGTAAAGCTATTCTCTAACAAGTAAAGCTAGCATTAATTTGTCAATATCACATGCACAACAATTGCTAAGGGATATAACTAAATGATCAGCACTTCTTCATTTATTATTATCTTATTGGTAAGTGTATAAAAGCCATGAAACTCTTTGATTTGATCTTTTTAGCTCACCTGTCACAAAGTGACAGGGTGAGCTTTTGTGATCGCTTTTCGTCCGGCGTCCGTCCGTTAACTTTTACTTTAAATGACATCTCCTCATAAACCACTAAGCCAATTTCATCCAAACTTCACAGGAATGTTCCTTTGGTGGTCACCTTTAAAAATTGTTCAAAGAATTTAATTCCATGCAGACCTCTGGTTGCCATGGCAACCGAAAGAAAAACTTTAAATATCTTCTTTTAAAAAACCATAAGAGCTAGAGCTTAGATATTTGGCATGAAACATCTTCTAGTGAGTGTCTACCAAGTTTGATCAAATAAAAGCCCTGGGGTCAAAATTGGCCCCGCCCCGGGGGTCATTGATTTTCCCTATATGCATATAGTAAAAACTTAAAAAATCTTCTTTTAAAGAACCCAAAGAGTTAGAGCTAAGATATTTAGCATGAAACATGTTCTAATAAGTGTCTACCAAGTTTGTTCAAATAAAAGCCCTGGGGTCAAAATTGGCCCCGCCCCTAGGGGGTCATTGATTTTCCCTATATGCATATAGTAAAAACTTAAAAATCTTCTTTTAAAGAACTCAAAGAGCTATGGCTAAGATATTTAGCATCAAACATGTTCTAATAGGTGTCTACCAAGTTTGTTCAAATAAAAGCCCTGGGGTCAAAATTGGCACCGCCCCGGGGGTCATTGATTTTCCTTATATGTGTATAGCAAAAACTTAAAAAATCTTCTTTGAAAAAACCCAAATAGCTAGAGTTAAGATATTAAGCATGAAACATCTTTTAGTGAGTCTACAAAGTTTGTTCAAATAAAAGACCTGGGGTCAAAATTGGCCCCGCCCCGGGGGTCATTGATTTTCTTTATATGTGTATAGCAAAAACTTCAAATCTTCTTTGAAAAAACCCAAATAGCTAGAGTTTAGATATTAAGCATGAAACATCTTCTAGTAAGTGTCTACAAAGTTTGTTCAAATAAAAGCCCTGGGGTCAAAACTGGCCCGGCCCCAGGGGTGTCATTGTTTTTAACTATATGTGTATAGTAAAAACTTTAAAAAAATCTTCTTTTAAAAAGCCCAATGAGCTAGAGCTTAGATGATTAGCATGAAACATCTTCTTATGGGTTTTTACCAAGTTTGTGCAAATAAAAGCCCTTGGGTTAAATTGGCCCTGCAACGTTGGGGGTGGGGGTTGGGGGGCCTATATACAGGTGAGCGACCTCAGGGCCATCATGGCCCTCTTGTTTCAAGTTGTTCCCCTTAAAAGGTGATCGTTAACACCGCATGCTATTATATTAGATAGTTGACTGGTTATATGTGATTCGTGTTTAAGATAATTCATGGTTATATGTGATTCCTGTTTGAGATAGTAGACTTGTTAAATGTGATTCCTGTTTCAGATATTTGACTGGTTATATGTGAGTCTTGTTTCAGTTGTTTGACTGGTTAATTTATATGTGATTCCTGTTTCAGATAGTTGACTGGTTTTAGGTTTCAGACTGATTTTATGTGAGACCTGTTTCAGATAGTAGACTGGTTATATGTGATTCTGTTTCAGATATTTGACTGGTTATATGTGATTCTTGTTTCAGATAGTTGATTGGTTATATGAAATTCCTGTTTCATATAGTAGACTGGTTGAATGTGATTCTTGTTTCAGATAGTTGACTGGTTATATGTGATTCTTGTTTCAGATAGTTGACTGGTTATATGTGATTCTTGTTTCAGATAGTAGACTGGTTATGCTTGGTGCTTGATGCTCATATTACCCAGTTTGTGTTATCTCCAGACTGTCATGTGACTATTGTTAAGTTAGAGCATATTGTTCGAGAACAGGTAAGATAATTTTTATAGAGACTTCTCACTAGACTTGTGAACTACTGTGATCAGTCACTGTATGTCTTCCATCTGTCTGGGCAAGCAGCTTTACTCTGTTCATAATCTTAGTTAAGAAAGAAACCAAATAAACAGTCAATTTATGTGGTAATTTGCACTGGTTTATGGTTTAATATGTTAGTTTCAATGATTCATAGGTGATGGACTCCCATTATTATGGAATGGATTTGTGTTTCCCTTCATATTTAAAGAGAAAGCTTTGCAAATTTTCCTTTACTCTCTAGGGATTAATTAAGGGACATAATGACCTTATTTAGAAAGCCACTTTATTCTGAAGATATTGTCATATAATTTGTAATTAAACTGATGTTTAGGGGCATTTGTGGTTTAAGGTTGTAAACTTTAAACTACTTGGCCCTCACTGCTGTTTTGAGATTCTTTTATGTTAGGAAGCTATCCAGATAGCTTACAGAACGTTGGTGGTTCTACTCGTGTGCCCACTTCTTGTGCCTAGAATATTGCATGGAGGGGCACCTGAGGTCTTCTTCCACCAGTAAAGCTGGAGAGTTGCCATATATACTGGGTTGTGACATAGCCATACCCAACCCCTAAAAAAACAACAACTAAAAATTGATTTTTTTTTAAATGGGATAATATTGTCCCTATCTAAACTGTGTTATGAACTATTTTATCATTTTCTCCTGATTCTGGCATAAATAATCTAACTTGTTTTAGTAGATTTTGATATTTTAATACAATATAGAACTGTTCAATTGTAAAACTGAAGTCTATGTTTAACTGTGTTCACAACAAGCGTCATGCAAATTGTATGCTAACAGTTAAATGTTTAAGTGACCTGCAATACGTCATGTAAACCCCAACTACAGGATATAGCTTCCAGAATAATGTTTAGTTTTTATAATGAAATTGTTTTGTGTTTTCAAGGTACAGTTCTTTGATGGACTTGTCACACTGGAAGCACTGTTGGAGCATTTCAAAGCTAAAAGCTCACCACCCCAGGATAAAAAGATTGGACACTATTGTATTGAGGTGCTTCATGTCTACTAGCTAATGATTTATTTTTCATATATATGTGATAATACAAAATAAACTTGTAAGATATAATGTATTTGTGTTTGATTGAGAAATCTCTAGCCACTACAGTCAAAATAAGGGCAGTTGAATGTGTGTTTATATATTCCTCCATTTGTAAAATCTGTAGGCTGAAGGTTAATATGTTATTTTTCTGTCCGTCTGTGTGTATGTGTAAAGATATGAAACTAGCTTTATTACCCCCATGCTATAAGTTACAGCCATCATATCCCGACATATCTTTTGAAAAGTGCACAATTTTTATGTTGAAGTGTGAGCTTCACATCTAGAAGATATTTACATTTTGGATCAAATTGTTAAAAATTTAAGTGGGCACTATGAGATCATTTGTTATTATTTAGTGTTTAAAGTGATGTAAAACGGAGATGTCTTTATCATGTATTATAGTGTATTAACTCTGGACCTTGTAGACATGTAGAAGATACAATATCGTATACTAGTAATCCAAATATATTATAAAACCTCCCATAATTTAGCCTGAGCCTGCTGGCAAGTCCAAAATCTTCCCAATGGGTCATACCAGTGCAGACCAAGATCAAACAGGCTGGCATTTCTGGGCCATCTTGCTATGCACTCAGTTCATTTTTTTATGTTTTACCTAAAAATGATGACTGGTGTTGTCCAGATTGTAATATGAAGAAGTCCATTTAAGATATTTAGCATGGAAAGGGTTCAACAAAACCATAAGGAATTTCGTTCTACTAACATGAAGCAGATGGTATTCAAAATTTTACTACGTGCTATTATGGTAAAATGGTTATCTTTTTCATACACAAATGGAAGAGTATACCCCATGTGTGTCATGGTACTGGGACAACTATCAAATGACATTTTCCGATTTAAAATGAAGGGTTTACTACTTCAAATGTCTGGTAAAGGTTAACTTATAACATCAAACTAAATAACTTCTAAATGCTATGAAAAGAATTCGCCTAAGGTAAGCTTTATGCAAGGAATTTCACTAACTGGTTTGTTAATAGTCTCCCAATTAAACTTATACTGCATGCTTCTCCGTGAGATTCAATTAATGTTCACGTGAATTTCAGATGTGCTATTGAATTGAAAAAGATATAGTTCAAACATCTATTATGTTTTTCCTTTTGACTATATAACAGCAATGTCTTTCCCAAACAAATATACTGTACCAGTATATTTAATTTGAATAATGAGTCCTAATTTGATTTATATATAATGTGTTGCAAGAAGTACAGAACGCAAGAGAGGAGACTGAATGTGCGTTTATTAAACGTTTCTAGTTTAACAAGATTTGTTATAGAACTGCATTAATAACGAGTCAATTAGATCAACGACGTATTGAACTTTACATTTAATATCGTAAGTATACATTTCTTGACAGCGAAACAAAGTCGCTGTAGTGTTTCAGATATATAGAGTTTTTATATTGATTTTGCAAACTCTGTGGGATTTTGTGATATAGTTCGAACAATTAGTTTTAAGGACATTTCAGTTGTGCGTTTCAATCCACTGCTTATAATGTATATCTCTATAAATAATTCATGATGCGTAGATGATAAAAAACCGTTCATAAAATGCACTGCGTCGATGGTTTTTGTCACAGCGGTTGTTCAAATAGCATTAAACACGGACATGTGAGTTTCATTTTAGTACAATCTAATCTTTCACCAAACATGTACAAGAGTTGCTTTTAGTCTAGACTAAACTACACCATTAGCAGATTGAAGTAGTTAATGTGTCTCGTTATAAACTTTTAGATCACGTGATGTTCAAATCGTTGGTTGTCCGTCATCCGTGACACCCGTCTTCTGCGGACCACAAGTCCTTCAAAAAACATGTTTCTTTTGGTTCCAGTCCATTGAATTTTTGGATCGCAGAAGCTAAAAATAGAATTGAAAGTGTACCTTTAACTTACCCTGCTGGTGTCGACTGAATCTTTACATGTGACCAATGCAGACCAAAATCTTGCGACATATCTTTGCCGTCTGATAATGGTCTACACTGTCCGCTGTTTTAGTCTGTATATTTTTTGAATTTTTACATAAAATTGATGAGGAGTCTTGATGGAAAAGTCCTTTCATGATATTAAGCATGCTAAGGGTTTAAACTTTCCCCGAAAGTCTATAGAGCTTAGATATTTGGTGTGTTGCATCATAAATGACAGTCTTTATATTTAGGTAGGTTTATTTACACTGGTCGCCGAAATTAAACATTTGGGCAATAATATCCACACACTTGCTGGTCCTGTGCCTTACGACTTGTCATACTGTCCTCTCTCTGAGGATCTTATACTGATACTGTCAAATTGAAAAAAAAAAACTTTTAAAAATTTCCACTTAAAGGCTAAGAATTAAAAGTACGTGGTAGTGCCATTGTCTAGTTAACTTCAGTCAAATATGATGGTCCTCTTTGATTTCCATTTGCTTTATGCGTGAATGAATAATGAAGAGCACTTAGAACAATTATGACATCAATTATCCAAACGGCATCTTGATTAAAAATAAAGATTATGTTCTAACGCGACACTGCCATCTCCTGATGTATCCACAAGCAATTTGCTTGCACTTATTAATCATATTTATTTTCAAAATGTCCGCCTGGAAACGTACAGATCTAAATTGCGACTGGTCGATAGTCGAATCATTGGTGTGGCATAGATATAGTAATGTTTATGTTCTGGAGAAATACTTTCCCTGCCGACAAAATACAAAATAAAAAGTAGAAAATTACAAATTTTACAGTATTAAGTGATTATGGATCTTACTCTGGCCGCAGACCGATTTATTTGGATGAAGTGTAAGTGTTTAAAGCTCTGTCGAGTTTATGCTTAAATTTTGACAGCCACATATTCTCGTCTTTGACGAAATATTTATTTTGCATGTAGCATAACAAGTAATTACTAATATTTTTTATCACAACATAATGACGCCATCTTTTGCACACAACTTCTTCGTAATTGAAGTGGAGAAATTAAGTCAAAGTCAATTTAAAGCTGGAGATCAATTTAGTACGTCTGTACAAACACAATAAATTCTAGTTTGCAAGAAATGATATTGTTGCATAAGGCTTGCAATAAATCACTGTTTTCCAGTCTCGGGTGACAAAGAATACACGTACTTTCCTACCTGGGCTGCATGATTAAAAAATATCTTTCTTTTGCCTGTATTCATTACCATAAAGAAGAGACATCCGGAATACTATGTTATTTGCTGATACAACTGAAACTTTCAAAATTTGTTTGTGGACATAAAAGAACAACGACAATTGTTAAAAGCGGCACATCGTTTTATTTAGAAAATGTTATATCACAAACTAACATGATTTATAGAATTAGTTTAGAAACTTTAGAAATTCTCGCACATTTACAGAAGTAAATATTAGAATCTTTATAAATGCAGTATACCAATGTGGTAGAACTATTTTTCAGCATATAAAATTTTATACTTTTTTTGGTATTAATAGCATTGTTTGTGTTTATCATCATTTATGTGTTTACCTGTATAATCCGTTAATCTGCTGTATTTGTGTATTCAGATATTTTTTTTTTTTTCAAATTTGACCAGTCCATTTTAAAATTGAGGTATTTTAATTACAAAATACAACATTTGAGCAACCTACAGCACACCGCCTGGTCAGACTGCCCGGGTGTGGAAGGCTGACTCGGCTCTATGTTGTTGGCAAAGGCACTTTAGGTTTCAACAGGTTATTGATTTTGTAAAAGAATATGAAGTGCCGCTTTTTTATGATATTTTATAGTGTAACAAGTTAAAAACTTTAAAGTAACAAGACGATTAAAACTGTTATTAAACAAGGTGAAAATTTCGTGTAACAAGATAAAAGTTGTAGTGTTACAAGCTATAAACCATATAGTAACAAGATACAATTCCTTAATGTAACAAGATAAATCTTTGATATAACAAGACAAAAACTTTAGTGTTCACAGCTAAGGGTAACAAAATGAAAAAAAATAGTGTAACAAGATAAATCTTTAATGCAACAAGATAATAACTGTAGTGTAACAAGCAAACATTTTAGTGTAACATGGTAAAATCTTAAATATAATTACAGTGTCTACTAGACGTTGTTACCAATTCTGGATTTTATATTAAGATAAAATCGGAACTTGTACTATACTATCAGGAGAGTAAACGAATTCATTTGTATTATATTGTGACATATTCACATACATTTAACTATATAAAACTGCTTTTGCATTTCTTTTCCAGTAACCTGGCCCCGTGTTCACAGAGATTTAAGGATCAGGAGCAAATTTAAAAGCTTTAATATTCATTGTTTATCCTTATAGATTAAATATCTAATATTAATAAACTGGACTTGCAATAGCAAGTTGATGAAAATTTAGAATAAAATTGTTATTTTTGCAAGATACGGGCATTTTACAGTTGATCCAAATATTGATCTTGATCCTAAACTTGATCCTTATTTTAATCCGAATATTTTTGTATTTGTTTTGTTATTTGTTGATTTTATCCCAAAATAGTTTGTTACATTTTGAATATTTACCATTCAATTCTAGCAAAACACATTAATTTTTATTAATTAAACAATAAAAATAAAATCAGGATCCATTGATCCTGATCCTGATCTTTTCTTAGTGAACACAGGGTCTATTTCCAGCCTTTGTCTTTTATCAGACAAAAGTTTGATCAATTACGAATCAATCAGTGAAAAGATTTACTCGGTTGTTAAAAGTATATAAACTTTAAAATCACACAAACTTTAAATCTAAGCTATTTGCATAAGATCTTTAATTGTATGCTATATATATACTAAAAAAATTAAAAAGGCTTAAAATACAATTGTGTTTGTTCACATAATTACATACATTAATTACAGAAATGTATTCTGTTTTGATAAAATGATTTCGTTTTTGATTTGTATATTTGTTAAGAATTTAATTTTAATTTATTTTTAAAAATTTTACACACTGCTTCAGAAAAGTTTTATTTTTAGCGATGAATGTGTGTAAATTATTTCCATTACCAACAATTTCAGACTAACATGTTATAGTAGAAACTGGACTGTTTGATGTTGTTATTTTTTCGCATATCACATACATTTTTTGTACTTGAAAGAGTTTAATTGTTTTTAATTACTATCGACGTGTTAGGCTGTTTCACCTACATTATCTGTCTAGAACAGGAACATTAAAAAATGATAAAAAGTTCACTAACAAAATTTTAATTATATTACAAACTAAAAATAAAACGTGCTACAGAAATAAGGAGTTATCTGTCTATGTTGACATCGTTGTTTCCGAAGTGCATAATCGTATCTACGTGATTTATTGGTTACATAAATATTGTGAAATATACTAGACTTTATTAAAACTTTTGCAGTAAAAGATAATTATAGATCTACAAAAGTTAAAAATACTATAATAACGTCAAGATAATGATAAAAAAACAACTGTAGGTATAAGTTAAATATTCATACGGTTTCAATAAAAGATTAATACGGATTTTACGAAAGTTAATTATGCTTGGCTGTCCCAATAATAACTCTTGAATTTTTCTAAACTTTTGTTTTAGTTAGTTTAGTTTTACCATATTTTTTGTCTATATACATGCAAATATACACACAAAATAGAACAACAACAATAAAAAGGCAAATTTGTTGGGTAAACAAGTTCTAACATGATAACATTAATTAAAACTTCCAATGGCTTGTTTTGAGACGACCCCTTCTCGAAATCAAGTGCCGTTGGGACAGATATTTCGAGTCTGTTTTGTTTAGGCACTTGCATAACAGCCACATCCACCACCCAACACACGTACACGCACACACGTATGATCTCAATTTTCATTAAAACAAAATTGATTAAATCGTGTTCATTTTGTAGCCTAGGTTTCATGCATACATGTATTTACATAGAAAAACAAGCTTAAATAACAAGATACATGTATAACTCATTACATTACATTACATGCAAATAAATATATTTCTATGATAAAAAAAATGTGTTGCACATTGACAAATCTATTTACTGTTCATGTCAATTTAAGAGAAATATAAACACAAATTAGTCAATGTTTATAGCTGATTCAACACGTTTGATAACGATTTGCTAAATCATAAACTTAAGTTGTTAACGCCTAAACTTAAGTTGTTAACGCCGGAACTTGACCTGTCGTTTACTGTGCTCAGAATCGGGAGTAGTGAAGTCTGAAACGAGATTGCATGTGCACAAAAATAAATGTATAAGAAATTCGAATGACTGGCAAGTTTGTCGACTTCAAATATAACTTATGCTCATAAACAATCGACATAACAATAAAAAGCGTAGTATGACTTAGTTTAACAAAATTTTGTTTTCAAATCTTAAGTCTTCAAAATATAAAAAAATTGAAGATGACAAAGTTGGTGCTATTGTCAGAGACAGGCAATATTTTAGCTTTAAAACTGTATTCAGACCATGTCATACAGGCATGATTATTTTACAAATCACATAAAAGATGCTACATGTTATAAACTGGGTAATTATTGTTATTTTGAAACTTGAAAGTCAATAAAATTAAAGTTTCCTGGAAATTTCTGATTTATTTCAAGGCCCAAAATGATTTTATTTTCATTTCTCAAAAGTTTTTTTCTTATTTTTTTGGTATCATAATATAGTTTTTAAAAAGTTACTCATTGGCCTAAATCATTTTTTGGCTTCAGTTGCCTTTTGACAATTAGTACAATTATATAGTGATTTAGTATTTTGTATGGAAGTCAAAATACTACCTTGTTTACATTTTGTTACTTTTGTTACAAATTTATTCACATTTAATGCTCCTTTTAAAGGTGATAAGCATTTAACATGCTCTAAAGCCATTATTTATATGTTACAAAATTCATTTGTGCTCTTTCAAAAAAACAACAACAAAAAAAAACAACATTAATTTCTGAGGCATAATGCCTTTCAGGGAGTAATATCTAAATTTTATACAGCTATCGATTCATTTGACTGTACTGATAACAAAAAAACAAAGAAAAAAATGTAAACAGTTCTTAAATAAGTGTTTTTTTTTATAGTATTGACTTATTTTAGAACCTTTCTAATTTTTAAACAATGACTCACCTCTTGCATTACCTGTCAAAGCCTCATTCATCGTTTCTCGTATTTCTTGTAGAATTTCACGGTTCGTAGCCTTGTTGAATTTTCCACCTTGGTATTCTTTGCGATTTCCACGACTCCACGGTGCTGGTTTAACTGCAAAAGAAAATAACTGAAACTCAAACCAAATGGGAATAAAATAAAAAAATGATTGTAAGTATGATTAAAAGTTGATTGTTTATAATTCCTAAATATCTTCATATAGAGTCATACAGTCGTTTGAAATTTCAAATGAATTTACGCAATTGTATATTTCTTATTTCTGTAAACCTGTACAGAGGCAGGCAGGAAATAGTATCCTTATTCGAAAGACATGTCCTGTTTGATTGTTTTTGCTCACTGAAAATAATATAGATATATAAAGATCATTACCTGTAGCCTTTTTTGTGCCACTGCCATACGATAATAACCCCTTTAACTTCTTGATACAATAATCCACCATTTCCTCGCTTTTATCTTTCTTCGTATCCTCATGGACCTGATCAATTGCCTTTGACAAGACAGCCAAAAACATGGTTAAGATCATGTAAACGACAAAGAAAATAAAGCACATGAAGTACACTTTCGAGAAAACAGGATCAGTTTCCTCGATTTCTGTGAAACGACTCTTTCCTATCATGCTAATGAATAAAGTGCCCATGGTTTTAAAGACGTTTTTGTACGACTTCAGCTTCCATCCGAACAGAAGGAATCCGAATGCAGCGTAGCAGACGAATACGAATGAAAAGAATAAGCCAAACCATAGAAGATCACTTGCTGCCTTGGTAAATACTTTAGCGACGGCACCGATTCTTTTATTGTAACCAAGGATGTTCAACATCCGGACCGTTGCCATGAAGACCAGAATACCGATAAGTAAAACGAGGAAGGTGTTCCATAATGCCAGATGGTAAAAGTTTACGAATGCCTTTTTGTCTTCTCGGAATACGTCCAAGCTCATATTTGTAAAGACAACTTGAACAATGTTCATTGCTATAGCAACATATCCAAGAATGATGAATATCATGTCGTAAATCTGCCATCCTTGTTTGAAAAAGTCTTTCTTTTGCTGATACATTTGTATGATCATCGTTACAGTTAAAAAGATCAGATACAATACAAAGAGTACTTCACAGGCTAAAGTGTATAATCCTAGAGGTCCTTGGTGGAGGAATACGCGCATTGGTAGAATCATATAAAACGGTATGGCCCCACCTGTCTCAGGAAATTCGACCATGAACATGTTGTAAGTGAATATATTCGCATTTAAGCAGTACAGCGTGAATTCGAACAGCACTGCCCTAGTCTGTCTGTCTACCCAAGAATTTCTATACAATTCATCCATTATGGAAACACTGACTTTCCTGTTTACACTTAATTTAGCTATATAACCTCCGCCACCGTAAGTTGTATAGTAGCCGGATATAGGCATACCCCAAATATCAAAGGCTGACGTGAACTTCCAAGCGTCGGATGTAAAGTTATATATTTTCTCATCAGGGTGACAAGTACCATCTTTCCAACCGATACAATAATTCTCCGTTTCTTCGTTTGTCTCGTAATACTTTTTGTAGCAGTTCACAGTTGGAAATGGGGAATTTGTACACGATTCTGTAATTAAAAACGAACATAACTGAAGCCACTTCAATGGTTTAAAAGGCCTGAATAAAAATAGTGTAGATATATAAAAGAAACATCGGATATCATCTGAAGACATTTAACTTAATAATCTTGTCATTCCTCTTACTCTTAAAAATGTATATTAAGTTATTTAATTTTTATTCAAACAAATTGGTGATTTCCGAATTAATCTGACCTATTGTAATTGAGTTAACACAATTTTATATACATGTAATATACATGTATATACAGCACTTACATATTTTTACGACACGGATAACGGAACTAAATAACTTACACTAGTATTTAGGTTATTAAAGATAAAAGAAAACGCTACTTTTAGTAGTTCGAAGTTGCCTCAGTCTCGGCGGCCCGACTCTGAAATGAGTTCCACCTTCTGTAAATTGCCGAACTCTCCAATGTAACGGTGTATTTTTTGCATCATTCTCAAACTCAGGAAATCCATTTATAATAGCAGTATTTTGCATCCAATCAAAAAAGTCAGTTGTTGTTCTAATCTAAAATTATACGTAAAAATAAAATTGTATGCAACCTGGCTGTATCTGAAATATTTATATTTCTTTAATATAACTGTAACATGATGATCTTAAAAATAGCACTTGTGTGAATGGAAAGTGTTGGATGTTTTTAATTACAAGTTACATTTTAATAAGACATTGCATACTATTTACACAAGTATATATACTGAAACTAAGCATTTGATTGAAATTTCGAAATGACAAGTTATAATTACATTAAAGTAATGAACACTTCAACAAGATTGGCATTTTTGTAATGCCGATACCTTTGACAGTCTGTTACATTTAAACACTTACCGATTCAAACGCAGGCATATTTGGAGGTGTAAGGAACGAATCAACTACTCTCTTATGCATATAGTAAGACATAGTGTCCCTGTTACTGAAGCTGATACTGAACAAGATCCAGATAATTATGATGTTAACAATTATATCTCGCAGCGCCCTCTTCATGAGCATGTCTCGATTCTTCTCATCACGTGCTTTTTCCAATTTCTTTTGATCAAGTGGCGGTGCAGGCAGTCGAAGGCTTTCTGTAAATGTGTTTTGATGAAAGTAAATGCAAAATTATTTCTACTTTGTATAGTCTAGCATAAATATAAAGAAAGGATCTTGAGGTAAGTGTTTTGATTTCAATGATTTAAGTATTAAAGGCACATTATGCCTCAGAAATGCTATCAATTTTAATTCTCAAAAACTTTATATTTTTGGTATCTTGATTCCAAAATTCTACTAATTTTCCACATACATGTACTGTATTTTCCTGGTTCTGTTCTTTTAGCAATTGATATAATTATAAAGAATTAGTATTTTGTATGTAAGTCAAAATACTACTTGTTTATATTTTCCATAACTTTTACAATACATTACTGTAAGCATTTTTTCTTCTTCAGTATTTGAACATGTACTACAACACACTCTAAATTGATTATTGAAACAATATAAAACACATGTTTGACATTTCTAAAGAATTAAAAATATATGGATTTCTTAGATATAAAGTGGCTTTAAGTTAGTTATTTTATCGCATGGAATATAAATATGATGATATTTAAAGTTAATCATGCCCAGGTATTGATCTCTTAACGACATGGAAAATTGACTTTATTTATTTATTTATATATCAATTGAATGTATTCATGTAAAATATTTACTTTTCTATCAGGGTAATTGGATGAGTTAATGACACATAGCAGAACATACTTTAAAGTTTCATGGTGTTACTTCTGGTTCATATTTGCTTGTTTTTGTTTGTTTGTTTGTTTGCTTGCTTGTTTTTTTATTTGTTCCGTGACTGTCGGACATTTGCACATGTGTATTTGTTGGGATTGAAACAAGTAAAGGGTTTTTTTTACTGCTGCGCCAATGCCACAAAACATTTGGGATAGTTTTAAAGAATCTTCTTTCATTACAATCTTGATTGAAACAGACCATTAACTCTCCGCATTTCATGAGAAAAGTTATAAAGAAAAACATACCCTTATTGAAAAAAGAACAAAACAGGAGTTGGATGATGTGTCCTTTTTATGAACTAAGCGAATACCATGGAACTGTTAACTTAAATTTTATATCAAAATATGATTATATTCTATAACTTCTTCAGCGATTAACGAACGGTGTAGTGTTGCCATAGCTACAGTATTACAGTAGTAGAGCACCACACTGAACGTTCAAACATACAATTAAATTATATATGATTTATTATAAAACTTCTCACACATAACTTTTACTCATAACTTACTTGATTTTCCTCGTAGACTTGACGAATATCTCTTCATGATTGTGCTTCTGTTGACAGGAGCCTCCGAATCTTTAGTAGACCGGAACAGGATCGCCAGTACAACAGCCATTATTCCGACCTAAAAATTACATTTAAAGAGCCAATAAAATGCATACAGATATATATATATTACTTAACGATTGTTTTTCAAGAAAACAAAACCTGTTACTTCCGTATTTACTTAAATACCAATGACTTATATCAATGAAAATCCGTTGGGGTCCAAAAAACTTAAACATGACATTTGAAATTTTAGCATAGTTTAACTGGGACACCTAAAGCAAAAACAAACATGCAGACGATAATAAGAAATACGCTCAAAATAAATTTAAATCATTTTTATCATGCAATCCTACCCTGATTGTGTTCAAAGCGTTTAAACGCTTTTTAATTTTGGGTCATTTGCACAACAAAGATAATTATTCTGAAGAAAGAAGGTAAGCGAATGACCTAAAATTTTGCACAATATGATATATGTTGTTTATACAGCTCACCTTGACTGGATCTAAACAGAACACCGACTCAAAGAAAGATAACAGGAACGTTGTGATCCATTCCTCCGACTTTTGTTTCCCCCATTGCATGCTGAATGACATGATGAAGAACGCGCATATGAATGACGTCACAATCACTATGAACCATGCAACGTATCTACACCAATGCGGCAATGAAAAGCCCTGTAATACAATCATATAAAAACACTTTTGAATTTGATAACATGTTACAATAATAAGAACTTAAAAATGGTGACATACAAGGCCCATTGGGCCGGATGCTTATTTTCATGTTGTTTTTTTTATTATATGTATATTTTTTAATGAGCCACGTCACGACAAAACCAACATAGTGCGTTTGCGACCAGCATGGATCCAGACCAGCCTGCGCATCTGCGCAGTCTGATCAGGATCTATGCTGTTCGCTATCAGTTTCTCTACTTGTTATAGGGTTTGTAAGCGAACAGCATGGATCCTGATCAGTCTGCACGGATGCGCAGGCTGATCTGGATTCATGCTGGTCGCAAACCCATTATGTTGGTTTTGTCATGACGCGGCTCAAATATGTTTTAAATGAATAAACATTGTTAGGCGGCTTACTTTTAATGAACAACTAGATTATCAGATTGTGTTGTAATGTTTCGTTTTATTACTTGCATGTGCTTTTTTTCATATAATCTGTTACCTGCATGTTTGGTAATCCTTTCTGCACTAAGTGCTGTTCCAGCTCCATGCTACGCTTTTGTTCATTTTCCAGCCAATTTTTCATGAATGGTATTTTGTATCGACTTGCTTTATCATTTGCTTTGAATAAGGTTTCGTTGGGGTCAATAATTCTTTTCGACAATTTGAACAGGTAAATCACTATTAATGTTCCCGGAGTAACAATCAAGGCGCAAACGAAAGATATGTATATCTGAAAATTGGAGGCATAGTTTGAACGTTTTCTAAAATACATAGGTTTACTGGTGTAGCTTAGTTATGAAATTAATGAAGAAAGCTGTTATTAACATAATAAAAACTTTATATGTGTATATGTAGAAAGAAATTTAATAAATTATGTTTAAGAGGCTATGCTATTTTGTAATATTATATCATTTTCAAGAAAAAAGGAACAATATAAAAATGCTAGTTCTCGGTGTACATGGTTGTCCGGATAGCCTGATTAAACATATTATTTGGAAACGCTCTGATGACCGACCTGTTGTAATGAGAACCTGAATGGTCCAACTTGTAACTCTGCCGGCGTTTCATAATTATCTTCATTTGATCCTCTGAAGAACATTGCATTTGCTATCATGGTAAGCATCACAAACAACAAGGCACATGATGCTCTTTGGGTGCGAGTAAAATTACTCACTTGTGGACGATATGCAACAGAGATCCATATGTGGCTATCTGAAAAAAAAAGAGTCTCAGAACTGTAAATACAGAATGCTTGTTAGCAATTTAGAATGTGATATACCTTAGTCGCTAAATTTAGATAACATTTTATGCACATATTACTTGTTTACCTTAATATATATTGATCATTGCTTAACAAAGAGACAATTAATTAAAAATAAAGAAAAACATGAAGAAAGACATTTAAGAAATCTAAACATGTAATCTAAAACTGTTTAAAACATAGATCTTTAACACTTTTGTATGCACTAGTACTTACCGGCTAGGTTGTCTTTTGCATTCATAAAGAAGCGATTTTTGAAAATGTTAAGATTTTCTGTTTTGCAAATTGGTAAGATACACTCAAGGAGGCCATCTTCTTTTTCAACAGCCAGCCATCTTTCTCCCAAAAACGAGAACCTACAAAATTTGATATTTGTAAAGAATTGCGCAATAACAGTAAAAATGAGTTATAAATTAGCTGGCATTGATTTGTTTTTGTGTCTTATCTATTTAAATATCAATATTAGAAATAAGAAAGTTATATGTAGAGCATGTTTTAGACTTGATTTAGAGCTGGGACCTTCGTAATGATGTACCGTAGTGGTACTGGCTGAGATACCTGGATAATAAGACAATTCCTAAAAAAATAGTGGTGCCCTTTAAACTATGTTATTCTCTTCCAATGCCAAGTTGACCTTGTTTTCTCGACTTGCAAAAAGATAAGGGAAACAATGTACATATGTGCTCGAAGCTGTATCTTATTATGGGGCATTCTGGATAAAGAATGCTTCATGAAAAGGTGACGCGCCACATTGACGCATTCTCATCGGACGACAAAGATATACAAAGACTAAATTAATTTCACTGTAAGTTTCCGGTGGCACACAATGTAGGTAATAACGCAACAAGTCTGTCATACATTTTCACTTCTACTCTCTCAATTACGACACCAGAAAGGAAGAATGATATATGCATTTTTGTGGTAAAGCTTCTAGCTGCCTTTTATGCTTCGAGACAGCTAGCCAAACTTATATTAAAATACATTTTACATCATTACTTTGCTTACTCTTGGCCGGAAGTCTCACATCTGATTAGAAATGCATATTTGGATTTTGTTCCCATTTTCTCTCACAACCGTCTTATGATTATAATACAGAGCTTTCATTAAGTATATATACAATACTATCTTACGATTCATTTCGCTGTACATCATGCACATCTATCCTGCTCAGGTACCATGATGCATAGCTACCACCACCAGAATTGTCGTGCCATATCCGAATGTAATCAAGGTCACCAAGATAAACAGTGGTAGACATAAGGAAATTCATAACACTTCCCGTTGAAAATTCCTTTAAAAGATGACATAACATCAGAATAGTTACAAATGATTATACACATAAACAACTAATGAAAATCTAGATTTGATTTTAAATATCATTTCGAATAACATCGTGTGAGTTTATATAGTATAACAAAAACTTATGTCCAAATATAAAACAAATCAGTGCATGAAATGTATTTACAATATAGATGTACCGTTTGAATAATAATCACTTGTTTTTAGAAGTTTTTTTTTCCATTCTGTACACAGTTTGCAATACATTTTTAAAATTGGAGTTATTCATAACTTAGTCATACTGTTTTACAAGCTAGTTCCAGTTATGATTTCCACGGAAATGAACATTGATCTAGGTCAAATATATTTTTTATACAACGTGTAAATTAGCGTGCTCCTTCAAGTATCCTTTAATTAAAGGCAACAATACTTTACATAATTTAATACTCTAAATGTGAATTGTTACATTAATGAGACTCGACTCTCCTTCATTGGTTTACATTTGAGCCGCGTCATGACAAAACCAACATAATGGGTTTGCGACCAGCATGGATCCAGACCAGCCTGCGCATCCGCGCAGTCTGATCAGGATCCATGCTGTTCGCTTACAGACCCTATAACAAGTAAAGAAACTGATAGCGAACAGCATGGATCCTGATCAGACTGCGCGGATGCGCAGGCTGGTCTGGATCCATGCTGGTCGCAAACCCATTATGTTGGTTTTGTCATGACGCGGCTCATTTGTTTCAGAAACCCCACAAGGACAGCGAGATTGACATAGGACCTACCTCCCTGACTCCATCATACAACTCTCTGACCCCTGTATCCATTTCTTCTCCACATATTACCATGCAAATACGTGATTTAGTGCCGGCACCAGGTCGCATTCCGGTGAACACTTTTATGACATAGAAATAATTATCTTCCATGAAATTATCCGATAATGGAGTAATCCCCCACTGAAAATGGGCACAAAAAGCATATAGTCACAAAGAATTAAAAGTTAAAAGGTATGCCTATAGGAGTTTAAAACACTAGAAGATTTCTCCATAGTTAATGCACACACTATTAGAGCTAGTTGCAGTAGTGTCTTGGCTGTTCTAATTTACGATCTTACAAGATTCTTGACTACACAATATTAGCATTTTGCCACCGAAAGTCCCTGCATTTACATAAGATGGTTTCAAGTTTAAAGTAGGACAAGTTATTTTAGAGTATTAATAAACTTTAAATGTCCTATTACTATTACATTTTAGGAAATTTTCGTTTGTTCTTTAAAGGTAATCAACATTATGATCCTCACTTATGAAATTAATCATTATTTCAAAAGTTTATTTTAATTTTTCTTGTGATATGACAAAAGAATGGTTTTGTTGTGTTGTTGCTGCTGTTAAATGAGCCGCATCTTTAAAAATAAGTTTATTTCACAAAAAGAAAAAATTGCATTAAGTGTCTTATTCTGACTTGCTCATGTGTGTTCTATTTTAGCACATTTGTCTATAATCTCATTATCTATTAGCTTTCTATTATCATAGTTTCGTTTCACCTCAACATAATGCAGTAATTAATAAAAATTAGCACGTTCTGATAACTAACATGATGCCGTGCAGTTTATATGATAACTTCAGTATTATGTATTTGATCAGCATCGATTTAAGTAAATATTGTAACAGTTCATTTACCTTCAACAAGTCTTTCCTATCTTGTCGCCTTGTCCATATGATGATCAATATGTAAATGATGAAAATAAGAATTAAGACGGCCATTACCGCTGCTTGGTTCAAAGGTGAAAATTTAAGGAACACGGAGCTAAAGTCAATTTTATTTGGTGCAACATAAAACGAGTTAGCAAAAGTCATTTTCTTCTTAGGTTTGCAGTCACAATCAAGTTCGCCTGTCTTTGGTTTCCAAGTTCCCTGAAACAATGCAACGCATTTAAAATTGGTAAAAGCATCATTATCATCATCAACATCAACATCATCATCAACCACAGTACTTGTTACTAGAGAAATACTATTCTTTATTAACTACTATGTGGTGCATTTTGATAACGTTCGGTTAAAGTACAAAGTAAAAATATATATCCCCAACCGGAAATCTAACCATATAAAGAATAAGACAATTACTAACATTGTTACACTTGAAAAAGAGAATTACACATTTACTTAAAATGTAACAACATAAAAGAGAGAACTAGACACTTAGACACTTACTAACGATGCAACAAAAGTGAGAACTTGCCAACAATAATCAACTCTTATTATGTATCAAAAGTGAGAACTTAACACTACTAACAATATTGATTCTAAATATTACCTTAGTTTTTTACGACAAGATGCAGTGTATGGCAATTCTTTGTATTTTAGTTGTACCCAATAAAGTATTTTTTCCGATCTGATTGAATTCGGTACGACCCTAGCGGAAAATAGTTACTCTATATTCGGATATGTATTGTAATCATTTTGAGTACAACAAAATACGTACAAAAATGGCACAACTTGTCAGAAAGAAACAAAGTTAATGTTTAAAATATAAGGGTTTTATTAGAACGGTCGGTTAAACGTTTAACATGGTTATTACACCACCGTTTAAACGGTTAGCTTTTTTTCTAACCGTGACACTCCTATTAAAGTGCATGCTGCCATGAATAATGTCATACGTACTGTACATTCATCTGATCTCCATTCATCTCTAATATCATCCCATGTCATACACGCCATGGTAGCTGTACCAAATTTTATTGTTTCATTCTGGTTCAGAACTGATCTTTTAGTTAATCTGTCAGTCTCGGAGGACTCGTCTGAAAAAAAGAGACAAACAGTATATCTAAAATATTCTTAATTTGGTTCGATATATGACAATTTTTTGTTACTATGTATTAATTCCCAAGACGTTTCGGTTCATTATATATTTTATCATGTTACTTCTAAAGCAGAATAACTAAATGAGGACAAACTAGGGTGAGTACCATATTAGTGTCAGGGTGATCAAATTCTACAAGTAAGTTATTGCAAAAGATGATTGATATGAATAAAAAATTAAATGTGTTTGCGTAATAATAATAATAATAATAATAATAATAAACTCTTTATTTAACGAAGGTAACTTATTAAGACAATACATCAAAGCATTAGATACAACACATATAATGCAAAATCTTATTTTCAACAAGGCCTTCAATAAAACATAAACATAACAACGGACATATTAAAGCAATTGTAAAGATTACAACATTCAGTAAATCTTAATCAACAAAGAAGACAGACATAATATTATATTATAGTATAGGTAAATTTTCTATAATTCATCTCTAGATAATAATAAATGTTTGAAATGTGATTTAAATAATTTAAGACTTGAAAGATTTCTTATTTTTAAAGGAATAGTGTTCCATAACTCCATACTAGAATAATAAAAAGTACGTTTCAAATAATTTGTTTTAGGTCGTTTATGCATAATATCTTTTTTATGTGTTGATCTTAGTAAGTAAGTTTTATTTTGAGATAACGGAATTAGATTAGAAATATATGCTGGCGTTAATTCATTCATCGCTTTATATACCATAATTCCAGAAAAGTATTTACATCTAGATGGAAAAGATAACCATTTCATATTTTGAAACATATCAAGAGAATTTGTTTTTACGGGTTTATTTAGAATAATTCTAGCGGTTCTTTTTTGTAATTTTGTTATTCTATTTAGATCTGATTTGTTACATTGGGACCAAATAATACATCCATAATCAAAAGTAGGGGCAATGTAAGCGTTATAAAATAATTGTTTCATTTCAGGTGTAAGAAATATTTGAATTCTTTTCAGCAGAGATATTTTAGAAGCAAGCTTAGAACATGTTTTGTCAATATGTGTTTTCCAAGATAGACAGTTATCAATATGCAATCCAAGTAGCTTTTGACAATGAACATTATTTATACTCGAATTCTCAATATGCAGAGAAAGATTGCCTATGTTATTTATTTTACATTTTGATCCAATTATCATGCACGTGGTCTTTTCTGGATTTATGGCCATATTATTGAGAGTGCACCATTCCTGTATTTTTAGTAAGTCTAGTTGCAACTCAGACTGTATATTACTCAAACTTTGGTCAGCTATGTGTAATGTTGAATCGTCTGCATACATATCAATGTCTGAATTCGTAGTGACTGATATATCATTTACATATAAAAGAAACAGTATAGGACCTAAGATTGAGCCCTGTCGCACGCCTGATATAACCGGTAAGCTTTCAGATTTATCATTGTTGACTTTTACAATTTGCTCTCTGTTAGAGAGATATGACTGGAAAAATTGTACAGAGTTTTCAGAAAAATGATAAAGTTTTAATTTATGAATCAGTATATTATGGTCAACTAAATCAAAGGCTTTTTAAAAAAATATTAATTATAACGTAATTTATAGCCGATAAAGAAGGTCTATAAGAGAATCTCTGTCAGGGTCTAATATTTTTTCTCATTTTATGGATGATATATTTGTACACAAATTACAAAGTTTTATCGTTTGTTTGTTTTTTTTTGTTTTTTTTTGTTTTTGCTTTTTTGTTTGTTTGTTTTTTTTGCAAGTAATTAAGATTTACAAAACAAAAGATACCTTTGATGGTTTCAACGCCGATTTTGTATATTCCTTTTTTCTCTAGACGCTCAGATGCTGTGAATTGTGCGACCCACCCATTAGCTTCAGATATCTCTTTCTTGCTTGTGTATTCCACCTTAGACACGTATTTTGATTCTAGGTCCTTGACATCCTTGATATAGAAAATAACTCGATATATTATGTCTATTATAAATAATATAATGTGAAACTGTAATAATCTGATAATGCCATTATTTTGATTAAGATATTGATGAACTTGGATAGGTAGGTTGTCTGTTTGTGTGTGCGGGGGGGGGGGGTCTCTTAATAGATCTACTATCTACTTTAGCTAAATTTATGGTATTTGTAATAGAAAATACGCCTTTAAACCAAACCTTGACATAAATATACATTTCCTATACATAATGTCCGGTACATAAAATTACAACGTGCGTGCAGTCATAAATTACAAACGTCGAGAAACATAATAAATTAACAAACAATATTCAATATTCAATACTCAATATTGCCAAAATATCTTGAACATTTAGTATGCTGTCGATAAATTTTATGTCTTTTTAATGACCAACTGTCTTATCTGAAATGCTTAACTATCTGCAATGATTAAAAACAATGATAACGTTGCATACCAAGCGTTAATAAACTTGGCAAAAGCTTTTGTAATGGCAATTTTAAAGCAGATATACATTTACTAAATGAGTATAAACATACTTACACAATACAAAATGTAGATGACAAACTTCAATATTTTAACAGGTGAGTCTACATCAGGTTCAATATTAAAATTTAAGTTGACAAAGGTATTTTTGACATAAACTTGAAAATACATGAATTGAGATGCATCGTCTGCGTCAACCACTACTGGAACTGTTTCTAGGTTGACTTCTGGAACCTGAAAAGAATTTTATCACAAAACTTATCAATTTATGATATTTACGATATAAATTCATCAAAACAAACTTTTAATATTTGATCTTCGAAGTTAATTGTCGAGAAAAATGTAAAATATGAAAAGTTGACATTGCGACATATTTAATATCAAATTATTGGAGATCCGATGTTGATGCCATGCAATCGCTACAAATAATAAACTGATACTTTTGAGGAATATAATACAGTTTCTAGTATGAACTGTTGGCGATATAAAGTTGTTTTCACTTATACGAACATATTGGAAAGAAAATAAATATAATCATGCGTAGATATTTGACAATGCATTTGCATGCTCTACGATTAGCTACGATTAACTAGTTAAGACAAATTACAAAAAACTATACCTAGATGTCAGATATTGATTTTGCTTGTTAAGACTTAGTAGAATAAGAAAGCTTTCACACGCGCCCATGCACGTACGCACGCACACGCATACAGTTTAGTTCAAACCGGTGTTCGACATGACGTTAAGTTAACCGTAACCACGCCTATTATTTTAAATAAACTTTCCAATCTTTCAATCTGGACACAATCATTTATCATTTACTTAGAATTGACTAATAAACGATAAGCGAATAGTAGGCACGTGCGTGTCGGCTTATTTTGGCCTGCCCAGATCGCACGGGATATTATTACCTGCCATCATCAGGCACAGGGCTAATATAATTAACGAAGTCGTCTCACACTCACACATACTATACGGATGTACAGTCATGTTTTATTAACTACTTTATGATTCTCACCTGACCTGTTTTGTGGTTTATATTGTATTATTGTATTTATTGACATTTTTAGTGACATTTAGATAATTTGCTGAAAGCAATTACAGAAACCATGTAATAATTCAATGGTTCCTTAAAGAAAAATGGAATTAGGTATGTTACTTTTTGTGTAACTTGTACGGTGCCGGGAATTTCTCCAAGTGTTTCAATCATTAACGTTTTTTCACCAGAGGCTACTGCTCCTGCCATCCCCTTTTTGTCAATATGCGAAACGCTGTTCTGCTCCACAAGCTGAGGAGAAATATAAAGATGTCATAGATAAAAAAAACACTTTAACCAATTAGCAGGACTATGGAGGCATGTAGCTATGAAGGAGCAAGTGAACTGTTTAATGTTTATAAAATAAATTCATATTTAAATAGATAAATACTGTTTAACACCTGGTAAAATAAATCGGAATGTCACCAAGACGAATGCTCTCAAAAATACACCTTTAAAATATAATGAAATAAACCTAATTTCAAGAAATTTAATACAAGCAAACATGCCAAATCGGTATGCATGTTACATCTCTTTGAAGAAATTAGATTATGAAGGCGAAAAAACAATTTACCCCGATTTTCGCTTTTTGCAGCTTGTTCAGCTTCTCTAACCCATTAATTTTTATTGTAGCTCCTGTTGTATTGAGCGTCTTGTCTTTTAATTTCTCCACCGTGTCTGTTGTCACAACAAGCTGGGCACTGGCAGTAGTTATTGACTTCACTGAGCCATCACTGAGTTGCATATTTTGAACCATGTTTTCTTCGTAGTCACTCTTGCTTTTTGAATAGTTATTACACTAGAAAGAGAAAAAGGGAAACAAATAAATGTTTTTAATTTTCAAAAATACAAGCGTGTTAAATTCTACTGATGAACAGGTGAACCGTAAAATTCATATAGAACTTCATCGTTCATTGATTTAGTTTCAATGATAATTTTATTCATTTCTTTATTTCATGGTCGTTTACTAAGAGGGTTTATACAATTTTTATTTCGAAAAAGTAGAATAAGTGCGAGTAAATCAGCATATTATAAGCTTATATAGTTATCATCAAAATAAAAAGCTTATACAGTTCTCAGTAATAGACAGTCATTTTCTATTTACCAAATCCCGCATCGCGTTCACTTCAGATGCTTTCCGCTTTGCGTCTAGAGCCTTGTAAAACACCACTTCATCTTGACTTAATTTTCCATTTTCGAAATCTTTCTTTGTTTGTTCGCTCATAAACTGACTCTCGTATTCAGTTCTCTCGCGTTCTGCTTCTAAGTCTGTTTCCATTTTTACACCTTTTAGCTCTTTAGGAGCCATTGCCGAAGCCACCTTTGCAGCCATATCTAAACAATCTGGATAATCAAACAGAGATACATTTTGAAAGAGGGAAAAACGGTTTGAAAAATTGTGTCACACCGCAGCAAAGTTTAAATTGTATGTAGAACGATGAACGATTCAAAGGAAATGTGAAAAAATGAGGTCTAAATGAAATGATTTCTAAGCGTTTCTGAAATTAATATTGAAAAACAAATTAAAATAAGTAAACTACTAAAAGATTTTGCCGATAATTTAAAAAGCGCAGTGAATGCATTTAAAATGCACTTGTACCTAAAATATTATTCTACAGTATAATATTGAGGACTGTTTAACAAAACAAAAACACGGTACACTTTTACAATGATCTTCCATTTGCCAAGAACACAAGTTGCAGCGTATTCGAAGAAATAATCGTTGCGCATTTCCTTTAATTACATTAAGATTTCAGCCGTATAAATTAAACAATACTTTTCCAGTCCGTGAATTCTGCACGTATATCCGAGAGGAAATATGATTTCTTAAAGTTTGTCTGGAGATGCTTTTCTGACACAACATTCAACATTTCAAATTAAAACAAACGTTCAACATAATATCGCATTGAAATAGCTAGTTGAGATAAATTGTGCTGAATGTTGCTTTAGCTTCACGTGTCATCTTGTAATTCTATTCAGTTCAACAGATCAAATATTCAGCTGAATACTGCAGTAGTTTGTCCTTTATTTTGAATGTTTATTTTATGTCAAGCAAGATTCCCATTTCACCTACCTTCATTATAGACGGACTGTTTTGCTGATTATCGCTTTAAATTTAACTGAAAACCATTGGTATGTCAGATGTCGCAATGAATTTCGCGCAAGCTTCTCTTGGCAGCTTGTCATGTCTTTTAAATCGAATATTTTGCCGAATGTTGCGCTGGGTCTTTTTACAAGCTTGTCAAACTTTTTTAATAACATACATTTTGTTAAATATCGTGCTTGCTTCACATACAACTCATTTTTTTCGGATAGTATTTTGGACTTACTGTGGAGCAAGCCACTTCGAATTTATGTCGAATGACGTGCTGGATTGACATGGATGCTCGTCATCCCCTTCAAAATCGATGCTCTGCAAGTTTCATAATCCGTTCGGCATTCACCATAAAACCTATGTTCCGTTTCTTCACATTCAGCTCGTCGTCATTCACCATAACACCGATATCCCGTAGCTTCACATTCAGCTCGACATTCACTATAAAACCGATGTTCCATAGCTTCGCAGCTCGTCATTCACCATTAAACCGATGTTCCGTATCTTCAGATTCAGTAAAACCGATATTCCGTAGCTTCACATTCAGCTCGACATTCACTATAAAACCGATGTTCCATAGCTTCGCAGCTCGTCATTCACCATTAAACCGATGTTCCGTATCTTCAGATTCAACTCGACATTCACCGTAAAACCGATATTCCGTAGCTTCACATTCAGTTCGGCATTTACCATAAAACCGATGTTCCATAGCTTCGCAGCTCGTCATTCACCATAAAACCAATATTCCGTATCTTCAGATTCAACTCGACATTCATCATAAAACCGATATTCTGTAGCTTCACATTCAGCTCGACATTCACTATAAAACCGATGTTCCATAGCTTCGCAGCTCGTCATTCACCATTAAACCGATGTTTCGTATCTTCAGATTCAACTCGACATTCACCGTAAAACCGATATTCCGTAGCTTCACATTCAGTTCGGCATTTACCATAAAACCGATGTTCCATAGCTTCGCAGCTCGTCATTTACCATAAAACCGATGTTCCGTAGATTCACATATAGCTCATCATAAACTTTCATTCAGTTCATGCAATATTGATCATTGGTAAGTCAGCATTCAGGCACGTTTGCGTGTGTATGAATGTATGTAAAGCAAACCTTTTTGATAATTTAATTAAAGTTATAAGACAAAGATACTTTACATAAACTTTTTAATTCAGTCGGAATAACTTTAGCGTTAACATATGGTTACCTGTTATGAATTGTTCCCCGACTGGGTCATTGCTTTTAACTTCCTTCGTGTTAGAAAATAAGTTTGCTGCAACGTCTGCAATAATCTCCTGTAAAACCATGTATTGTTGATATTAATGCATTTATAACATACAATATATATACCAATGCTTTCTAGCACGGTACTTCTAGTTTCTTAATTCTTCTAGAGCCATGTAAAATTCAAAGTACATGTAAATGTAAACTCATTTTTGCCAGAGGCTCACGTAATATCATTTTATTAAACTTGTTCAATAAATTCAGTATTTAACTTACACTCATTAAATATTCTCTATATACTGCCAGGCTTATTTCTAAGTACAGCAAATTGATGTAAAACATAAATCTTTCAGAGCTTATGTTATTAATTACGAAGTTGCGAAAGAAAATAAATACCTTTGATTCCTTTGTTAAATGTTTCGCTGCACCAGCAAAGCTAGACATAGTTTTAACTACTTCCTTTTGTACCTCAGGGTCCTTTTGTGTCTCGGGACTCTGTGATTTTGTCGAATTGAGGAGAGCGCCCGTCATTTCGACCATCACCTTCGATTGAAATATCATTATGAAATTTCATATCTAAATGAAATAAACCTTATATAGGCTGTCATTTTGCACAAACATAATCAACAATATAAAATCGCATGTAATAAAATCCCATGCAGTATTATGGAAAGCCTTGACTGTCTTATGATTATAAAAATGAACGTTGTTGTGTCACTCTTTCTTTATACAATGTGCCCTCATGAATGTATTATGTAGATGCATCCTTATATGAAGTCAACTGAACAATATATGATGTCAATGTGTCTTTATATGATGTCGACCAATCATTATACGATGTGCATTTATGAATATATGATGTGGTAGAATCATTATATACAGTCAACTTATCAATATATTATGTCAATCTTTCATTATACGATGTGCATCTGATATTATACGTTGTGCATTTATTAATATATTATGTGGTTGCTTCATTATATACAGTCAACTTATCAATATATTATGTGAATCTTTCATTATACGATGTGCATCTATTGTTATACGACCGCTGCTTTATATGAAGTGCAAACATCATTATATGGTGTGCTTCTGTCATTATACTGATGGGGTTAAATTTACCGGGTTATATCTCACTATGCACCGTTCGTGGCAACAGCGGGAAAACTCAAAGTAAACTATATCATATAGTGGTAAGCTGACTCTATATAAAGACAATTCTACATAATGTAGTGTTGTTTTGACTCTATTTAAGAATGATTCCACATAATATATTCGTAATTGCACATCATATAATGAAAGACTGACATCATATAAGGACAAATTCACATCATATATTGTTAAGTTGACTCTATATAAGGATGGTTCCACATAATATATTCATTAAAGCACGTCGTATAATGAAAGACTGACATCATTTAAGGACATGCTGACATCATATAAGGTTAAGTTGACTCTATATAAAGATGGTTTCACATAACATATTCATTAATGCACATCGTATAATGAAAGACTGACATCATATAAGGACAAGTTGACATCATATAATGTTAATTTGACTCTATATAAAGACGGTTCTACATAATATATTCATTAATGCATATCGTATAATGAAAGACTGACATGATATAAGGACATGTTGACATCATATAATGTTAAGTTGACTCTATATAAAGACGGTTCCACATAATACATTCATTAATGCACATCGTATAATGAAAGACTGACATCATATAAGGACATGTTGACATCATATAATGTTAAGTTGACTCTATATAAAGATGGTTCCACATAATATATTCATTAATGCACATCGTATAATGAAAGACTGACATCATATAAGGACATGTTGACATCATATAATGTTAAGTTGACTCCATATAAAGACGGTTCTACATAATATAATGTTGTTTTGACTCTATATAAGAATGGTTCCACATAATATATTTGTAATTGCACATCATATAATGAAAGACTGACACCATATAAGGACATATTGACATAATATATTGTTATTATGACTCTATATAAGGATGGTTTCACATAATATACTAAAAAATGCACATCGTATAATGATAGATTGACATCATATAAAGACGTGTTGACATCATATAATGCTGACTCTATATAAGAATTATTCCACATAATATATTCATAACTTCACATCATATAATGGCAGACTGACATCATATAAGGACAGATTGACATCATATATTGTTATTTTGACCTTATATAAGGATGGCTCCACATAATATATTCAAAAATGCACAACGTATAATGATGGAATGACATCATATAAAAACACGTTGACATCATATATTGTTAAGTTGACCAGATATAAAGATGGATCCACATATTATATTAATGAGTGCACATTATATAAGGAAAGGTTAACTCAATATATTGCTATATGGACATAACAACATTTAGGTTGATAATTATAAGACAGTTAAGGCTTTCCATACAGTATAATGAAATAACAGCTTTATTAGCATAACATTTTTTTGTTATTTGTACTTCAAAAGAGCATTAGTTTTAACATACTTGATTTTTCTACCATCATAACCATTGTAAGGTCATGAGATCTAATTATACAAATAAATTGTTATGTCGGCAATTTCCACATCGATATCATATGTGTAAGAAGAATTGTGGTTGTCTTATTGTCGTGATGTATATTTATTTATACATCATTGTTTGGCTGTAAATGTAACTCGGCAAATAAATTCATGAAAATAAAAACAGGTATCATTTGCAGTATAAACTTAACGCCGGTCATTAATTGAAGCAAAAAATGCTAAGTACCACTTGTGCTTTCAGGACTGTTGGGTCTTCTTTTGGCTTTGAATAAGAGGCAGCTAGATCGTCAGGAGAAATTGGTTCACCATCTTCATTTTTAGTAAACACGCCCCCTGCATCTGGGTCATTAGCTACACTTATCACTTCGTATTCTAGTGGCTGAATAATGAAAGATAATGACTTTTAAAGCACTGAAATATGAGCCGCGTCATGACAAAACAAACATAATGGGTTTGCGATCAGCATGGATCCAGACCAGCCTGCGCATCCGCGCAGTCTGATCAGGATCCATGCTGTTCGCTATCAGTTTCTCTACTTGTAATAGGGTTTTGAAGCGAACAACATGGATCCTGATCAGACTGCACGGATGCGCAGGCTGGTCTGGATCCATGCTGGTCGCAAACCCCATTATGTTGGTTTTGTCATGACACGGCTCAAGTATTGTTAAAAGCCGTTTTCTTCGGTCAAACATTTTATTATACTGTATAGTCAGACACTTTATTAACAGTATGAGTAGCAGCAGTCTAACGAAAGTCATTTTAAATTTGATTGCAACGAAATATCTTTTTTTTCTCAAAAATATATATTTATATGAGGATTGGAATATATTTGGACAGTGGATATGCAGCAAGAGAAAACATAGGTCGGCCAAATATAAAAGTATTCAAGTTGTGTATAAGTTGATTTATATCAAATTGTATATTTATATATAAGAAAATCAAAATTAAACATACGTTATCTGGAAGACAACTAGTTATTGATGTAATGACGGTTGCTGCACCGCTAAGACTTTTCGTTTTTAAAGCATTTTGTAGGTCAGCACCGGTGGAATTTAGTACTGTATCTATCTGCGCTACACCTTCCTCACCACTAGCATCATCTTGTACTGCCGGCGATATCTGGAATGTTTATAAAACAAAGATGCATATCAGAATGTTAATGATATAAGGGTCAAACATTTACGAAAAATCCTGTCACAGGATAAGGATGACACTAATGAGAACAGATGGGAAACATTTGATATGTTTCTTACAGGATTTAAAATTGAGCAGCCACTTATCTTTATTGTTTTCGCCTTTTAATGCATGTCTCTTACGAAGGATATACATGCATTACTTTAAAAATATATTCCAAAATAAATACGAACAGACGATGAATGGCCTTTTATTTTCCTCTGTTAATAACTTCTTTCAAGTCTAACTTCCAACTTGTTAAATTTGACCGATTGCTGCGCTTAAAAATAACATAGTGTTGATGCACCTTTTTACAGAAGTACGAGGACGAATCTTAAGCCCGAGCAGGGAAAGGGATTAAATGACCCATGTCATGACAAAACCAACATAATGGGTTTACGACCAGTATGGATCCAGACCTGCCTGCGCATACGCGCAGTCGATCAGGATCCATGCTGTTTGCTATCAGTTTCTTTACTTGTTATTAGGTTTGTAAACGAACAACATGGATCCTGATCAGAGTGCGCTGATGCACAGGTTGGTCCGAATCCATTTTGGTCGCAAACGCACTATGTTGGTTTTGTCATGTTCCGAGTTCGTTATCTTCATTTAGTATTAAGAAAACATAACTTGTGTCATATTTTTCACGTGCTTGTGTGATGCAATTTGTCAGTTACACATTGCGTCCAAAGTCAAAAATTAAAAAAATGCAACAACGGCTCGTGGGCACGAGACTCTGTCCGTTAACGCATGTTTTCCTTTCTGTTAATGTATACCTGTGTACAATAATGATAATGACCATTACATCATATTTACCGTGTTATCCCGTAACGCAGGAATGTTAATTAACGTACGAATTGTGCATCAGTTACGCCGAATCTAAACAATAGACAAATTATTTCAGAATAACAAAACGCGAGCATTTTGACAAATGCCTCGACAGTTACTGGTATCAGAAACAATAACGTTATAAATGTGTTATTGTTTTTTTTAATTAGTATCTACAAAACACAAAGCCACCGTCTATATGTATGTCATTCTCACAAATGATTATGAAAAGTTAAACTTTTACTGGATTTTTTGTTTTTCTTTTTGGAATAAGATTTTAAATATAATAACATGACAGCCGTAAGCATTTTCATTCATTGTATTCCATTTGATTTACCATTAGATATATTTGTCCTTTTACTTCATAGTTACATTATATCATTTGCTTCGGCCATATATCCATATATTGCATGTATAATTTCGGCGAAACAATGAAACGACTACTGCGTTCATCTCACATCCCTACGTTACGAGTTTGCACGGTTATACTGGAAGTAAATGAGCCGTGTCATGACAAAACCAACATAGTGCGTTTGCGACCAGCGTGGATCCAGACCAGCCTGCGCATCCACGCAGTCTGACCAGGATCCATGCTGTTCGCTTGCAAACTCTATTACAAATAGAGAAACTGATTGCGAACAGCATGGATCCTGATCAGACTGCACGGATGCGCAGGCTAGTCTGGATCCATGCTGGTCGCAAACCCTTATGTTGGTTTTGTCATGACACGGATCATTAATGTTTTAGTCATTTTATGCGTGCTTGCTATTAATGAAAGTACTTTCACTTTGATAACGTTTACGAAAAAATTATATAAAAATATAAATTAAGGTTTTTCTGTTTATTCTAGACTACTCGCCTCATAATTAACATTCGTTGCTGGTATTCATTCCAATCAACTGGGTCAAACTTGTAAGTCAAATGATTAAAAGATGAGCAAATTGCTGTGTTGTCTGCTAGGTTCAGAGGCATGTAAATTACGCGGATTGCACATTATGATATAGAGGATATGTGTTTAGTTCAGTGTTAGATCGGAATATATTTCACCAAATGAGCACCAAAGGTATACTTTACGAGTGGCAAACCAAATATATTTCGATCTTACACTAAACTAAACAAATTTTCTTTTTAATTATATGCAAAGAAACGTTTAAAAAGACAGTTTAAGCTAATCCGATATTAAAAACGCATCAAATAGTAATACAACGCGACGTCATTTACGCTGTCACGTTATTGAGTTGGTTTCCAGTACTGTGCACGCTGGTATTTCACTGAAATAACGTTAGGGGCTTCAATTAAAAAGAGTTAAATTATCAAATTGATAGTTTCACTGTTTCAAACCGTGAAATTATCAGTTCTATATGTCACTGATATATTTCTATAAACCACCGGAAAGCATGTAATAAATTCAGATAAACCATAAGTAAAATTTAAAAAATATAATTATTTTCTCTGTAGACGGACTACATTTTGAATGCGGATGAAAAAATGTCTTAACTAAATGGAATAACAGGCAAAAATAAATGCCGTCAAATATAAATTTTGCTCCTTTAAGAAAAAGAAAGTCGATGCCATCATACATAATGCTAAAATGTAACAAAATTAGATAAATTTAGCTGAATTATATTTCAAAATTGATGATGTGAAGTCATGATGTGATCACGTCATTAAGAAGAATGCGCGACGTTACGCGGCAAAACCAGTAAAAAATATTTAAAATTACTTTTAAAGCAGCACGCCTCCAGATTCCTGCTAATGTTCATGACAATTTTGAAAATGTATTCATATAAAATATCTTTAAGCTGACGGAGAAAATAATATGCACATTTCAGACGGCACTAACATCCAATGTAAATTACAAACAAGAGGGCCATGATGGCCCAAAGTCGCTCACCTGTATATAGGCCCCCGGAGCGGGGCCAGTTTAAACCCCAGGGCTTTTATTTGAACAAACTTGGTTGACACCCATTAGAAGATGTTTCATGCTAAACATCTAAGGTCTAGCTTATTGGGTTTTTTAAAAGAAGATTTTTTATGTATGTATATATATACATATAAAAAATCTTCTTTTAAAAAACCCAATATATATATATATATAATATGTGTATATATATATATATGTATGTATATATATATATAATATGTATATATCTAAAAAAAAGTCAGGGCGGGCCGATTTTAATTCTAGGAACAAAATTTGAACAACTTTGGTTTTGGACCTATAGATAATACCATAATAATATCAAAGCTCTAGGCCATTTACTTTCAGACCAGAAGATTTTTCAAGTTTTCACTATATGTATATAATGAAAATCAATGACCCCGAGGGGGGCCAATTTTGACCCGAGGGCCATTATTTGAACAATCTTGGTAGAGTTCTACCAGACAATGTTTCATGCCAAATATCTTACCTGTAGCCTTTGCCAATTCAGAGAAGATTTGTTTTATGTTTTACTATATACATATTAGAAAAACCTATGACCCCCCGGGGCGGGGCCAATTTTGACCCTAGGGCCATTATTTGAACAATCTTGATAGAGGTCTACTGCACAATGTTTCATGCCAAATATCTAATATGTAGCCTTTGCCAAATCAGAGAAGAAGATTTTTTTAGATTTTACTATATACATATAAGGAAAAACCTATGTCCCCCCCCCCCCCCGGGGCGGGGCCAATTTTGACACTAGGGACAAAATTTGAACAACTTTGGTAGAGGACCCATAGATGATACCATAGACCAAAAATCAAAGCTCTAGGCCATTTACTTTCAGACCAGAAGATTTTTCAAGTTTTCACTATATGTATGTAATGAAAATCAATGACCCCCGGGGCGGGGCCAATTTTGACCGTAGGGCCATTATTTGAACAATCTTAATAGAGGTCTACTACACAATGTTTCATGCCAAATATCTAATCTGTAGCCTTTGCCAAATCAGAGAAGAAGATTTTTTTAGATTTACCTATAGACATATAAGGAAAAACCTATGACCCCCCGGGGCGGGGCCAATTTTGACACTAGGGACTTATAGGAACTTTGGTAGAGGACCCATAGATGATACCATATACCAAAAATCAAAGCTCTGGCCCATGTACTTTCAGACAAGAAGATTTTTTAATTTTGTGTTTTTTGAAATCCTTTTTTGGCCCTGTGACCTACATATGCAACAGACCGGAACCATTTGAACAACTTTGAAAGGGGACCACCCAAGGATCATTTCTATAAAGTTTGGTTGATGTGCAGTCATTGGTTTCAGAGGAGATGTTCTTTATGTTAAAAGTTGACGACGCACGACGCACGACACACGACGACGGACGACGGACACAGGGCGATCACAATAGCTCACCCTGAGCATTGCTCAGGTGAGCTAAAAAGGTCGAAATATGCAAAATTTACCCTTAGTGCGTTAGTAACGCAGTAGAAATATGGTGAAAATACCTAAAAATATTGGCCATCAATCGCAAATAACATGGAAATATTTACTTTTATCTTTAGTCGTTTTACTTTTCATAAAACCTCAATACATTTTTCTCAAGTTTTATTTTCTTGAAATATTTTGGCTCATCTGGAGGCATGCAGCTTAAAAGCATAAAATTAAAAAAGATAATTTATTTGTTTTACATACAACATTGAAATAAATTTCGCTCGTAGGGTATATATTGCATCCGGTGTTCACTGGGTGAAATATATTTCAATCCTACATGCAAAATAAACAATGAGCCGCGCTTCGACAAAACCACCATAATAGCCGCGCAGTCTGATCAGGATTCATGCTGTTCGCTAACAAACCTTATTACAAGTCGCTAACAAACCTTATTACAAGTAGAAAAACTGATAGCGAACAGCATGGATCCTGATCAGACTGCGCGGATGCGAAGGTTTGTCTGGATCCATGCTGGTCGCAAACCAATTTTGTTGGTTTTGTCATGGCGCGGCTCAAATATACTCTATATCTACGAAAGTTACAAAAAGCCTACCTACAAATTCCATCCAACAAATGTTTTCTTTTCACAATCCCGAAAAACTACAAAATTTTAGCACATACCTGAATATCTCCTAGGTCTTTAGTAGTAAATGGTGTTTTTAAATGATCTACAACTCGTATCTCAACTCTTGTCATATTAATACCACCTGGAGGCTTCAACAGTCTAAATTCAAATTTCGTATTATCTGTAGAAGAAGAAAACTTAAAGTTAATAACTGTTTACGCTATGCTCACATATAGAATTGAATGTGAAATCATTAAGATTGTTTCTTGAAATATGAGGGCTGGAAAGAAATCACACCTGGTATGTATCCCCAAGTCACACGGATGTATGACTTATCAGATACAACTTTTATCTAACATAATCGCTCATTGTCTAGAAACCTTTGCACACATGTTAAAAATTCTAATGCCACTTTTTCATTTTTTTCTCAGAAAGTTTTCCCTCTGTTGAAAAATAATAGGAAGTGGCTTTTTGTGCAGTTATAGGAATCAAGAAATTCTAACGAGAGTAAGAGAGGCTGTATATAGACTAAATGAGAAAGTGACAGATAAAGCCGACAATGAAGGTAAAACAAAACAAAACAGTTTTCTAAGGCTTTTGCGACATTTTATTTCCATCTGAAACAGTAAAGAGTGATAGATAAAGTTTCCCATTTATTGCATAAGAATTAATACGCCATGAGAATGCAAACAACAGACCATAGACAATGGTTGTACATGTTCACATTTTTGGGTAGGATGCATCAGAAGATTAAACTTAGATTTTGGAAGGCTATGATATATATTATTACATTTTTTACTACATGTACTTACATGTCGATTCATATACGTTCGGAGCTAAGGTTTCATTCACCTCGCCTGTTTCTGTGAGATAAACCTGAGTCGCAGCATACTGAACATTGCTATTACTGTCTTGCGACGGATCCCTGCGGGGGTTTCTGTATTCGTCCTTCCATCCAGTACAGGTGACGGTGATAATATCTATACTTGCTGTAACTGTAACCAAAACAAGTGTTTTACTCTGTCATTATTCTTACATGTATTATTTCCATGTTAGATGAAAAATTTTTAATAGTGATAAAATTTATGAGTTTTAGTGAAACGAACGTTACAATGAATTTTTATGTAGGTGAAATGAAATCTTTTAACATCATTTCAACGGTGACATATTTCATATTCTAACACGACCCTCATTTTTCCCTATTAAACATAGAAGAACCGAAAGTGTGTGTTATTATGCTATAAAGTCACTGTTTGACGTTATATATTTAGATATGTGACGTAATCATTATACACGTGACGTAACCACTAAAAATGTGACGCGCTGAAAAAAAGTACGGAAACAAATCAGGCGCAAATTTAATTAATATCTCGTATGGCAGCATTTAATTGTTGATGTTGTGTTAGAATCGAAATAATATATCCAAATCGGGGATTTTATCGCTTGATAACATCACTGTTTGTCGTTCGGATGCGCATCATTATATCACTCGGGCAGTACGCCCTCGTGATATAATTCGTCGCATCCGAACTCCAAACAGTGATGTTATTGAGTGATAAAATCACTGTTTGGGATATATTATTTCTTAAACTTAGTGAAATGCTAGGGTATATATTCGTTAATTATCTCTTGTTCCATATTAGAACGAAAAGAACAAAATAAACCATAAATTCTAATAAAGTTTGTACATATGTCATGATCTTCTACACACACATAATTAACAGACATAATGAAGAGTGTATGCGATGTACATTTTTTGTTTGTTTTGTTTTGGGTTTTACCTCACATCGACACAGTATATAGGTCATATCGCGACGTTCCAGCTTTACTGGTGGAGGAAGACCTCAGGTGCCCTTCCGTGCATCATTTCAGGCACGAACGGGCGATGTACATTTAACTTGGCATACAGTGATCTTTACTGCGTAATGTGCATCATTATGATAAATGAAAACAAAGAGATTCTGGCACTGGCATTGTGAGCCGACAAATCTATTTTCTATTTCGAGATCGACATGTCAACTAATTACATGCGTCGTAACTTGCCTAAAAACTTATAATTATGAGTTCCTCTGGCCACAGGTCACAGTCTTTTGTTCATTTATGCTATCTTTTCAACTTTGTCTAAATCTACTATTGTCAATACAATCTACTCTACTCGATACAATATCATTTTAACTACAATCTTTTGTACTTCGTACAGTATTCTCTTCTCGTTACAGTATCTTATTTTTACATCAATCTACTCTTCTCGTAGAAATTTACTTCTCTCGCTACAGTATGCTTTTTTCCTCCTAATCTACTTTCATCTTTTACTATCTCGTCATACCCTTCTAAACTCAGTACAGTATGCCCTTCTCGCCCAAGTTTGCCTTTCACGTCAAAGTCTACTCAAAACACCCCTAGTATGCTCTTCCCGCCACACTCCTCTCTTTTCGTTACAATATGCTCTTTTCGCCACTATATGCTGCTCTTGTCATAGGAAACTCAACTGGTTACACTCATCTATGCTCGTTACAGTATCTTTTTTTGCCACAGTATGATTGCTCTTCTCCTTATAGTCTACTCAAATCAGTACAGTATGCTCTTCTCCTTATAGTCTACTCAACTCAGTACAGTATGCTCTTTTCGCCACAGTCAATCAGTTACAAGATACTCTGCTCAGAACGTTACAAACTTTTCTGCTTTCTGCACTCTACATAACTACCTATACCATGCTACACTCTATGCAATTTGCTCTTGTCGCCGAGGATTTCTACTTCAAAAATGAGTAACTTTAAATGTTACACAGTAAGTTTTAGCAACCAATAGAATAAGTAAAGCATAACCTGGCCCGTTTAGTGGAGTCTCGAACACACAGTTTCCGTCGTATGGTGGCTGATTGATGGCAAAGATGAAGTTTGAAGAAGTATCTGCAAACCCATCTGCTTTTACCGTAACCGTGACAATGTACTGTGCACTCGGCTGTTTTTCGCGAAGTGATTTTAGATAGTCAGTTGTCAACTTAAACCCGGTTGATGAACCTATTTGGAAAGTAAGTAATAAAATTCATTTTTTACTTATTTTTATTTCAATTTCAATTTTAAAACACATTTTCTCACATCATGTAATTTAGAAAAATCAGGATGATTTCTATCTAAATCTATATATGAGCCGCGTCACGACAAAACCAACATAGGATCCATGCTGTTCGCTGTCAGTTTCTCTACTTGTAATGGAGTTGGTAAGCGAACAGCATGGATCTTGATCAGACTGCGCGGATGCGCAGGCTGGTCTGGATCCATGCTGGTCGCAAACGCACTATGTTTGTTTTGTCATGACACGACTCAAATACAGATATAAAATAGAGTTCACGTAGATTATACTGATGGCATTGACCTTCATAATTGAGATTTTATTTTTAGAAACAATAACTTTGAATTAACTGACGTGTTGGTCTTAATAAAGGTATTGTTATGTAACAAATAAATACATAATAAACGTATAAATGAAATAAAAAGACTAGTTTTGAACAGTAAAGAACATTGGTTTTATATATTATGATTGTTTAAGACTTTATAATGAATAATAATTGTTATTTGTTATCCAAGAACAATAAATTCAGTCTACTTATGTGGTATTATATAGCACACAGGTCCTGTCATTTCACTTAAAGACCCCGTAAACAGTGAACCAGATCAATTTCACTGGGCAGCTATGTACAGAGTAAGCCATATACGGAGAAACTTTATTTTCTATATATGAGCCGCGTCACGACAAAACCAACATAGTGGGTTTGCGACCAGCATGGATCCAGACCAGCCTGCACATCCGTGCAGTCTGATAAGGATCCATGCTGTTTGCTATCAGTTTCTCTACTTGTAATAGAGTTGAGAGTTGGTAAGCGAACAGTACGGATCCTGATTAGACTGTGCGGATGCACAGGCTGGTTTGGATCCATGCTAGTCAAACTTATTATGTTGGTTTTGTCATGACGCGGCTCATATAGTTATAATAGAAAAAATAGACATTTAATTTTAATCGAAGGAAGCATCGTTTTATTATTTTGTTCTCCATTATTTTAACTAAAGCTAGGAAGCAAAACTAATTTAATAAACGGAACTACGTTTACGGCTGATAATCGAAACTTAAATCTAAGTGAAATTAGAATTCCTTAACAATTTTTCAAACCCGAGTTCAAAAGATTTCCATTGAAAAAAAATAGCAATAGGTTACAAATTTGATAAATTCTGTTAATACACTGTTCTAGTGATGTTTCCTACAAAACATGGTTAAAACAAAAAGTTACCTAGAATATTAGTATTGACCGAAAATGTTTTTTTCTATTACCAGTATACTCATAATAATCTAGAAATCTTATCACAGGTGTTTTAAAAAAACTCAGACAAACCTTGTTCGCTGAGTTTAGGGTGTTCATCATCAGTCTGTTGAAATGTCCATTTATAGTCGAAGGTGTTATTTTGTGTACCTGGTGTAAGAACAACACAATTTATCTCAAGGTCTGTCAAAGGTAGAATTTGGATAGAAGACACATCAGCCGAGCCATCGGTTTTATCAGGACATGACAAGCAACTGTTGTATTATGAAAATATGAAGTTAATAATTAAGTTAAACATGTGAAAAAAATATACAATGTATATGTATTTATATTATGCCTATAATATTGACCGAGTATGAAGCCAATCTGATTCGAATAGATCTGTTGACACCGAAAACGGAAATATCGATGTTCAAGTACGAATCAATATATGTTCGAGTACGAATCAATATAAAATGTATGTTCGTGTACGAATAATCATTATAATGTCGTTATTGTCTATTTGATTTACATGTACGTTATACACCGTCATTTGGCAGACTTAATAGCGGAAACATTCGGGAATCCCTTGAAAAATTCTCATCCGCGTTATCAATAAAATAGAATTTCCATCACATGGCAATCGCCTTTGGTTAGCTTTTATAGGAGCACATTAAGTACGGACCACATTGTCAAACCAGTGTGACAGCACGAAAAGAAAGCAAAACAACGTTTGTGATTTTATAATTTTTAAGTGAAATACATCGGTTTTTGATCGTTTTTGTATGTCATACTATCTTTGGCATAATATCTTTGGTTAATTTGTCTGTGTGGTACGTAATTCACTTGTATACCATAAATACGTGTTGAGGCTTTAATATTTCAGCCGCATCGCGACAAAACCAACATAATGGGTTTGCGACCAGCATGGATCCAGACCAGCCTGCGCATCTGCGCAGTCTGCTCAAGATCCATGCTGTGCGATATCAGTTTCTCTACTTGTTATAGGGTTTGTGAGCGAATAGCAATGATCCTGATCAGACTGCGCGGATGCGCAGGCTTGTCTGGATCCATGCTGGTCGCAAACACATTTTGTTGGTTTTGTAGCGACGCGGCTCATTTCTTAGTACTAGAATAATATTACTCAGAAAGAAAATGACGGTTAATTTGCACATTATGAAATAGTGCATATTGAAGTATTAGGTGAAGTATCTCAGCTACTAACTATCGTATCATGAGTAAACACAATGAATAGAAATTACTTACTTTAACGTTATATTAAGTGGATCGTCCTCTACAAAATATAACGCCTGTGCCCTTGTCGAACTCCTTGTATTGCGTTCTACTTTCAGAGAAATTATATAATACTGGTTAAATTTGAAGTTACTCTTATCAACAAGGAAATTTACAGCACCTACAAATAAAAGAAAAAAACTGCTTAGATTTAAATAATCTAACCAATCTATCCATCACAATATTAGAGTTGCCGCCGAAAAGCACATAAAGTTCTCAGACATACAGGACAGACCATACTTTTATTTTGACTTGCAGAGCAAATGTACTTATGATACAAAATGATACAAAACATTCAAACAAATTTCCCAAAATACTTAATATGATTCAAATATATAAGGTTTGATTATATACACAATGTTTAAATACAAAACATGTGTAACATAGCATGAAATGGACAATTAAATGCTTCTAGTCAAAATAAAGAAAAAGAGAAGAAGCAAATTTTCATTATTTGAGCCATGCCACGACAAAACCAACATAGTGCGTTTGCGACCTGCATGGATCCAGACAAGCCTGCGCATCCGCGCAGTCTGATCAGGATCCATACTGTTCGCTATCAGTTTCTCTACTTGTAATAGAGTTGGTAAGCGAACACCATGGATCCTGGTCAGACTGCGCGGAAGCACAGGCTGGTCTGGATCCATGCTGGTCGCAAACGCACTATGTTGGTTTTGTTATGACGCAGTTCATTTTTATCAACATTCAGAACTTTTATTGCGTGTCTCTTACATTTTCAAAGTTTCTTTTTTATTTTTTCTGAAAACAAATCTGTTTATATTCAAATGATTATAATATTAATTTTAAAGTGACATTATGCTCATTTTTTCATTGTCAAGTTGAGCTGAACGGACTATATATTTTAAAAGATAATGGTTAATGACCAATAGATGATTGTTTGAAAATGTTCACTACAAAATGATAGAATTAAACCTGCTAAATATATCAAAAGACTTCCCCACTCTTCATTAATATATTATAACAGGTAAATCCAGGTAGATATCTATAGAAAGTTCCCTGGGCCACGTCAGTTATTCATGCGAAGTAAATTGTAACAATTGAAAGGAATTATGGCAAACTGTAAGTTTATTTTGACTTTCACCTGTTCACTCGACATAATTGAGCCGCGTCACGACATAACCAACATAGTGCGTTTGCAACCAGCATGGATCCAGACCAGCCTGCGCATCCGCGCAGTCTGATCAGGATCCATGTTGTTCGCTTACCAACTCTATAACTATAAGTAGAGAAACGGATAGCGAACAGCATGGATCCTGATCAGACTGCGCGGATGCGAAGGCTGGTCTGGATCCATGCTGGTCGCGAACGCACTATGTTGGTTTTGTCGTGACGCGGCTCATAATTTGATGGGCATAATGTCTCTTTAGATATAGACAACTGTTGATAAGACAGTAATTATTTACGTACTAGGTTGCAGATAAGATGTACAGTCGACATCAGCTTGAGCAGGCCAAATACTTAGATCTGTGCTGCCTATAAACTGAGCAACGTGTGTCTTAGTAAGAGCCGTTCCAGTTCTACAAGCCCATGATCTTGTAAGAATGTTCGTATCAAAATCATCTTTTTCACTTGGATCTGATGAGTCGATGCTATCTAAGAAAACGTGGTCTAACCTCATTGTCTCGATACTGTTTACTGAATTATTCACTTTCATGATCACCGTCAAAGGTGGTAAACTGAAATCTATATCTGCGAAGTCACGCAAAATGGGTATAATTACATAATCGACGAAATAAGTGGAAAGTTCTAGTTTGTATGTAGCTTCGTCCTCCACAGTAAATTTGGGAAGATTTATTATTGTTGCACTTTCGCTGGTCAAATTTTTAATAAATTGTTCACCGGTGTTTGATCTTCTGTACAACGTCCAGTAGTGCTTTAGATCTCCATGACAAAATCCGGAAAGCCTCACATTTGGTTTTAGCTGTAATCAAAACATGACAAGGAAAACATTAACAAGATTGCTTTACCAATGATTGTAAACAACAGGACTGTACGACTGCATTTGGTATCCTGATTTGTTTCACCATTTCTGGATCTTTGAAGTGTTTAGGTTGTTCCTCGGATATAACAAAGTGCTCCACTGGTTCATTTAGTATTGTACAAAAGCGTAAACCTGCCATTTTGGCATACATTATCCATTGATACAGTACATACTGTTTTAAACACTATGATATCTATCACTTGTTGTTGTCTTGTAAGTGTAAACTAATGAAATTTTAATTTTTGTTCAAATTATTTAAGCAACACAATAATCAAATTATATGAGCAGCATAGTAACCAAATCATATAAACAGGACAATAATGAAACTATATAAGTATCAAAACAATCAAATATAAGCAACATAACAATAAAATTATATAAGCAACACAGTAATCATATTATATAAGCAGCACAGCAATCAAATTATATAAACAACACAGAAATTAAATTATATAAGCAGTACAGTAATCATATTATATAAGCAGCACAGTAATCATATTATATAAGCAGCACAGCAATCAAATTATATAAGAAGCACAGCAATCAAATTATATAAGCAGCACAGCAATCAAATTATATAAGCAGTACAGTAATCAAATTATATAAGCAACACAGCAATCAAATTATATAACTAGTACAGTAATCATATTATAAAAGCAACACAGTAATCAAATTATATAAGCAACAACACAGTAATCAAATTATATAAGCAACACAGTAATCAAATTATATAAGCAGTACAGTAATCATATTATATAAGCAACACAGTAATCAAATTATATAAGCAACAACGCAGTATTCAAATTATATAAGCAACACAGTAATCAAATTATATAAGCAACACAGTAATCAAATTATATAAGCAACACAGAAATCAAATTATATAAGCAACACAGTAATCAAATTATATAAGCAACACAGAAATCAAATTATATAAGCAACACAGAAATCAAATTATATAAGCAACACAGAAATCAAATTATATAAGCAACACAGTAATCAAAACATTTAAGCAACACAGTAATCAAAACATTTAAGCAACATACCAAAACAGTAATCGAAATCATTGAGTCAGGACAGTCATCAACTTATATAAGCAGCTCAAAAAGCACCCAAGTAGTCAAAATTCATAACCAGCACAGTAATCAAATTCTATAAGCAGTTAATCGATCAAGTTCTATGAGTAGGGTAAACAATTGAGTTTATAAGCAGCAGATCAAACAGAGACAAGACAATAAGCTCCATTATAATGTAATTTTATAAGCATTACAATGATCAACGTCTTTGAGCAGCAAAGCAACGGCAACACAGTTAAATCCTATAAGCATCACCAAATTATCAAAACAGTCAAATCTATAGGCAGCATGACAAACAAATTCAACAAACAACACATTAATCAAAATAAATAAGAAACACTGCAATGACATTCTGAAAGCAACACAGAAATGCAAATCTATAAGCAGCACAATAATCATTATCTTAAGGCAACAGAATTATCAAAAAAATTAAGCCGCAAAGTAATCGAATTATACAAGTATAAGCATTGCAACAGTCAAATTCCACAAGCAGCACATTTATCTCATTTATTACACATTTTAATACTAAATGCAGCACAATTATATAAAGCAGAACAACAGTCAAATTCTATGGCAACATACGAGGGTACATTTCTTTATCTCTACATACGAGGGTACATTTTCCTATCCCTACATACGAGGGTACATTTCTTTATCTCTACTTACGACGGTATATATCTCTATATACGAGTGTACATTTTTCTATCCCTACAAACAAGGGTTCATTTCTCTATCTCTACATACTAAGGTACATTTCCCTATCTCTACATACGAGTGTACATTTTTCAATCTTTACATACGAGTGTACATTCCTATATCCCTACAAACAAGGTTGCATTTCTTTATCTCTACATACGAGGGTACATTTATCTATCGCTACATACGAGGGTTCCTTTTTTCTATCTCTGAATTCGAGGGTACATTTATCTATCGCTACATACGAGGGTACATTTCTCTATCTCTTCATACATTGGTACATTTCTCTATCCCTACATACAAGGGTACATTTCTCTATCTCTACATACTAGGGTACAATTTTCTATCTATACATACAAGAGTACATTTCTCTATCTCTACATACTAGGGTACAATTATCTATCGCTACATACGAGGGTACATTTCTCTATCCCTTCATACATTGGTACATTTCTCTATCCCTACATACAAGGGAACATTTCTCTATCTCTACATACTAGGGTACAATTTTCTATCTATACATACAAGGGTACATTTCTCTATCTCTACATACTAGGGTACAATTTTCTATCTATACATACAAGAGTACATTTATCTATCTCTTCATATGAGGATACATTTAACTCTCTCTACACACAGAGGTACATTTATCTATCTCTACATGCAAAGGTTCATTTATCTTTCTATACATACAAAGGTACACTTCACTATCTCTACATACGAGGGTACATTTCTCTATCTCTAAATACGAGGGTACAATTCTTTATCCCTACATACAAGGGTACATTTCTCTATCCTTACATATAAGGGTAAATATATCTATCACTACATACGAAGGCACATTTCTCTATCCCTACATAAGAATGTACTTTTCTTTATCTCTACATACAAAGATACTTTTCTCTTTCTTTACATACGAGCGTACAATTAATTATCTTTACATACTTAGGTACATTTCTCTATCCCTACATACGAGGGTACATTTCTCTATCTCTACATACGAGGGTACATTTCTCTTTCTCTGCATACATGGGTACATTTATATCTCTCTACATACAAGGGTACATTTCTCTATCTCTACATACTAGGGTACAATTTTCTATCTCTGTTGACAGCACGAAAGTTAAAACAAAAAAATAGAACTCTGAGACAGTACAGCAATTCAAGTCTATGTCAGCAAACAATCTATATCAGGTAGCCTCCCTTCATAGTAACTAAGTTTTTTAAGCATTAAAACTTTAATTGATTTATATTAGAAGCAAATCAATTTAATTCAATTATAGCACAGTTATTAAATTCTATAGGTATATACAGAGTAACCATTGATTTATAAAAAAAAATATTTCCTATAGGTAGCACTGTCATTTAAGACATTAGGCAACAGGATACTAAAATTCTTAATAGAAATTAGATTCTTTAAACAACTATTGTAGATGCTAGAATTCTGTAGCTAGCTTTGTGATAGTGCTTTAAAGGCAGAGCTGTAATTTAATTTAATAGGTTGCTTGCTTTCCGAATTTCTAAAGGCGAAAGCGATTTAGTTCAATGGTCAACACACTTATTAATTTCATTAAACAGCACAGAAATAAAATTCTATAGTTAGAACATTAAATAATTTCTATAGCATTTAGATTGTATAGAGAACCTAGTATTTAAAGCAAGCCTCCAGATATATGCTATTTTTCATGAAAATCATTATAATAAATTATAAAGAAAATTATAGTCAGGTGAACAAAATAAGCAATTTAAACATAGCGAACGGCACGTTAAGAATAAAAAACTAACAAAAAATATATCAGAATATGGAAAACTGCGTTAGTCACAATGTTGATAAATACTGCATTAGTCATTAGTTGCAGACAAGTGTTCATATTTTATTCATATTTTTACTATTTTTAAGATTTAAATAAAGTTTTCTTAATTTTGATTTCTTTGAAATATTTTTGCTCACCTGGAAGCATACAGCTTTACGTTAAATAGGCAGCAAACTATCAAGCAACATAGCTATTAATTTCTTTGGGTAGTAATATAATTGGGCGAGGAGGAGGGGTCATATGTTTAACTGATCGAAACAGTTTGAAGCATTTTTGATACAGAATACTTAAATACGCCTTTGAAAATTGCACACTATATAAACAAAACAGTATACTAGTGTAATACAACTTACCGTAAATTCCTCGTTGGTTTTAGACCTGAATGCTCCATTTGGCTTTTTGAAGCTTGCGTCAAAGTACTCTTCAGTTGTCCAGCAATTGAAATAAACATGAACGGTTATTGGAGGAAAGACTTGAAATGATTTCAAATTGCTACACTTTACTGAAATAGTATGATTCTTTCCACCATCGAAAGTTTTTATTAACGTTATATTACTTGCAGTAGTTACTTCCCCTGTTACGTTTGTCAGTTCATCTGTTGTTCCGTCATTACTGTTAAACTCACAAGTTACATTAGCATATGTAGGGTCTGAAACACTAGTCTGATGTATTGAAAATGTTATAGGCTTGGTAAAAGGGTGATGCCCAATGTCATCTATATCATGCGAAAGTTGAAAAGTTGTTGTAATTTCATTAACAACTTTTACAATGTTTTGAAGTACTGCGTATGTTTGTAAAGAGTTGACCTCGGAAGGAAGCTGATTTGTACAATTGATTATTGTATTGTACCATCTCTCTGTATACGTTTTGGTCAAGGTATTTGTTGTACTAGCTAATTCACCAAATGTAGAAGGGGACATGTCAAAGATCATGTATCCAGGCGGTGAGTCATCGTTATAATCTACCTTACAAGAAACGGTTCCCATTGGCAGATTTGCAGTATCAGTTACTGTAGCAGTAAAAGAGGCAGTTTCACTGGAAAACAACAAAGGCGTAACCTCTAAAGTTAAATCAACAGCGTAAATAACGTTTATCTCAATAGTTTTACTGAAGTAACTGACATAATTTGATATTTCAACAGTGATGTTGTAGGAACCAGCAGATTCAAATGTATATGGAATTTCGTTTTGAAGCTGTTGACCTTCACAGAAATTTCCTTTCAAATCCACAATGGTTGTGTTTTGTTCAACTAATAACGAATGCATTAAGTCATCACCAGTTGTTAGTGTGATTAAAACATTAAACTCTTGGCCTACCATTATATATACTGGTTCATTACCAACTTCGTACGGCGTCAACGAAATTGTGACTCCATCTACAGGCGCTTGTACAGCCAACACAGCTGATCTGAGAATTCCGTTTTCTGCCAAAGGATTTACTAAATCAACATCAACGGTATAAAGACCAGATTCCATAAATCTGTCTTTTGGTATTGTAACGGTATGTGATTCGTTATTAATGTTAGTAAGAGAGTGCGACCATCCGTCAGGAAGTGAAATAGTTGCATTGACATCAGTCCCTGTACTAAAACTGAATGTGAAATCAATATCGTCGTCTAGCGGTGCATTGAAAGGTATCACAGATCCAGTAACGTTATTACTGATGTCTATTCCAGTTATAGATGATCCAACGTAGAAATTTTCTTTCTTCTCTATGTACAAATCTGTATCACCAAAAACTGGTATGTATAAGTCATAAAACCCATTTAGAATAAAGCTTGTTTCCACGGCTTGAGGATCAGACTGAAGAATTTCTAGAGCCTCAACTTCATCTTCGTTTTCTGCGATAATCATACACGTGACATTGGTTGGTCCGGTGAAAGCAAATGTCGCACTAAGTCCGTTTTCAATACCTGTTGCATTTACGTCAGCGGATGTAACAATTAAGGCTGATTCAACATTATTTTTACCTGCAATATATAAAGATGTAACAAAAAGTTTTATGACAAACTTATATTTCGAAGTTATGATTAACCAGCAACAGGCCATGGTGCTGCAGTCCATTTAATACATGGTAGAGGTTCGGCCTATTTCACAATGTGAAACTTTTCTGTCAACGATATAGTGTCTTCCCGCAAAACGGTAGACATAGACTGATACATTGTCGATTGGGCTCAGTTTTCAAATATTTACATATTCAAAGGAGTTTCAATTTCTTTATATTTATTAATTAACTTTTCAATATTACTCACGTTTTCATTTGAAATGTAAGGCTAATATGAGTTCACCACAACATTATAAATATAAAACAAGGCCATTATGCAAAATGTAGGGCCTTTGTGAGAAAACTCGGCAATTAGGAGATTAGAGAATTATGATTGGATCTTCAGCTCGGCCATTATAAATATGCTCTTTTTTCATTGAAAAAGTCGCCATTTTGAAATCCTGCAAGGTAGGTTTAAGAGACATTTTAAAACAAGAATCTCATTTGAAATTGGCCTACCTCACAACAACGGAATTTCAAGGAATGATAGTTGAAGAAAGTGAGACATGTCTGTATAAAGTAGGAACTGTTAGCTGTGGTTGTTGATGTTTGTTAAAAATGTTATATTTACACTATATGTAAATATGTTTTTTATTTTTCTTATCAACATTCTGGTTTATTAAAATGTTATAATTTAATTGTAGATACACCCATAGAAATGGTATTTTCACTCTTCTTCATGGTGTTTTGTTATGAACAATAAATTTTATTTCAATAAAATTTTTACATTAGTTATTTTTTCATTAAGCTTTTAACATTTTTAGATTATGTGTAGTTTATTTATAAAATTGTCAATAATTAAGTGTTTTCATAATGGCCTTGTTATTGGGCTTTAGACGTTCATATTAGCTTTCGGTCATTGGCCTTAAACTGATATGACAGTCTTCAGCCCAATAACGAATGTCAGACAAAATCCTCTTCCGACAAAATCCCCTTAATGTATTTTTGTATATCTGGACATAATCTCCTCAATGGGTGGACATAATCCCCTTCATGTGTGAAATTTTGAAGTGGACAAAATCCCCTCAATAAAAATGCTTCCTAGGACAAAATCCACCTCGATGAATTTTCTGTTTATAAAGTGGGAATGAGAGCGACATACTGCATTATGCTGTTGACTTTGATGCATTTTTCTTTGTGTAAGTATAACCTTCGAAACATAGCTTTTCAGAGTCTTTGTTACTTTCGATGACTTCCATTTTGGTAATGAAGATGCATAACCAAAGTCGCTCATTTATATATGTTTCTTTTAAAGGGAAACACAGGCAAAATTTTCAATTCTTCTTTTTGAGTTTTTCATTCATCTTTCTGTAAATGTCCTCAAAATAAATAAACTAGTCAGTCTTAGGAACAAAACTTTTCTCCTTATAAAAAAATAAAATGCTGGTTTCCTAACTTGACCCGCGTGGGTCAGGTTAGAGCGCTAAGATTTCACATAAGTTGCCACAGTGAACTATGGAAACGTTAAAGAACATATCAAATGAATGACTTAGACTTGTTTCAATTATTCAATATCCACAAAATCTGTTATTGTAACTTCCAGGGTTTGTTCAAGTCACATGGCTTGATTTAAAAAAACTCGGTGATTATGTCGGCGGTAAATTCCGTTCAATACATCTAGATATATTTACGCTTCAAACCCAACATAAATAGAACTTAAACAGAATTGCATGCTGGGACTTTAGAAAATGTCATGTTAGCGTGATTTGAGTACATTAAATCATTTTGATATTTTTGTCATTTATTTGCCTGAGTATCCCTCTTACTTGAGTGAATTAATTCATCATTTTAAACAATTAAAATGAACGCTAATTACCTATCAATTTAAAACCTTTAAAGAAATTTCCTAATCAAATACATTTGTTATCCAGTTGGTAATGTACCACAATTATAATGAAAACTGCTAAACTAATTAAATTGTTATTAATGAAAATTTGCTTGATAATTGATCTGAACAAATAAAAAATATGTCTTATCAAGCTTATATGATTATAAAGGTTACTTGTATCATTTGATCATAATTATCAATAAAAAAACAAAAGTTCATTATTCATCAATTTTTATGGAGTATGATAATACATAAGAAAACCTATAAAACAAGGGGATTTTGTTCGGATAGGTAAGGGGATTTTGTCCAGCCTTGCAAAAACATGAAGGGGATTATGTCCATCCGTGGAGGGGATTTTGTCCGGGTATGCGAAGGGATTTTGTCCGAATGGGATTATGTCCATACACCCCCAATAACAAGGCCATTATGAAAAACACTTAGTTATTTACATTTTAATATTAATCGTTATGCAGGAGTAAATGTAAGTTGTATAAAACTGCAAAGTACATATATGAGGCTTTCCATTTAAGGAAGATATGTCTTAAAACGGTAGCTGCTTCTTAAATTTTGTAAATGAATATATTTGCTTAAATGTTTATTTGGTTTATCATGTAAACTATGTATGATGTTGTATATCTTGGCCATGTTCGTCAATTGTATTTGTTAAATTGGCCAAAGATATGTCTAATGAATGTCAGACATAATCCCCTTCGGACAAAATCCCCTTCGCCTACCCGGACAAAATCCCCTTCATGCATGGACAAAATCCCCTTCATGTTTTTGCATGGCTGTACAAAATCCCCTTCACTACCCGGACAAAATCCCCTTGTTTCATAGGTTTCTAATGTATTATTATGCTCCATAAAATTGATGAATAATGTATAATTATACTCCCTAAAAATTGGTGAATAATGAACTTTTGTTTTTTTATTTAAAATTCTGTATCAATAGTTATTTAGTTTAGAAGTTTTCATTAAAATTATGGTAAATTATCAACTGCATAACACATATTTGATTAGGCAATTTCTTTAATTGTTTTAAATTGATTAGTATGAAAAACATTTTTATTAGCCAATAATTGTTTCATTGATTGTATAAGTTGATAATTCTAATTGATATATACTATCCATTGTTACAATTTCTATTGGTGAAAAAGTGATGATTTAATCAAACCAAGATCACTGCACTATTTAATTGATTGTTATGAATGCTTTAACAAAGCAATTTTAAGCAATTTTAATGTGATTAAAATGTGCTAATTGAATGTGCATTTCTGCTGAAATATTTTCTACTTACTTAACATTAAGCTCTCATACCCACTTTATAAAGCGAAAATTCCTCCGAGAGGGATTTTGTCCTAGGTAGCAATTTTATGAAGGGGATTTTATCCACTTCAAAATTTCACACATGAAGGGGATTATGTCCACCCATGGAGGGGATTATGTCCAGATATGCAAAAATACACGAAGGGTATTTTGTCCGAAGGGGATTATGTCGTACACCATGTTTAATATGCCGATTTGACATAAAAGCTGAAACTGAAACCTTATTAATAATTAGTTATCACATTACCGACTGATGTTAATACATGTATCACAGAGCTATATTTTTATACAAAACTTTGAACCATACAGCTCCGACATACATGAATGTGATTCTACCATATTTTAACTAGATGTAAAAAAATTGTGTTAAAAACTAGGCCGCTACAAAGAATATTAAAATAATTAAAGATAAGTTTTCTGACTAAAGTATAAGTAAATAACATAAAATTTGTCTTATATACTACTAAACTTTTGCAAAGCGCCAAAAGTTAATCATTTTAGTATAAAAAGCATAAAAAAGGATTTGGTTATTATATTGCATGTGTTGATTCAGCAATGCAGCGCCGTAAAGTTGTTGTGGCGCTTGGTGTATACAACACCATTATCACAAGAGACTAGGCAGGTTACAATCAGTATGACACTCCTGCCAAGAGGCGTGCCGGAGGCAGATAAATGGGTATGACAGCACATACAACAACAACAACAACAACAACAACAACATTTATTTAGCAATTAAGCATTACAATGCTTTTAGCCATAATATACATTTGACATAAGGTGACAAAGAATGTAGGACAAAACCCCACCAGTTAAAACCCCACCACTCAAAATTTTATAGAGTGGACAAAACCCCACCACTACATTTCATAGAGTGGACAAAACCCCACCACTAAATTTTACAGAGTGGACAAAACCCCACCACTTCAGTTTTATAGACTGGACAAAACTTTCTTGTAAACATGTTAAAAAACAGACAATTGTGCATCAGCAGAAACTCAAAATAATGTGTGAACAACTCATCAATAAGGAGTTACAGTTTGTAACACCTTTTTTGCAATCAAAACATCAATAAATAATCTGTTTTGTTCTTCAGGGATTAGGATTAAGTTTTTTGTGTACAGTTTGTAACACCTTTAAGGCTTTTTTGCATATTGCACATGCAAGATGTACATGCAATGTTGATAAAATTGTTCATTCTTATATTACACAAATGTTATATTGAAATTAAAAAATAAAATGTGAAAAAAATGTGTATATTATATATATTATAATTCATCAAATCTTGCCCAATAAGTGGTGGGGTTTTGTCCACTCTGTGAAATTTAGTGGTGGGGTTTTGTCCACTCTATAAAATTTAGTGGTGGGGTTTTGTCCACTCTATAAAATTTTGAGTGGTGGGGTTTTAACTGGTGGGGTTTTGTCCGTCTTCCGGTGACAAATGACACGAGAAATCATTAGCAATCAAATATTTTCTGCATAGAGAAGCTTACACTATAAATAAACTAGTTTGACATAGGTAAATTTAAATCGATACCAATATAATAATTATCAAATTTCTAAACTATTCCTTAATTTATTTGAAAAAAATATATATTTTGATAAGTTTAACAATTGTCTTTCATTATCTGTGGACATCAGTCTATCAAATTTATTAAGAGTTGGCCACCTACAAAAATATGGTTTGAAGTATTTTTTCCTTATTTCTCGATATATTGGGCAGACAAGAAGAAAATGATACTCATCTTCAATTATATTATCTTGGTTGCAAAATTT